ACTAAGAGTTCTGGAAGAGTGGCCAGTGTGGGAAGCATACAACAAAAGCAACAAAAGCCTGGGCTTTTGTTGTCAGCCATCAATGTCACGTGGGCCTTCACTGTGTCCCGTGACCTTGAGATGTTTTTGATTGCTCTCCCAGTTTCTCTCCTTCATTCCTTACGGGTCAAGTACTTGGTGGCAAGAGGAGAAGCATTGGGGGAAAGTGAACTCCCTTTTATCGAAGGCCCCGGTGTGCCAGGCACCATTCAAGGTGTTTACCAAAGTCAGCGGAGCCAGGGCGGCCCACCTTCTGACGCTGATTCTGGGTGAAGACGGTGTGGGGCCAGCTCCAGGCTGATTTATGTGAGCTAGCTCCAGGGCAGAGTGGCTGGGAGGCCAGGGGCCCGCTTACAACAGCCATGTCTGCAGTGCAGCTCCCTGAGTTCAAGTGGAGCGGCTGGCGTAGGACCCTAGCCCAGTGTCCTCTCAGCCCCAAGCTGCCACCTGGACCCAACAAGGTTGGGGGGAGGAGCTTTTCTTTTTAAAGAAAACACAGTTTCCATTGGGGATGGAAAACCTTGCATGCCTAGGCAGGTACCAGGGGACAGACTCCTCAGCACAGTGCTTAGAATGTCAGTAAAGGTGGACGGAGAGGGGCTAAACACTGTAATTGGCTGCCACCCTGACCACCCTAGGCTCTGTTTAGATCTACTGCCAGCCATCTCCTTCACTCTGCCCACAGCCTTCCCCAGCCTCTTGGGTATCTTTGATGTGAGCAGTACCATCATCCACCATGTCACCCAGTCCCTGACTCCTCGTCCCCCTTAGCTCCACCCAGGTGAGGGGTCTAGAATGTGCCTACTTGACATCACTGAGACTTGTCCCATCTCTGACCTGACCCAGGCAGAATTAGTCCCTCACCACTCTCTGAAAGCCCTGCCGTCTTCTGGCATAGCACTTACAACCATTTGTGATTTTTATTTGTTTCTCCTCACTCGCCCATGAGTGCCACTGCTTACTGTGGCCTTGGGTCCCTGAAGAATGCCACTAGATGTCTGTGGAGTAGATACAGGAAAGCCCAGTGGAGCTGCTAGTTCAAGAGATTCAGAACTAAGTAGGTATGAATTCTACAAGTTGCAGTATTTTTCCGAAGTTGACATAAAAGGCCAAAATATTGTTAAGACTTTAGAGGAGTCAGGTGTGGTGTTGCGTGTGAGGGAGTGCTTAGGGTTGGGGGCCCATGAACATGTTGTGTGCCGTGTGTCCCTGGTACTCAGGTGTTGGTATGTTTGGGGAGGGCGTGGGTGTGTGTAGATGGGATGTGTCCATATGTATGCCCATCTCTGCCATTGCTGGACTCTGCATCTTGGACGCGGACATGTAATGATGGCCCCCAGTATGGCACGAAGGCACTGCCGGGGGGGGTTTTCAAATTGCAAGACAGGCCTGCGGATGGGGCAGGTGAGGGAAAACACCGCATCTTTTGGTTCCTGTGAAGAGAGCAGGTGGTCGTGGACAGTGACCCCCGGGTGCCCCGCTGCACACTTCCGTCCTTCCGTTCTGCTTTTCCAGGGAGCTCCCGTGTGTGAGTGCAGACTGACCCTGAGTGCTTTTTTCTCCTCTCTCTTCCTTCCTACAGTCGGTTCTGAATGTGATCAGTGAGCTGCAGGAGCAGATGTGTAGGCTGCAGCTGGACATCCACAGGCAGATGCAAGAGCGCCTCTCTCTCAGTAGGGACTACCCTGAGGAGGTGGCGGCCGGCGACGGTGCGGCCCGGCCCCAGCCCTGCGGCCAGGACTGTGCCCACGGGGAGGGGTCACCTGTAGGCACCACACTTAAGTATATGGGAGCATGTGTGTGTGGGGCGTCTCATGGCGGAGGGACCGGGGTATCTCCTAACCAGAACCGTGTGTGCTAGCTTAACATGGATCTGCAGTCACTTCTGGGCAGAGCTTGGGACTCCCCCTTGGGGGACATGAGCCGAGCTCTGTGACCCTCCCCCAGCAGGGTCTGAGCAGGAGAGGCCAGCCCTCTGATGGATGACTGCACTCATCTCCCTCAGGGCTGGGACTGAGGTGTGTCAGGTGCCCCAGATGATGGGGCATTGGTATCAAGGGAAGCTTCAAGAGCTCCCTTCCCAGGTCTGACTCAGACACCAGCTCTTCTTCCTGGGTGGGGAGATTAAATGAAGCTTCGTCTCATGTGATTTCTTTTTTTTTTTAATTTAAGAAAAAAATAGCATCATGAAAGAATCCTTTGAAGTTTATATTTAAAGGGATTTATCCCCAGTGAGAAAATAGAACACAAGTTTCCATGTATTTGATAACTGTCATCATCTCAGTTTCTGGGGGAAATTCTCCCACGTGATCACGTTTGAGGGATCTCACCACCTCTGGGCCTGTGGAGTGTATCTGACTGGGGTTCTGGACTTGACCCCTCACACTGGTGTCACCAGTGTTCTGTGATGGCAGCTGCACAGCCATGAGCCTGTGCCTCCAAGGCCCCCCACTGAAGAGGACTGGGAAGGTCAAGGTCGCAACAGCCATGTCTGTAGGAAGTTGCCGTGATGTTATATCCAACTATGGGACGTGTTGAAAATCTCTACTCTGACTTGGGTGTGAGGGGGCAGGGCTTGGTGGGGAACAAAACAAGAGTCAAGATGAGGTGCAGATTTGGAAAGGGGAGCTCTGACAAGGTGCTGGCCCCATGGAGAGCAGGTCACCCCAGAAAGACTTGTAAGAGAAATGAGAGTGGGCACCAGTGTTTATAGCTCACGATGGGCAACAAATAGCTGAAAAGGAAGAGACTAGGCCCAAGAGGTCACCAAGCCTGGAGGTGGTCCTGCTTGCTATCCCCATAATGACCACTCCTCAGCAGTAACCCGCACACTTTGAGTTCTGCCATCAGCAGGCCTGGCGTCCCCCTCAAGCACAGTTAGACTCAGAAAATGATCTTGAATCTGTTACAAGTCACAACAGGCCTTAAAGTCTAATGTTGCAGATCAAGGAGGCAATAATCTTAGCTTGGAAGACTTTTTTTTTTTTAAGGGCAGCAACAAATATTCGCCTCAGATATAAAAAAAAATCTTAGTAAACATCCCTACAAAGTTAAGTGGAAGCGATGTCACTTTCTGGTGGATTGTCTCAGAGTGCAAAGAGCTCCAGGTCAGTTAAAAGATGACTTGAGTTGCATGTGTTCATTCATCAAGAAAAAATGCATACTTGACTATGTGCCAGAGGTTAGCAAAGCTCATGGAGTTCACGATATAGGAGGGGAACTAGCCATTAGCAGTCACACCAGTAAATGTTTAATTGCAAATGATGTAAAAGATGATACAGATACCACAAGAGTATAGAAGGGAGATCTGAAGAAGTGTGGAGGTTGGGATAGCTTTGCTCAAAGCAGCCTGAAGGATGGGCAGGGATTAACCTGACAGGATTAACCTGAGGGAGCTGCGGGTGTGAGGGCCCAAGTCAGATGGAACTAAAAAGTAGGGGTGTGGCTGGAGTATAACTGGGGAGAGAGAGTGATACAAGAGGCAGGCAGGGTGCAGGGTCAGGCCAGGCTGTATTGGTCATGGGTTAAAGTTCATGACCTTTGAAGAGCAGGGAAGGCCAGGATCAGATCTGTGCTTCAGTCATATTGTTCCCCTGGATGCCATGGGGCCAGTGGATTCAAGAAGGGCAAGGCAACAGAGGACCAGCCAGCAGAGAGGCTGTCCGGCTGTCAGCACTGGCTGCTGGATCAGAGTAGCCCGGCAGAGTTGGAGATAAACAAGAGACTTAGGCAATTTCCTTGAAGGTAGAATTTACAAGGCTCTGTAGATTACATATGTGGAGGAAAGACCAAAGAGATGCCAAGGAGGGATCCTGAGCTTCTGACGCAAGATGGAGATGCCATTTAGTGAGACGGTTCCCCTAAAAGGGGGAACTGAGTGGGCTATGACAGTTAGAAGAGGCCCAGATGCCATCTATGTGGAGATGTTAAGTGGAAAGTTACATGAGTCTGGAGTTCAGAAAGTGTATGAAAGTAATCACTTTTATGCTAATTTTTCTGAACAAAACCAGCCAGCGGGACCATTTGTCTGTTAAAGGACCCTAGGTTTGGGACAAGGGTGCTCAGTGGTGTCTTTACTGAAGGGGTACTGTAGAAAGAAGGGGCTCTGGGGTCAGAAGATAACAGGCCTGATTTCCAGCTCCACCATCAGCAAGTTGTTTAAATGTCACCTTCCCAGTCAGCAACCTTCAGTGGCTTCCTATAATACGATCTAAAGAATGGCTTCAGAAGTCTTTATATTCTCATCCAACAGCCTTTACAGTAAGGCCCCACCTTATTTCCTGGCCTCATTTCCCACTGAAAGCTGCCCATCCTCTGCTCCAGCCCAACAGGCTGTCTGCCTTCATGCTTCCTGTCTGCCCTCTCCCTAGATGCCTCCCCTCTTCCTCCTTTCTTCAAGCCAACTCCCTCCTCTAGAACACCCAGAACTGGAACACCCAGGCCAGCCTTTACATTTCACACTTTAGCATTTGTCCTTGCAATGTTTGATTTCTATCCTCCTGGCTTGTCACTCCACTTCCTCCTGTGACCCTCCCTTTAGGTTCCTGGACCACCCTGCCTCCTCCCAAGCTGGCTCGTTTTTTTTTTTTTTTTTTTTTTGCATCTCTGTTTCTCTTGCTCCCAAACCCTACCTCTCCTGTCCTATACATATGTGTGCATGGTTTGGGCACCCCCTACAGGGAATGCAGATGTTAGAAAGGTGGAGGGGAACAGGTTCTAAAAGAAAAAGTTTTCTCTTCCTTATGTCTGAAACTCCAGGCCTCTGTTTTGTAATGGGCACACAGCTCTTCCTGAAACAAGGACCAGCCATCTTTAAAGATCGGAGCCAGCCACAGTGCAGAGCCTGACGTGGTGGCTCCTGCCTTGGCTTTGTCCTCTGTGCATGTGCTTATGCAGGGTTGTAGATCCTGGTAACACCCTGTTCTTTAACCATCAGAACTCTGTCTTCCTCACTCGTCTAGGAGTTACTGCAGGAGCTCCGGCACCTCAAAATCAAGGTGGAAGAGTTGGAAAATGAACGGAATCAATATGAGTGGAAACTAAAGGCCACCAAGGTAAGAGGCAGTCCTGCTGTTTATGAAGAGGCTTTGAGCCCAGTGGGGAGGGTCTGTGTCTGAGCCTGGGGTGTGCAGTAGCCTTAGCTTGAGTAATGTGAATTGACCCCACTGTATGCACAGGCAACAGTGCAGATTGTGTAAGCAGATGGATCTAATCCAGGAGGGCTCTTCCCCTGGAGAAAGCCCCCGAGGTTATGAGTTGCTGAAGTCACAAAGTCTCTGTGTCCCACAGCAACCCCCAGGCTGAGGCGCTATGAGTGATGAGTTTTAGGGCAGATGAATGCCAACATTATCTTGGCTGCATTATTTTAAATTTAGCAGTCCCTCTAGTAATCAGTTACTAAAAAGAGGCATGCTTTATTTTTAGCAATTCCTAAAAATATGTACTTGTCTTTTTTTTTAACCAAACCATATTTCTATTGAACTGAGGAGCTTGCTATTTAAAGGATACCAGTGATATATTATTTTTGCAAAATAAGTGTTATCCTTCCCTCTTTTGTTTCTTCCTTCATTTTCTCTACTAGTTGAAATGGATTCAACCCACACATTTATTGTTTTGGCCAGAACAATGTATTTTAAAGCTTTGAATTACCTTGCACTTAAGCAGTAGGAAGTTTCACTTTAAATTACAGAGTTAGGCTTCCTTGGGGGCAGAGGAAGGACATCTGGGGTTGAGGGAAGAGAGCCTTAAAACCCTGAAGCAGCTTTCCTGCCTGAGGAACTGGCCTGGGCTACCTAGGGTGCACACACAGGCCTGCCTTCCACCGAGAGCTCTGCAGCGCCACCCACAGGTGTCACCAGGTAGTCTCGTAGGCATTTTCATTTTACTGCTAAGTGCAAGTCGCTCAGTCCTGTCTGACTCTTTGAGACCACATGGGCTATACAGTCCATGGAATTCTCCAGGCCAGAATGCTGGATTGGGTAGCCGTTTCCTTCTCCAGGGATCTTCCCAACCCAGGGATTGAACCCAGGTCTCCTGCACTGCAGGCGGATTCTTTACCAGCTGAGCCACAAGAGAAGTCCAAGAATAATGGAGTGGGTAGACTATCCCTTCTCCGGCAGATTTTTCCCAACCCAGGAATCGAACTGGGGTCTCCTGCATTGCAGGAGGATTCTTTACCAACTGAGCTATCAGGGAAGTCCATTTTCATCTTAGAATTTTTTTTTCAACATCTAGTTTATACTTTATTTTCCTATAACTTTAAATGATTATAAAAACAATAATCATTAGAGATAAGTTTTAAATCACAAAAATTTAACAGAGTAAAAATCACTCGTATACCACCCAGGAGTTAACCACCATTAATATTTCCTTCCAAGGCATTTCTGTTCTGGGGGAAGGGGGGGGGGGTCCTCTCTGTTAATTTTTGGTGTTGATAATTTATTCATAATTTTATACCATACTGTTGAAAAAAAACTCTGAATATCATGTTGATGTATATATAAGTGTAAATAATTTTCTTAACTACTTTCTTGATGAGGAAACTGAGGCACAGAGTAGTTAGGTAACTTTCCCCAGATCTTATAGCTATTCAGCAGCAGCGCTGGACAATCTGCTTGTTCACTTACTGCTCTGTCTTTATCTAAGTGTCCCTTGTATGCTCCATGAGTCCCAGTCCACAGTTCTAGGAGCACCGTTTCTCTAACATCTCAGAACCTTCCATCACCATGATCCACTCAAGCAAGTCTTGTCTTGGTGAAACCTTTGAAGCTATACACCCCGCCTTCTATTCTAAAATCAAGTAGCTCTTAAATCACCAAAGCACTCTGCCTTGGCACATAGACCTTTGGGATACTATGGGTTATTTAATAACCACCAGGTCTGGAACCCCTCTTCGTGCCAGGATGTGTCAAGCCCTTTACACACATTTTCTCATTTGGGCCATAAAGTAACCCAGTGAGGTCTGTTGATTTATTATCTTCATTTTTCTGCTGAGGAAACTGAGGCTCAGAGTGGCCAAGGTGAGATTTTGATCTAGGTTTGTGTCATTCTGTCATCCTAATTCCCTGCAATTGAAACCTGTCTTGTTTGTTAAAGTTGTTTAGTTTTCTGTGCAAAGCTTCTCGGTCCATAAATGTAGCAGTGCAGTGGCTATAGGGCCTGGTCCCTGGGTTTGATTAAGGGAGATGGAGCCCCCTGTCTCTGCTTGGCGCCAGTCTGCATGACTTTGTCCCAAACCTCTTGCCATACAGCTCCAGTCTCAGTGGCCATGGAAGTATACTTCCTCTGATGGTCAGATGCAGGGCCTCTGTGCTGTTGTAGACTTCCCGGCTTTGGAACAGATACCTCTCTAAGCGTAAGAGAGCACCGGTCATTTCTGGCCTATTCTGTGAAAATTGGCATACAGGAAGGGGCACCCAGCCAGTTGGTCTGTAGAGTTGTAAATAAATGACCTCACCCAGACGCAGGCCTCAGAGAGAAGATCCTGGGCTCTGCCTTGATAGATAGGCCCCTGGACATCACTAGTGTCCACTGTGGGGCCTGCACACAAGAATCAGGCATGTGGATTCCTAGCAGAAACCAGCTTTCACCCTATCTGCAAAGAAGGGTAGAAATGGGTGTAGAAGGTGCAAGAAAAGAGACTGTCTTCCAAAATTAGTCTGGCCCTTATAGAAATGAGACAGTAAAGAGTCTGCCTGCAATGCAGGAGACTCCAGGTTCAATACCTGGTTCAGGAAGATCCCCTGGAGAAGGGAGAGAATGGCTACTCACTCCAGTATTCTACTGGAGAACTCCAAGGACAGAGGAACCTGGTAGGCTACAGTCTATGGGGTCACAAAGAGTTGGACATGACTGAGCTAATACTTTCATTTTTCACTATAGAAATGAGATGCATTTGGATAGAGTCCCAGGGCTAAGGGGTTTCCCAGGTGGCGCTTGTGATTTAAAAAACCCACCTGCCAATGCAAGAGACATAGGAGATGTAGGTTCAATCCCTGGGTCAGGAAGATCCCCTGGAGGAGGGCAGGGCAACCCACTCCAGTATTCTTGCCAGGAGAATCCCATGGACAGAGGAGCGTGGTGGGCTGCAGTCCATAGGGTCGCACAGAGTCGTACACCACTGGAGCGACTTAGCACCCATGCACACAATGCTAATGTTTTCTGAAGCTACTGTCACCATTAATTATAAGCCCATGGGCTCCAAGGCCCTGAGTTAGCTGTGAGAAGCTGCCCCCGACTGCAAGTCTCCACAAGCCGTTTGGCACATCTGGCCTTGGATCTCTGTACTCTGTGGGTGGAAGCCAAGCAGAGGGACCATGCTCTGTAGGGACTTCAGGTAAGGAAACCCACTCCTTGCCACCTCTTTGTTTTTACACAGTCCCAATTAAGGGACATTAAGGAAGGTTTGTCCAGACCCTTGGAGGTAGGCTCTGGGTGCCCTAGCCCCATAAGAGCAGCCCTCATCTGTCTATCCTCAGTCGAATCCTTCACTGCTCCTGCTTTCTCCTCAGTGATGTACAGGGATAGTTCTTCATCCCTTGGTTTCCTGTGAGGACTGAGTGAGGGTTGATGTAAGAATGCAATGAGCATGGAGTCAGTGGAAAGTGGACACTCCATCCATGTGTCCTAAAACTGAGCACAGGAATGTTTGGTGGAAGACCCACCAACAGGCCAGTGATCATTTGGTTACTTGAGTTGCTCAAAGATGACCTCATGAAAGGACAAGTCCATACCATAACCTTGCAGAATTAAGGTGGGACACCACTGGGCTTCATGGGGGAGGGGTGCTCAGGTAGACGCTGTGCTGTGTGTGCTGTGGTCTGGCTGGGAGTCAGTTCTCACCCCCTTTCTTAGTCTGGCTTGATGTTCAGCGAACTAACTAGCTATTCATAAGGGAAGGAATAGGATGAGAACAGCAATAGAAGTAGCACCGATTGAGGACTTAACTGTCTACCGAGCGCATGAGGCTAAGTTGTTTGTAACCATTATCATATTTACTCCTCACTACAGCCCATGAGCTAAATGCTATTCTCCTGGCTTTGTAGATGAACCAAGACTCAGAAAAGCTAAACCACTTACCCAACTAGGAAATGAGAGAATCCAAGTTTGTTTGACTCCAAAGTCAGTGTACCTCTTAGGATGGGACCCACCCAGCTCTGATCTCATGAGTATGAAAGGCAGGGACAACCTCATGTGTGCCTGCATGCTCGGTTGTATTCAACTCTTTGTGACCGCATGGACTACAGACTGCTAGGCTCCTCTGTCCATGGGATTCTCCAGGCAAGATTATTGGAGTGGGTTGCCATGTCCTCCTCCAGGGCATCTCCCTGACCTGGGGATTGAACCCGTGTCTGCCTGCGTCTCCTGCATTGCAGGTGGATTCTTTACCCATTGAGCCACTGGGAAGCCCCAGGAACAACCTCACCTCCTATTATGTGTGAAGTTTAATCTGCTGTACTCGGTAGACATTTGGGTACTACCCAGTGCAGCTGCCTACATGAATGTGTGTTAGCACCTGTGCTGTACTCACATGCTTGGTTTACACAAGTATGTCCACTCAGCATACCTGAGTGCTTGTATGTAATTACATTTGGGGAAAGGAGCATCAGTGCCTGAGGTTGGGCTGAGGCAGTGGCTGTGCATTCAGGGTGGCAGAGTTTGAGGGAGGGAACTCTCGGCTCACTCACTATCTACTCGTGGTGATTTGCTTTCCACTGTATTTCCTGTAAGGGGGTGGAAAAATGAAAGATGCACGTACTTGTTACAGTGATGTACATACATGCTGTCGCAGGAGTATCTTGGGAGAAAGAAGACCATGTCCAGAAAGAGAGTATTCATCTTTGGACCAAGGGCAGCCCTCTGATTTCACACACTCACACCTCCTCGGGCCTCAGTGGTGTGTGGATTACAGAAGGCAGGGAAGGGGAAGAGTCCAGTCCAGTCAGGGAGGAGGAAGCAGGAGAAAGAGCAGCTAGGATGGTGAGAGCAGGGTGGGGAGGTGGAGAGGGGAGGGGAGGGCCAGTGTCCAGAATGGCCAGGAAGAGCACGCTCAGTCCCCAGAGCGCCACCTTGTGGGGAGGGTGGTGAACACCTCTCACTGCTCGCCTCTGGCTACCTTGCTCTGACCTGTTAACTTCCTAACGGGTCCTAGGACCCGTGGGCCCTGGATTTCTGACTGGAAGTGCTTTGTCATGATCTGGTGGTCCCTCTGAGCTGGTTGGATGCCTTTTTCTCTTCCAGGCTGAGGTAGCCCAGCTGCAAGAGCAGGTGGCCCTGAAGGATGCAGAAATTGAGCGTCTGCACAGCCAGCTCTCCAGGTCAGCAGCTCTGCACAGTGACCACGCAGAGAAAGGTAACTGGCTAGAGTGACAGAGTGCAGTCGCCCCTTGGCCTGGGTCCTCTCTTATAAGTGGGCTTGTGAGTCTCTGGGTATGTGAACAGTTGTGTGAGGAGGCACGTGGTGTGCATGTATATGTGTATGTGTTCGTGTGTGCACACACAGGCCTATAAAGCCTGTCACTGCTCATCCTTTGGATCTCAACTTAAGTGTTACCTCTCGGAAAGACCTATCCTGGCCATCCCACATCAACTAGGTGCCCCTGCTTTTCTCAGACTCAGTATTCCTCTTGTTTCTTTCATAGCACTTATAACCAGTGTTGTGTTTTGCAAAGTCCCTTTGAATAGACTGTTGTCCTTCCTTGGTGGCAGGGACTGTGACTGTCTTACCTGAGAGCATATCCACAGAGCCTCACGCAGCATTCAGTCCATACCTGCCAAGGAATATTTTTTGAATAAATGAAAAGATAGTGGATGGTCCCTAAGGAGTTCAAGTCTTGCTGATTAAAAATAGAGGCTGGATCCTCAAATATTCTTATTAATGTGTATTTGATATTTGCAGCTATTTGCCTTGCATACAAAAGCATCACACACCTTCCAGCTTCTCCTCTTGCCCTCAGGCTGCTGAGTGTTGCTGAGGAGGTTATGTGGCCCTGTGAACTGGCTCCACTACCGAGTCTCCTCAGCGCGCCTTAGCTTGGATCCCTGGCTGGGGTGGGGAGCCATGCAGCCCTGGAAACAGTGGCTTAGGCTGGAGAAGGAAACAGTGACCCATATGCTCATCCCTCCAGCAGCCTTTCTCAGTGTCTTCACCAGCCATTGAGGGTGTCATCTATCTCCCATGGTCTAATGTGGAGCGTGCAGACCAGTAAGAAACTCTAGACTGTCTATGATGCTAAACTTGGATAGAGAGCTTCCCAGGCCATGATTTCAGGTCAGGCAGGCTTCCCCCTGCACCCTATGCCTCCCCACAGATCACACTTTCCAGGCCCTGCCTGGGGTACCTCCCGGAGCTGATCTTTAGGGCCTTGTCCAGTTAGGCCCTGCCCAAAGCATCAAGATTTGCTTCATCTGGAGCTTACCACCCTCCCCTCCACAAACCACCAAGAGCCTAAGACACCAAGCAGCACTCTATACCTTCCTCTGAAAAATGAATCCCTACATCTGTTTACACAAAGTCCGTCAATCCATTCTTCCTGCTCTTGTTGGCTATAGCAAGCATCCAGAGAGATGGGGTGCCCATTCATACTTTTGTCCCCTTGTCTCCTGAACTTTACTTACATAGACATACCTATTCTCTGTAAAAGCCAGTTTGGGATGGGTATTGGGCTTTGTTTTGGAAAAACTATGTGCTAATTCCTAGACCTCCACATATTTGGCAGAATGACTCCCAGACCCTTTGGGCTTTGTCCTTTGACCTGGCTCTCCAGATAGTTTGTGAAGAATTCCAGAGAGTCTCTGTTGGGTCCAGAGTGGGGGAAGGCCAACTGTCATCTACTACAGACTGACAAAGACCCCTGGGCACATAGGGAAATTCTGTAGGTTTACGATGAACTAAGATTGTTTTCCTTGACTGTAGAGTTTGTTTCAATGTATTTATAGATCCAATTAAACATTGTTAGTCAATTCTGACTATGCCTTTCCTAATTGAGCCAAGTACTTGGCTCTTTTTACATAATCATTCTTTCCCTGTCTCCATTTGACTGGAGACTCTTTGTCTTCTTGTTTTAAATTCTCCTCTGGTATAATCCATGGGACTGTGTGATTCTTGATTCTCTCTGAAATTAGTTAGCAGCCCAAGTTCATGCCTACTCAAGTTATAAAGGATAAATGTCAATTTTCCTCTGGGATATCAGTTGTAAGAAGTTTGGGGGTTCTTCTACGACACCCTTGAGCAAATGATGTTTTGTACCCCCCCCCCCCNAGACAAAATACCAGGTCAATTTGTTCAGTTAGCCAACAAATATTTAATGAGACTGTGTGCCAGACAACATCATGGGCTCTTTGAAGAAGTAAGGAGTGATGTATAATTTATTCACACAGAAAGTTGTAGCATCTTAGCATGTAGAACTAGTTGTCTGCATTTTATAGAAATAATTCTTCCTACACTTAAATTCTTTTAGACCAAGAAATTCAACGTCTGAAAATGGGAATGGAAACTTTGCTTGTTGCCAACGAAGATAAGGTAAGATGGCCACTGAGCGGCCCTGTCCTTTCCCTGATGACTTTCCTGGTTCCCTTTGGTCCCTTCTGGTCTCTGATACTTTGGGCAGGGCTGTGCCCATCAGGACACTGACTCAGGGAAGTGTCAGGAGATCCGCCTCTGCTTCATAGAGACTCGGCTCAGTGACCTGCTTTTGACTTTGATGCCTGGGAGTTTTGCCTAAATGGAATCTCTCAAAGGCAGAATAAAGCCATGTCTGTTAAGGCTGGTTTGGGGGAAAAAATGCACTGAGGTTATTGCCTATGTCATAGCTGTTGCTCAGACTCCTAACAAAACTCGAGAGCCACCCACCAATCTCCCATGTTCATGATCTGGTGATAGACCCTTCATAAAACTGGCGACAGACCCATCAGCCTTCTTTGTTCTTCATGTTGAATCCGTACAATCATAGCATAGCCACCTCCATACTCTGTGCCAGAGTACCTATCTGGCACAAAGGTCCGATGTAAGGATCACAGCCCTGCATTTTACAGACCAGGAAACCGAGACTCAAAGTGCTTGAGTAGTGTTGCCTGAGGTCAGGTAACAGCAGATAGCAGAGCCAAGGTCACACCCAAGTTTATCTACCTCTGAAATTTGTGTGTCATCCCAAGTCCCCAGCCTTTGCTGGGGAAGCATTGATCCCCTCCGGGAATTTGCTCTGTTATGTAAGGAATCTCAGACTCCTAAGGTATTGAGATAAAGACGACAGCTTTATTTTAGTCTTTTTTTTTTTTGCATGTAGCTCCAGAAGACAAGGGGCTTCCCATGTGGCTCAGTGGTAAAGAATCCACCTGCCAAGCAGGAGACACGGGTTCAGTCCCTGAGTTGGAAAGATATGCTGGAGAAGGAAATGGCAACCGACGCCAGTATTCTTGCCTGGGAAATCCCATAGACAGAAGGAGCCTGGCGGGGCTACAGTCCATTGGGTCGCAAAGGGTCAGACATGACTGAGCGACTAAACAAACAACTAGAGGACAATACTTGGACCAGGAGGCAGATTTCAGTGGCTACATCAGGAGGGTAGGGAGACAGATTCCTGCCTCAGGAAATGTTTGAGCCATTCGAAGGCTGTGTCAAACAGGGATTGTTTTATAAGTAGATACCGGACTCATAGCCTTCAGGGAGAGCAGGAGTGCTTACGGCAGCCGGGGAGGCAGACCACGGAGAATCCAGGGCCTGGACACTCTGTTTCCCTTTGAAGTGTTCTAGAGGTTCCACATAGCTTTTCCTTTCCTTGTGCCCAGAACATAGGCTGGGCCCCAGATCAAATCACCTCAGGTGCCAGCGTTGTTGTTTACTTGGAAATCTGTCTTGCCCTTGACAGGACCGTCGGATAGAGGAGCTTAGTGGGCTGTTAAACCAGTACCGAAGGGTGAATGAGATCGTGATGGCAACCCAAGGTAAGCGCAGTGGGGAGCTTACCATCCTCTCCCCCAGATACTCCATCTCCACTGTGTTAAATGCCGGACAGTCCTGCCAGAAGAGTCTTCATCTTCATTTGGAAAAATGCTCTGCGGGAAGATGGAGCTGGTTAGACTTCCCTGGGTGGTGGGAAATTGGCAGCTCTTGATTTCCAGAAATTTTGTCAAATGGCAGACAGTTCAGAACTTCCAAGGACTAAACTTCCAGATCATCAAGAAAAGAAAGCCACCAACTTGAACCATTGGGAATCCCCACCGATAGGATATCTATGCATCTCCCTGGCATACTTCTTAAGAGGCAGCGAGTGTTCTCAAACCTGGATCCGAAGGCAATTTAGTACCCTCACTGGGATTTAGAGCCTGTCCACCTCCTGGAGAATCTAAAAGCGTCCCTAGCCATTGCCAGGACACTTGGAGAGCCTTCTTTGAGTTTCTGGGTGCTTGGGTTCCCATAGGAAGTCACAGGGCAGGAAGAGTTGTTTGTGTTTGATACTTGCTGCCCAGACTGAATGCAACACTCAGGCAGCATCCGTGTTGTGTGGGCCCCCTGGGGCGTATGCCCGACTGCCTGCCTTGTTGGTCACACCGTTGACCCTTGTTGGTCCCACTGTTGACCCAGACTCCCGATCCCGATCCCGAGGAAGCAGCTGTTTCACAGGAGAGGCTGCTGAGGGTGCTCAGGAACCTCTCATTCAGGCTCAGCTGCTGCTGCCTCTTGGGGAAAAGCCAACCCCTAGTTTGGGTTGTGGCTGACGGGTTGTCACCCAGGACCACCGCCAGCCCTGCACACATGTCACAGGCTAATTTCCTCTAATCCTTTTGGATCTTGGGACAGGTCAGGGCCTGAGTGCCAGCGGCCAAGGAATGAGAAGATTGAAGAGGAATAATTAGGGGGTGGGGACTTCTCTTGGTCCCCCAGCATGAGCTTTGACCTTGAAAGGCCTCCTGGAAGCCCTTGCTCAGATGCTCCAATGAATATTCTGAATCACACTTTTAAGGTCCCTTAATGTTTTTCTTTGTCCCTCTTAATGAAGGAGAGACAGTGTTTGAATTTTGTGGTTACAATTATAGGTTTTTAAACAAGCCATGTGGTGGTAATGATCTGCATTAATGCTTCCAGGGCCTTCAGAAAGAACTCTCTCAATCAATGAGGAGGAACTGGAGGGAGGTTTCAGGAACTGGAACGCTGCAAATAAAGGCCCCGAAGACCTATTTAAATCAGAGGTACTGTGTTTCCATTAATGATGTGGGGTTTCGGCAGGCCCTGGGAGCTTGCCCTGAACCTGGGGGAGGATCTAATTAGGGACTTGCCAGGTATAAATCTTGACAGGTAAAAAAATTGAATCAGTGGAGTCACCCCAGAGGCTTTGGGGAGACACTGAGGGTGGGAGGAGCCAGGGCACAGGCCTGTGTTCCTGTTGGAGAGAACAGCACAGTGGATACTAGACTTCTGAGGATAGGAATTTTCTTTTCTCTTTTCTAAACTTCGTTGCCGTGAGGGCTTTTCTCTAGCTGCAGCGAGTGTGGGCTCCTCTCTAGTTGTGGTGTGTGGGCTTCTCTTGTCTCAGAGTACAGGCTCTAGAGCGCATGGACTGCACCAGTTGTGGTGCATGGACTGTGTTGCTCCATGGCATGTGCAATCTTCCCAGACCAGGGATAGAACACGTGTCTCCTGCATCGGCAGGCAGATTCTTCACCACTGAGCCACCAGGGAAGCCCCAACTTTTCTTTTTCAATTGGTTTCTTTGTTTATTTTTGCCTTTACTCTCTGGAATATGAGCATAGACCAAAGGGGTATTTTTATTTACCACTGTCTTTCCAGGATCTGCAGTGATGCCCGATACGCAGTAGGATTCAACAAATATTTGTTTAATGAATGAATGCATCTTGCACATTTGGAGGGATAATGAACTTTTGGAGTGATACATTCCTATTTCACCGACAACCTCTCTTCCCTGTAGCCAGCATATAGATTTCCTTTTCTCTTGTTTAAAATTTGGTCCAGTTCTATGGCCGTCTCTGGACATAGTCTAGATAACACTGGGCAAATAAACTTGTAGTTACAGATCTCAGATGGAGGAGGGATTTCAGCCCAGAATTTTAAAAGTTCTTAAAACTCCGGAACAGTCACACTGAGGAGGGTCTTAGTCCAGCTCACCCCTTTTAAGTAAGGGAGGGGCAAATGTATCACCTGGTGGCCCAGTTAGGTAGTCAGAGCAAGCACCCCAGATTGCTGGCAATAATGGCAGTAACTGATATCCAGTACCCCTGAGTCACCCCTGTGATTAGCACTGTATGTGACTCACCTCATTTATGCCTCATGATACCCAACTGGGGGTTCCTCTCTTATTGTGCTGCAGCTGAGGCTCAGAGAGGGTAAGTGATCTGTTCTAGGCCACGTAGCAAGTAGGCAGCAGAGCTTGGACTTGAACCCCAAAGCTCAGGCTTTTAACAACACTATGTACTATGATGCCAGGGTTCTTTCTACGTAGCTGAAAAAGATACTGTGTTCCAAAGAAAGACAACCCTTAGAGTCAGTGAAGACATTAAATTGCATCCTTCTCTACCACCATTAGCTCACGTTCATTCCACCTGTGATACCTTTGCTTTTCTGACTTTCTTGCTAAGCCCATTCTAATCTCTCAAGATTCAGCTTAAGTTTCTCCCCCCCTGAAGACTCCCTGACCGTCCCACCAATGAGAAGGGTCCCTTCTGTTCCCTTATTCTTAATGTATCATAGGAGGTGTTGCATCGATCTTTTATCCTAATTGACTTACCCACCTCCCTGATGGCCTGGCAGGCAGTAGATGCTGCTCCTGTTTGTTGATTGACTGTATGAATTATAGTATTGCTCATTGCAAGCAGAAATCCACTCCGGCTAAGTTACGTGAAGGAATGCTATTGAAAGGGTGCACAGTGGCTCACTGAAAGGCTCCGAACCAAGCTCAGAAGGGCAGGGCACAGGGATTTGGGTGTCAGGACTAACTTGTCAGGACTCTACTGCAAGGATGTGAGCTTGGGCTCTAGAAGGACAGGCAAGTTGGCCATGGCTTTCAATATAGCTTTCTTGTTGGCCTCTTAAAAAAGCAAGGCACCAGTATTGTAGTCCCTGTGGCTATACCCAGAGCAGGAGATGTACCTCCTCAGGAGGAATTGTCCAAACAAGGGGAAAGGATGGTGGCCGGTCTCCAGGCAGTAACTGTTCTTTCCAGTGACTCTTCTGGTTCCCATGCAGGTGTCTCCAAGAGGCAGCTCTCCCACGGCGGGGCCACCCCCACTACCACAGAAATCACTGGAAACCAGGTAGGAGGCCCAAGCGTTTCTGTGGAGCTGCTGTGCTCTCAGGCCCCCTTTGGGGCTCCAGACGAGGCAGTGATCACAGCCACCATGTCCTGGGCCCACCTGCCCTCCCATAGTCAGGGCAGCACTCCAGGCCCCAGCAGCGGCCACAACGGGGCCAAAATGGTGGCGCAGTCACGAACCATGCCCACCTCCCCTGTCTGCAGAGGTGGGGGGGCTTCCCTCCCCACAGGCCGAGGGTCCGGGTTCTTGTCACTGAGCGGAGACCTGGCCAGGGCTTGGGGCCTCGGGGAGGAGGGGGCTGCACCTTCTCTGTGCCCTCCGGGGGCTCCTCAGAGCGGAGAGCACCCCGTGCGGTGTGCCTGTCATTCCCGCCAGCCCCTCTGGAATGTCCCTCCCGCTCTCAGAGGGAGTCCGGCCCTGAGACAATAATCCACTCTCTCCAGGGAGGGCCTTTTCTCCTCACAGGGAGGTTGGGCCAGTTGCTCTGAGGAAGCTTCACATAGCAATGAGCTTATTGTGGGCTGGCCTATGTGGTCACCAACTGCCTCCTGACTGATACCCTCGAAAATGAACCACTCCTAGTTGACGAGGTCAGCTCTTCAGAACACCTTTCCAAGGAGCCGGGATGTGGAGCTCCACAGCCAAGGGCAGGCTGTCTTTCAGCCAAGTGGTGGGAGTTTGCCCAGAAGGGCACTGAGACCCCAGAGACTGGGTGCTCAGAACCCCCCATTTTCCATAAAGCCATTGTTCCTGAGCTGTTAGCCTCAGAGGAAAGCAGTCATGTCAAGGATGGCGACTGGCCAATTCTTAATTTTGCAGAATAAGAAATTTGGTTGATGAGTTCACTCAGAATGAAGTCAACATTGAGTGACTCACACTGACTAGACTCATAAGAGACTAATGTACCAACCAATGCTGATTTATTCATATGAACTGAGAAATATCACTGCCAAGGAGACTTGTCACAGGTAACCCTTGTGACTATGGGTGGTGTTGCCGCTTCTCTATCCAATTGGTTCCCTTCACTGCAAAATAGTGCCCGAGAAAGCCGATTCCTCTGAGCAGACTGCTCAGTTCTCACAGAGTTGGAGCAGAGGGGCAGAGGATCCCAGTGGGTAAAGCTTTGGCGCTTTGGCCGACGTGCTCATCTCCACTCCCTCCACCTCCTCCCCCCCTGGATTACTCTCATACTCACAGACAAGGCAGTATTGGCCCCTTTTCCTCTCTTTTTGACTCCACAGACATTGACCTCTTATGACCACACAACAGCCAGCACCCATTGATGCCACTGGATTGTGTATTCTTGTTTCTTTGAGGACTGCCTAGGATTTTTGATTTGGATTTCAGTGATGCTCTCATGCATCACAAACACATTGTCAGACCAGGCCATCCCCAAAGTGGGCCAGTCTCATTTTATGTGTAACCAGTTATGATGAGAGGGTGTTGAGTTTTTCCTGACCTTGACTCTGAGCCCAAGATAGAATACCAGTTAAACATTGAAATGTCCTCTGCATGAATGATACTACGTTCCTCCTTCTCCAGTAACTCTTTCCTTTTTTATTTTCTTTTGTGTTTTTCCAGGGCTCAGAAAAAACTCTCCTGTAGTCTTGAAGACTTGAGAAGTGAATCTGTGGACAAGGTCAGTCCATCAGTCTGTCCATAAAGATGACTGAGTTATTTCTTTGAGGTCAGCACAGTGCTGGGACACACAGGTCAGGCGCTGTCCCTACCTCATGGAGGCTTTTATCAAGTTGCTGGGGAGGCAGGAATTACATGAACATTTTGAGAAAACAGGTCAGCTATGGCCCAAGGCATCCTAGAGGCAGGGTGAGTCAGAACATGCTGCCTGGGGTTGATGAGAAAAGATGCTGAGATGGGCATGGGCAGGTTTGGGGAAATGGTTTGGGGAGCAGGAGGAGGTAAGGTCGGAGGCGGGAGTCAGAGGAGCCAGAGTTCTTAAATCCTGGTCCTATTTCCCCAGGGCACTTGGAGTGTTGCAGAGGTTTTGAATGAGGATATAATGTGGATAAAGGAGATGACCCTGGAAGTGGGTTATGGAATAAAGTAGAAGATTGGAGAGGAAGCTTCTTAAAGAGTCTAAAAAGACATGAGGCGGGCTTTGTGGCTCCTTATGTGGGGCTAGCCCTTGACCACATGGGTGCCCCTGTGCTGGAGAGGAGGATCGCAGATTCTTGGGCAGCGAGGTCACTGGACACACAGGGGTGCTGCCCTGTAGAGCACCCCAGTGACCTTACTGCATCGATCCCTTGGGGTCCAGCAGTGGGCCCGGCTCCCTGGTGGTACAGTGTGAAACCAGGAAGGCAGGAGCCCGCAGCGGCTTTGTTCCCATCACGTGCCTCAGGCTCTCTCCAGTCAGATGGCAGCAGCTGCCTGGGATGTCTGTCCATGCGCTTGGACAGTGACCTGTGTTCCCTCCACAGATTGTGTTGATCTGACATAGAGATGGGGAGGGAGGGAGGGGTGAACCTTGCAGATTCAGGCCGGCAGGTGGCCCTGAGTTGCTGCCATGACTAATGCAGGTCTCTTTCTCTCCGCATAACTGAAATCCTCCTTGCCATCCCATAGTGTGTCGGTGCGAACCAGCCCTCCCCAGTGGTAGAACCCAAGGTATTATACATTAACTGCATGTCCCTGTTGTCTGTATGAGGCTGCGCTGTTTGCTAGTCTTTTTTTGAGTGTGAAAACTCACAGAATTTTATTCTAAAATCCTGAAGTTGACTGTGAAAGTAAAATTTTTATATGTTTAAAAAATTTACAGATTATATGACTTGCAGTTTCATAAAATTATCAATGGATGTTCTACCCACGGTTTAACATTAAGTAGATTGCTAGGTAACATATCATAAGTGAACAAGGCCCCTGAAAGTCACAGATGTCAGTCACAAAAGTAGACACTTACTGATGGCAAACTGAGTGAAGATTTCAGTGTGATATTCTAGAAGCCCAAGACCATAAACCACTCTTTTTATACACAGCTCTACACACAGAGCTTTGTGTGGAATCTCTTGGGTTTCCATCTGGCACATCCTGTATCACCTGATGTGTAAAATCAGTTCCAACATATGCAAAAAGTTGTACCAATTCACAAAAATGTATTCACAAAAATGGCACAAAAGTGAATTCAACAGGTTATGCATATACATACTTCATTTGCATCTTCAACAAAACAAAAAGATATTCTAACACTAGAGAAGTGAAAAACACTAGGTACCATGGGCTCCCTTGAGTAAGTATCAGTGTCACACAAAATTATACAGGAATGGGGAAATATTGCCCAAGGAAAAAAATTCTATTTTAACAAATGAAACAAGTTTAAGGGAAATCAAGTTCAACTATAGAGATACAAGTCTTTCACATTTCACATTGCTAGTCTTTTCATTTAGCAAGTTACAGCTTTAGTAACCTTAAAATATGTTACCGGTAAGGGGTGAAAGGAAAGAGGAAACTTCCTCTCCTGCTTTCTTCTTCCGTGCCCTCAGCTGGATCCTGCGCTTTCATCTCCCTTATCTGTGCAATAGGACTTCTTATCTTCCCCGTCTTATAGGCTCTGGGAAATCCATCTTTAAGGCAGAGTTGTTCTGATCTCTGGGGAGGAAGTTGTTATGATCTCAGCACACAAGCAGAGGAGCGAGACAGCTCTCGTCCTTTCTGTAGTGATGTCATGGTTAAAACACCCAAGGGCTCACTCAGCGCAGGGGCATGGATCCTTCTGCAGTGTCCCCGCACAGGGGTGTCTGGCCTTTGCTTTCTGACTAAGAGCTCATGACATTGTAAGACACCCTCTGTATTCTTCTCCAGCCCTGTTAGATGCATGTCTGGACTTCCCTTGAATGTGCCTCCACTGATGGGCTCTCCCTGTGGAGTCCATGCAATGAGTCGGTCTCCCCTGCTCCTGACAGCTCTGGAATTGGAGTGCTGAGGCCCTCTCTCAGTTATCATCTTCCCCTGTGCACAGCTCATAGACCCTTAAAGGTCCTATTCCATATCCTTGGAGCAAGCAGTGAGTCCTCTATGTCATGCCTGGACCACACTAGCCCCCATGTAGATGGGGTCTGCCCCCTGCCTTCCTCGCTCCAAGGACTGATCTTGCCGTTACTGCTGTCACTGTAGCCCTCGGGTGTGTGATATTCTCTGTGCCTCTGTGTCCTTGTGTGCTAGGCCAGGGGCAGGAATTGTTGTTCTCTGTTTAGAAACAATAAAATTGAGGTTCTGGGGGACTAAAGAGAAAGAACTTGGCCCAAGTTGGTCTGACTCCCAGCCTAGGCTCTCCTGCTCAGGTGCGCTGCATCTGTGCTCTTTCAGGGGAGTGGGGTCATCGGCCGTCTGCTGCTCCTTGCCTGGGATTTCCATCCCCCTAACCAGGGTCATTCTTCTCAGAGACTGCAATGCAGGAGTGGCTTCGGGCATTTCTGTTTTCCCTGTGTTGTGTCCTGATGTTGCATCACCTTCTCCAGCACTGAGTCCTTCCTTCCCAGCATCTCTTCTTGGCTGAGCAGAGCTGAGAGCCCTTTCTGGTGCCCTTGGTTCTTTTACTGTCTTTTTCACATACCTGAGCTGCCTTTGAAGCCATCTTACACAAGCTTCTGCCCTCTGTAAGTCTCAGCTCTTCAGCAGGCTCCTAGGGTAGCCCACATGGGTGTAGCCTTGGCTGTCTCTGCCTTGTCTTAGAGGAGTGTGTATGATGATACGACCGGATGCATGTTTCTGAACCCTTCCCCATTCCCATATCTCTTGTATAATATGGAACTTGGAGTCATGCCCTTCAGTTCTCGAAAATTTGTGAATGCCGCCTCCCCCACAGTCAGTGGTTCCCGGGTCTGACTGTACGTCAGAGTAATCTGAGATGAGTGTTAAAAACACAGACTCCCAGGTTGCACTCCCAGGGGGGCTGATTCATGGGTGCGGTGGGACCTGGGCTTTTATATTTACAAGTGTCCCAGGTGATTATGAGCCAGCCTGTGTGGGGGCCGGTATTTGGAAACTGTTGCTGTTGACCACAAGTCTTAACAGGTCCAATCTGTCCCTCATGGGTCATCATGAACTTAAAAACTGTGTGATCTCCATCTCTTCAAGTTCCAGTTATTTCTTCTTTACCAGCCAGTTCCTTCAGAATCCCTTGAAAAGTTAGCCCATTATTCTCATCTCTCTCCTGAGCTGATTTATATAGGATTAGCATTCAGTTTTCAATGACCAAATTGAATTTCAAACAATTTCTAAGGCATGCCTTTATAAGGAAACTGAATTCAGGAATTTACTGGGCACTTGGCTTTTAACTAAATGAAAGATATCGCAGTCACTGAAGTCTCCCACTACTCTTCTGACTTGTTCTTTTTGAAATTGGTTTCATCTTTCTTCTTTTCTACTTCTGCATCTCATCAAGTGATCCACAGTTGATTCCCTTGGTAACATTGCTTCAATTTCTCTTTTCTTTTCACTCAAGTGAATTTACTACTGTGTTTCCCTCAGGTTTGTGGGTTTAGGGCCCGTTAAATCCTTCTTGACCAAATAAGTGCAATTCTTTTTTTTAAGTGCAATTCTTCTTCATCTCGAGATCAACTTTTCTTTTTGGGACCCTTTCCATGGCCAGAGTCTGAGTACAGGGCCCACTGCCCTGGGGCTGAACCTCTTGCAGACTGTGATCCCAAGTTCCCAGGGAATTCCGTGCTGGCGGGTGGCCCTCTGACCCACTTTCTATGGACACCTCCCTGACTGTGTGCTTACCTTCTCACTTCACCTTACCCTGCTATCTTTTAGAGTAACTATTGTGATATATAAATACGATCAATAGATAATATTATCTACTAAGGTGAAGCAATAGGTATAACATTTATTGGAATTCTGGCTTGTATGCCCAGAGAGCTTGAAGGGTAATTCTCGGCTGTTGATTCCTTTACCTCTAAGCACAAGGCCAGATGGCAAAGGCTTAGCCTCCTGTTCAGACATGGCTTCCATCAGCCCTCAATTCAAGCTTGACTCTGTCCCCATCTCGCTATGCGGCTTTGGGCAAGTTTCTTTCTTTCTTGGAGCTCTGGTTCTATTGTCTGGCCTGGACTAAATGACCTTTTAGGGGTCTTTGAGTTGGCCTCCGTTTACAAATGGTTCTTGGAGAATAGGGAGTTGTTCCTGCATCCAGAGATTTCCTAACTGGGCTTGAGGTGGAGAGTGACAGCTAATTCAACATCTCCCTCCCTCTTCTTCCCTTAGGATGGCCCTTTCCTGGCGGAGCACAAGTACCCCACATTACCTGGGAAGCTTCCAGGAGCCACGCCCAATGGAGAGGCTGCGAAGTCTCCACCTACCGCCTCCCCAGTGGACCCTGCAGGGAGCAGCCCGCTGAGGCTGAGTGAGTGTCCAGACCCCAGGCTGGTGGCTTCTGGTGCCTCGGCCTTGGCACTTCCACTGTTGCACGAGGTCCCTGCACCCTCCCCACCACAGCCCACAACTGGAGAGCAGTGGGGGTGGGTGGATGGGACTAGTCGTACCTCGGGGTGATCCCATGTCCAGAGATGATGGCTGTCTTTCTGGGCTCACTATTACCTTCCAGAAACACCCCAGACCCCAGAGAATCAGGGTGTGTACCCACCTTCTTTCCACCTGTAATTATTCTACCCCCATTTTCTCTTCTCCTCTGTTCCTCCTCTCTTGACTCCTTCCTGATCTTCCTATTTTTCCTCTTTCCCTCACTGCTAGACACCACACTCCACCCTCCCTGACCCTCCCCATTCCTCCTCTGTCCTCCTTATCTCCTTCCTGTCTCTGCCTTCCTTTCTGCAGCCTCCCTCTTACCAGCAAGGTGATATTATGTGCTCTTCCAAGGAAGAGCATTTCCTCAGAGCAGTGGAGTCAGTGGTCAGTGGGCAAGGATGCCAGTCCACCAGTAGCCTTTTGGTGCTTAGGATCTGATGGAGGTCTTTGCACAACAGGCTGTATTTCTCCAATAGCAGCAGCAGATCAGGGGGGCCTAGAAGGGAGCATTCTGGTTCTGACAGAACTTTCCCCACCCCTGACTCCTCATCCCTGGCTGTTCCCAAGCCAGCCAATGCACAGGCTTCTGCCTTTGGCTGCAGAAACTCCAGATAAGCCCTTGAATGAATGTGTCCTAGCGACACTCAGGCTGTGGACTTTCCTGCAGCTTTGGATCATTGTAGTCTGCTCTGAGTGAGCTCTGGCATGTGCACAAGAGCAGTGGGCAGCCTGGCATATTTGGCCCCCACAGTTGCCCCTCTCCCTCCATGTGTGGATGCCTTACCTGCCAGGAAGTGGCCCCAGGAGCATTTGGTCCCCTCTCACTGCAGTGACCCTGCAGATCAGGCTCAGTCACCCTTCACCCTCACCCTTCCTTGTGGGATTATTTTTCTTTCTGTTTGAGTTTTTCCCTCTTGCTCGATGACTCTTGTTTATTTCTTTGCTTCCCTATAACTCTGTGGGGCTGGACTTTGGCCTCTCTTGCTTCTTCATGTGGCTTCTCTGCTGCTTGGTTGGCTGGAGACCGTGGCCGGAGTGTCAGTGCCCCTGTATTAGGTACTGTACCCTTCCAGGTGAGGTGGAGAGTGAGACGCCCTTGCTTGCCTCCCGGGACACCCTCCCTTTCCCAAACATTCAGCCAGGTTCCCCTGCTGCCTGCACTCCCACGTCTCCCTGGGGGGAGAGAGGAAGCTCCTTGCTGGAGTTATCCTGCAAGTACTGGGCCCCCATTTGAAGACATTTGCTCACCCAGATTTGAAGTCTTAAGCTCACCAACTCCCCAGAGAGAAAACCTGGAGTGTGCTTGAGCCCCTACTGGTCTCTGACATCTTGCTGTAAAGTTCTGCCCTGACAGCTGGGCTGTCTTCCCGACTCCCACTGAGGGAATGGCCCAGGCTCAGGGAGAAGGTTTGCAGAGGTCAGGTTCCTTCTTGTCATTCACTTGTCATTTCATTCTTTCAATCTCAGGAGACACAGAAAGTGGCTGGGATGACACTGCCATGGCCAATGACACATCCCTGTCATCGGGCACCGAGTCCAGCCCCCAGTCTCCCCTGACATCAGATGGTAAACGGAGTCCCAGAGGCATCAAGAAGTTCTGGGGAAAGTAAGTTGGTGGTGATGATCATTAATTACATTGTTTAGAATTAATATTCTTGGCTGAGCAAAGTGTCTCCATAACCCCCTCTGTTTAATTAGATGTTGGAACAGCAGTAAGTACACAGTGGTTACATGTAGAGAGAAGACTTTGAGTTATTTTTTAAGGCCCAGAGAAGGAGAACTATGAAAGGCACCCCTTAAGTATAGCCAGTTGCCTTACATGTCATTCATTTTGGGCATCAGTCCATCCCACAGACCCTGGGAACATCCTCTGCAGCTTATGTCTCATGTGCTTTGGAGAGATGCATGGCTGAGACCAATTTCTTCCTCCTCAGGGCTCAGTCTGTGTCTTAAGCGATCTTTGAAGATACAGTACTGAGTCTTTGCTGGCCTTGCTGACCCAGTCTACAAAATAAGGCAGAAACTGGGGCCTCCTCCCAGGCAGCAACCCGCACTTTGACCCCCCAGGGCGAGGGGCCCCATCCCAGAGGCAGGGTTAGAGTTGAAGCTGGGTCTTGATGCTGGCCCTCACGGGAGGCACTGGGGAGCAGGGCCAAGCAGAGCCCTGGGTGTGGCTTGTGAGGCCCTGTGCAGGGGGAGTGCACTGACCTCGGGCTTCCAGCCTGCCCTCTGACGGCCTCTATGGATTCCTGTCCACACAGGATCCGAAGGACTCAGTCAGGAAACTTCAACACCGATGCCCCAGGGGTGGCCGAGTTTCGACGAGGTGGGCTCCGGGCAACTGCAGGACCAAGACTGTCCAGGACCAGAGATCCCAAGGCTCAGAAAAGGTAAGGCTCCCTCCAGTCCATCTGCAAAGAACCATTTAAAATCCTACCCAAGGTGGAGTGGGGATGGGGGCTGGATGCCCCAGAGCCTCCAGAGATGGAAGGCAGGAGCCCCTAGCCCAGAGCTTCTTGGCCTGTCCCTCTGACACGTGTGGACATTGCTCATGCTTATTTCTAGGTGCACTGAGGCAAAGGCAGGGGCTGCCTACAGCCAGGGTGTGGGGTGGGAGGCAGCGCTCCGGCCCCGCGAGTAAACCTCAGTCTCCTGATCTATGAAGTGTGGGGTCAAAAACAAGTGCTTGTGAAAGTTCTTAGGAGGCTCACGTGAGCTCCTACACATTTAACCGTGGCGTCAGCTGGCCACATTCAAGGGTCCCCTTCCCCAGGGAGACTGGTGGAAAGAGAGCACGGCCTGCCTCTGGGGCAGCCCCTCCTTTCACACAGACCTGCAAAAGGGTGAGGGGCAGCAGGCAGATCGGCCCTGATCCCTCATGACACACGGTACCAAACCTTTCTGCAGGGGCAGCTTGGAAGGACTTATAAAGGGATCAGAATGGGAAGTTTTTTCACAGCTGTTCCCATCACACCCAAATAAAAAAAGCATTTAAAAAAAAAAAAAAAACTTTTCCAGAGACCACCCTGGTGGACACCCTCTCGCCACCAGCTTTATTCCCCCCCCCTTCCCTAAATCTCCCTGCTTGGAGAAGAGCCTCTCCCTTCCGACCTGCCCAGGTGAACCTTTAGTCCTGTGTCTTAGGGAAACCCTTTTCCATAACCTCTGCTCCTGTCAGATGATCCCCTCAATATATCATCTCCCGTGGAATATCTCCTACTAAAGTCTGAGTTTCTCAGTCATGAACAGGCTCTGGGGGGCCCTTTCTTAAGATTGGACTGTGACATTTTAAATTTAGCCAAACAGTAAAAAGTAAGGATTTTTTTGGTTTTGGCTGCGCTGGGTCTTCATTGCTGCGTGTGGGCTTGCTCTAGTTGGAGTGAGTGAGGGACTACTCTTCACTGCAGTGCTCAGGCCTCTCGTGGTGGCTTCTATTGTTTGCTGAGCACAGGCTCTAGGCACACGGGCTTCAGTAGCTGCAGCACGTGGACTCAGTAGTTGTGGCGTGTGGACTTTAGGGTACACAAGCTTCAGTAGTTGTGGCGCATGAGCACAGCTGCTCCATGACCTGTGGAATCTTCCCAGACTAGGGATCAAACCTGTGTTCCCGGCATTGGCAGATGGATTCTCATCCTCTGTACCATCAGGGAATTCCAAAATGTAAGGTTTAACCCTCTTAATTTTCATCCCCCTGAGATTGTCAAGTGCCAAGTGCACGTAATGACTAAGATGTGCACAACTTGCATACTAATTCTAGTTACAACAGTCTAGACCTGAGTGAAGGGAGGGTGATGTTTCCCTGGTGTGGCATACTGTTCTCAGACCTGCACCCCTACGGAAGGGAGCACGTGTGGACGCACCCTGCTTCCCCACCCAGCCCCCTCAGGTTCCCAGGCCTTGCCAGGCTCTCCCATGTACACTGCCGGGACCTTTGGTGAGTGGCCCCAGACCCATCCTCCAGATGTCTTGCAGAGAAAACCCGAGGATGCGTAGCCCTCCCGGTCCTGCTCTGCGAGGGTTGTGGATCTGTGTTTACCTTTCTAGTTAGAAATGTAAATGCTCAGCAAATGTTAGTTTTTAGAGGCTAGGAATCTAAGCATATGGTCTGAGAAGGCAGAGACCAATCCAGAGCCATTAGAAAATGAGCCACAGGAAGCTTTTCCACGTATTCCCTGAGTATTCTAGTCTACTTGGCAGTCTTCTGACCTTAGACATTAATGGTTCTGGGATGAAATGATAAAGCCACCATAAGCTTGAATGATGAAATTTTGTTCCACTTCTGGCTTTCCTTTGGATTTATTCTTGAAGAGGGGATCATTGGTTGGGTGTAAGAACTTCTCTAAGACCCTCAGGCGTTTTTCCTTAGAGCAGGACTGCATGGTTAAGGGGCCCATTCACCGTCTGCCAAGTCACTTTGGTGTGGGGAGGCCAGTGTGGGGAACTTTCTCTGCCAAAGGCAGAACTGCCGTTCCAACCACAGAGTTGCTTTGTTTGGATGTCTTTGTGCTTTGTTAACAGTAACAATGGATGACAAGGAGAATGGGAATGAAGGCCTGATGAGACTGTATGTTTATCACAGCTGTGCTTGTGCTAACAAAAATGAGCTTGCTGGTGGGAAAGAAAGGCCTTTATTACTCTTAAACAGAAATGTGATATAATTATATGCTAATACTCTCTGGCATTTATAGTTTATAGATATTTAGGGATAGCCTTTAAAAAATATTGTCACCAATATTCCTATAGGCAAAAGTTCATTGTTACTGAATGTCTCCAGCCCTAATCCTTTCTTTTTTTTCCAGTGGAACAGTTGTTTGCTAATAAAATATTTGATAATGACATTTCATAGGAACACTCAGGTTATAGAAGAATCCATGTTTAAAATTTTTCCTGTTTTGCTGATTTACGTTCCAGTGGACAGAGAAGCCTGAGTGGCCGCGGAGTCAGACATGACTGAGTGCCTCACACACGCACACCCAGCACTGCTGGACAGTGAGAGCTTGTTAACCTACAGCCTTGTCAGCGTTAACTATTTGCAGCTTTTCTTTGTTTAAACTTTGTTTAAACTTCCAGTTTCATAGGCATCCCCAAATTACATTCTTATTGTTAATTTTGTTTACATGCTTATTTCTTTTGTGAATTGTGAGCATTTCTGCCCATTTTTATTTAGCTATGAATATCTTTTAATTGGTTATTTAATTTCTATTTGTTCTTTATACAGTATAGTAAGATATTAAGCCACATCTAAAAATTGTGATAGATCATTTTTTAGGTTTGTTGCAGACTTTTCTTTGATATATGAAATTTTTAGGTTTGTGTACAATAAGTTACCAACTTTTCCTTTGTGATATCTTTCATTATTTTGTTTTAAAATTTTTCAATGATTTTTTTTAAAACTGGTTTTAAACAATGAATTTTTCAAAAGTAATTTTTAAAAACTTCAAAAGTCATCTATTTGGAGATTTATTTTGGTGTGCGGTGACAGTTTTTTCCCCAAGAAAAAGCAGAGTGTAAATGTTTAAGTCAGGCAGACTTTAAAGCCACATGTCTGGCCCCCATCGCTGGAGGGGTTTTCTGAGTTCGTCTACAGAGTGTATTGCCTTAGTGACTCTAGCTTATGAGGAGTCTCTGATCAGAGTGCTTCCCTGCCACAGACCCCCTTTCACTGCCTTTGTCCCAAAGTCATTTACTTGTCTGGGCCCCTTCCACAGTCCAGAGAGGGTCTACCCAATGTACTGACAAAGCCATGTGTTTTGAAATTTTTTCATAAGTAAGACATTTCAAACACAAACAGTTTTGAGACTGCTGACTATTCCAACTTTCTCTTGGTCTACACTTAGACTAATATCAGATGACAGTGGAATAGCCATGGGCATTCTTGGGATCTGATTTAGGGGAAGTTGAGTTGGGAATCCATTAAGTTTGGGTTTGGTGGAATTACGTTTATGTGGTTTGCAGTCACTTCATGTTTAGTTTACTAAGGTTTCATTAATTAGCTGTCCTACTATAAAAATGGCTTCCAATGTGCCAGTGTGCCCAGCACTCTGACACAGAGATTCAAAGTCCCAGATCTCGTTCCAAAACGAACTTGTCCTCTGGCATTTGGTTTCAAAAGTATGGGGTAGTGGGAAAAGAGAGAACATTTGAAATATACAAAACCAGAAGCTAGTCTGTGGAAAGTCTTTCCAATCATCAGATTTGCAAAATCCTAAACAGGAGATTTGGTTCTCTTGGTGCTTATTCAAAACAGAAGTCCTCTAGTTTCAGAAAAGGACTAATGAAATACACACAATGATAAGTGTGCCCTGGGTTCTCCGTCTACTATGGGAATGGCCTGTTGGATAAATTACACTTACATCATTTTAACTGCAATTCGGAAAGATGTTTTGGAACATGTCAGTAAAATAAGTGGTTTGACTGTATATGAAAGGTACTTTTCTGTCATCTCTAAATCACTTAACACCATGATCAGCCCCGGACAAGAGTATGGGAGACCCTGGCACTGACAGAACCCCAGGAGGTGGGAAGGTTGGGTTTGCTACTGTGGGAATGCCACAGGCTTAGGAGAGCAGAGACCATTCACAAAGCGAGAAATGGGAAGATGATGAAGGGTAGAGGAGCATGTCAGAGCTCTAGGATGTTTTGAAAAGGTCTACAGGACAGAGGTATTCAAATTACTGTCTCAAAAACACTTATTTCACCTCAGAACTAAAATGTCTCTCTGATATGTAGAACATTTGTTTCTTCCCAATTCCCAGAAACTTAGAAAGTAAACTTAAGAGCTAATAGAATATGAAATAAAAGTGATAAAGTAAGCACTGAAATTAAAAGAAACTATTCAGATATTAAGAAAAATATATACACAAAAAATCCCAGATCAAACCAAATGCAATAATTCACCAAGAGCAACAGATAAATTTCAAACAAAAATAGTGAATTTTGTTGTTGCTCAGTTGCTAAGCCATGTCTCACTCTTTGCAACCCCATGAACTGCAGTACGCCAGGCTTCCCTATCCTTACTGTCTACCTGAGTTTGCTCAAACTCATGTCCATTGAGTCAGTGACGCCATCCAACCATTTCATCCTCTGTCACCCCCTTCTCTTGCCTTCAATCTTTCTCAGCATCAGGGTCTTTTTCAGTGAGTCAGCTCTTCGCATCAGGTGGCCCAAGTATTGGAGCTTTAGCATCAGCATAAGTCCTTCCAATGAATAATCAGGGTTGATTTCCTTTAGGATTGACTGCTTTGATCTCCCTGCTAAGGAACTCTCAAGAGTCTTCTCCAGCACCAGAGTTTGAAAGAATCAGTTCTTTGGCGCTCAGCCTTCTTTATGGTCTAACTCTCACATCCGTACATGACTACTGAAAAAACCATAGGTTTGACTAGACGGACCTTTGTCGGCAAAGTGATTTCTCTGTTTTTTAATACGCCGTCTAGGTTCGTCAGCTTTTCTTCTAGAAGCAAGTGTTTTTTAATTTCATGGCTACAGTCATTGTTGGCAGTGATTTTGGAGACCAAGAAAATAGTCTGTCACTGTTTCCATTGTTTCCCCATCTATTTGCCATAAAGTGATGGGACCCAATGCCATGATTTGCAGTTTTTTGGTGTTGAGTTTGAAGCCAGCTTTTTCACTTTCCTCTTTCACTTTCATCAAGAGGCTCTTTAGTTTCTCCTTGCTTTCTGCCATTAGTGTGGTATCATCTGCCTATCTGAAGTTGTTATTTCTCCCAGCAATCTTGATTCCAGCTTGTGTTTATCCAGCCGCACATTTTGCATGATGTACTCAAAGTAGTGAATAGGTTCCTTGATTGTTCAGTAAAGTGAATCATATGAACACATTGGCAAAAAATGAAAATTTCTTGATGATTTTACATGATATATTTACTTTGACCAAGATGATGTTGCCTAATATGCAATAGCAACAAGAACATTAAATAAATGTCAATTCAAAAAATATTTAAGATAAACACCTAAAAGCTTGAATGCTGTGGAATTTTATAGGTCATATCTAAAGGACACTTGATTGTTTTCCTAAATTTAATGATTCTAAAATTGTATTTAACAATACCATTTTTAAACTGTGAAGCTGAAAGTTTTTTTTAAAAACTATCAAAATAACAAATATTGGTCCATTGTGCTAGAAGGAAGGTGGAATTAAGCTTCTCACAGAAAATATAGCCCTGCCCCACCCACAGATTCAAATAACCACAGATCAGATTTCTACTGGTTGAACCCATGGATGCAGAACTCATAAATACAGAGGGCTGAGTGAACTATGCCATTTTATCTCAAGGGCTTGAGCATCCCTGGATTTTGGTGTCTACAGGGTCCTGGAACCAATCCCCTAGCAGATACAGAAGGACAGCTATGTTATTGAGTTGTTGACATATGAAGCAAGCAGAGAATACCAAATATGAAGGTAAAGCACTATAGAAGTATATTTGGAATTAATAAAAACTTTATTTTTCTGGATTCCATGATATTTTTCCATTTTAGTTAGATTTGTAACTTATGTGATTTTTTTTATTCTAAATATGGATTTTGTTCCTAATTTTGTATTCAAATTGTGTATTCACATATTCCATCTGCATTCAATTCTTAAAGAGGTCCTGCCCTAACTTTTATAAGGTCCAGGTCTCAAAAAACCTAGATCTGTGCTTATTCATGATTCATTAAAAACCTAGGCTCCAGGCTGAGTGACCAGCACCTGCTCTCAGGTGCACATCATCTCCTGCTTGTTCTAACATGGTGCTTTCTGGTCATCCTCTTTTAAGAAATTCTCTCACTTTCAAGGAATTTTTAAATGCCTCATTCAGGCATTTAAAAAAGAATTGTTTTTTAACCAGCATTTTAGAAGTACTATCTTAGAAGCAATCTTTTGGAATAGCCAGTCTTCTATATTCCGTGAATCCTCCTTTATTTTAAAAAAATGGATATGAGGTTGGTTTGTCAACCTCCCCAGTACCCCTCACAACTCAACTGGGATTTCAGTGTGCCATTATATTCAGACTTTAAATGAAAAATTGATGTCTTTAAGAATTGATGGCTTTGTAAAACCCAGGCTTCCTGTCTAGGAACATGATCTAGCTCTTCATTTATTCATGTCCTTTTTATATTGCTCAGTTGAGTATCATAGTCACCACCTCCCCCATCCCCACACACAAGGACCCACTCAATTCTCTTAAAGGCAGCTCTTAGACATTTTATAATTTTGGTTGCTATCAGTGGGATTTAAAATTATTATAACAAAAATATTAGTGTTTGTGCATTGGTATATAGAAAATTACATATGTCATGTAAATATTAGGAGTATGTGTATTTTATAACTAGCCACCTTACTGAGTTCTCTTGAGTTTTCTAGGTAGACAATCATGTCATTCTGAAAAGAGTGGTTTTATTTCTACCTTTCTAATAGCTATATTTTTGCTTTTTATTTTATCTTTTCTTATACTCACTGCAACTCTAACCAGTGTTACTAGTGTGATAAAAAATAGTCTTTTTATTGACTTTAATGTGACTGCCCTAGTATTTCATTAGTAAATAAGATTTTAACTATTGATAATCAGAGATTTTTGTTCTTCTTTTAATGTTTGCGTGCTGATAGTCTTTCTCTAGTTTTCTAAGCATTTTCGTAAAAATGATATTAAACACTGTGTAAAACATGATTCAGGTGTGGATCTAAATCCTAATGGGACTGTGACTCTTGGCTTTGGTTCAAGTGTGTGTGTATGTGGACTGCGTGTTCGTGTGAGCACAGCTTCCTGTGTATATGTGTGTTAAATCCCTCAGTCATGTCCAACTCTTTGCAACACCATGGACTGTAGCCCTCCAGGCTCCTCCAGGTAAAAATACTGGAATGGGTTGTCATTTCCTATTCCAGGGGATCTTCCCAACATAGAGATCAAATGCATATCTGCTGTGTCCCCTGCATTGGCAGGCAGATTCTTTACCACTGCGCCATCAGTGAAGTTCTTGAGCACAGCCTCCTGAGGCGCGTGTAACTGCCCCAGGCTCTCAGCAGCTGCAGATCTGAGATTTCCACCAGGTGTTATCCCAGGAAACTCAAGACTCTGTCTTGAATGAGTATGTTGTGGTTCAATTGGATCCCATTATGGGGTTGTTTACACCTAGTCCGTTTTCGTGAGGCCCCATTTGTTCAGATGGAGCCCAGGCCCTCATGCTAACAGGGTCCTTTCCTGCTTCCAGTGACGCCAATGCCCCCTTTGCCCAATGGAGCACAGAGCGTGTGTGTACGTGGCTGGAGGACTTCGGCCTGGCTCAGTATGTCATCTTTGCGAGGCAATGGGTGACTTCTGGCCACACATTACTGACAGCTACCCCTCAGGACATGGAAAAGGTACGGGCTGAGCCCTGGGCGAGGAGGCTCCTACTTCTCCCCAAACTAATGCATGGGAAGATGAACTCCCCCCATTCCTTCCCACCCACCACCCCGACAGCATGCCCACATGTAGGAAGATGGGCAAAGGAGGCCAAGATTCTGTCGCTGTGGGTTGATCCCAGGGCGGTGGGCAGAGGTCTGCTCCACCCATTGGAGAATCTCCACCCAGACACAGGAGCCTCTGAGAGCTGGGCTGCCTGCCGAGATTTCACATCTGTCTCCATCTTTCACTTTCAGGAGCTAGGAATTAAGCACCCTCTTCACAGGAAAAAGCTGGTTTTAGCAGTGAAAGCCATCAACACTAAGCAGGAGGAGAAGTCTGCACTGCTGGACCACATTTGGGTAACACGTAAGGACAGGCAGATGTGTGTATGTCTCTGGCAGCTCCCTGGGAATGTGTGCCTCAAAGGCAGCTGTCTCCTTGGGATAGGCTAAACTTTAGGGGAAACACAGCTGGAACTTGAATGATAATTTGCTGCTTTCTTTTTATGTTTTTTTTTTTGCATCCACAGTCTCCCATTTTCACAAATCTCACTTCCCCATTTCTGTAGGTTGGCTTGATGATATTGGCTTACCCCAGTACAAAGACCAGTTTCATGAATCCAGAGTCGATGGGCGGATGCTGCAGTACCTGACGGTGGTGAGGACCTTTCCCCTAGTGTTTCAGTCATCACCGTGAGCACCCAGCTCAATGCAGGCGTCCCTGTGGAGGTTATTTTACACTTGATTCCACCACCTCTGGCATATCCTTAAGGTCTTAAAACAGTGTCATTTGTCACATAAGACGCCCCAAGTAGCAAAGTACAAACCATTGTGCCAAGGAGAACTGTTGCCGTGTCCGTGTTGTTTTGTGTGGTCTGGAAAGGCTCCTCGTGGGGTGTGTGTCACTTCAGAAGCTCTGGTTCATGCACCAAAACTTTGTTCTTCCAGAATGATCTACTCTTCCTAAAAGTCACCAGCCAACTACATCATCTCAGCATCAAATGTGCCATTCACGTGCTGCATGTCAACAAGTTCAATCCTCACTGCCTGCACCGGCGGCCGGCTGATGAGGTAAGGGCAGGGCGCTACCTGTCCAGGTAGCCCTGAGCCAGGACACCTGTAAGATAGGGCGTTAGAAAACCAGGACATTATCGTCACTAAGTGGCTGCGTTTGGGGCCACACTGTGGATTCTTCCCTTTGCTAGGGCTTCATGGTGCCCCAACACGCCTGTGGCCTGAACTCTGCCCCATCGCAGCCACTATACCTCCAACGTCCATCTCCCTGGGGGAAGATGCATGCTATGAGCCGGAGGGCAGTGGGAGCAAGTCTTTTAAAGACATGATGATTAAAGGGGACGAGGAAGTGGAACAAAGGAGAGAGAGGGAGAGGGGAGAGAGACAAAATGGAAAGATGGTATCAAAGTATGCAGAGGAGTGGAAAAGAGCCTATGAGGAAACCAGGTACTTCAGAATTCTGGGTAGGTAGAATATTAACTGGCCTCCAGATTCACAGGGAATCCATGAGCAGGTTTTGCTAGAGAAGAAACAGTAGAGGTAAACACAGCAACCCGCGTCCTGGGGAATCCCCTGATAATCTTCCGTGAACCTCAGAGTTCTTCTACAAGATTGTCGGTAATACCCTGCCTCCTGTGTTCTGGGAACAAGTCTAACCCTGCTTTAAGAGTACTACTCAGCTTCCCAGGGGATTGAAAACTCCTGTCCGTACTCTCCATCCCCTTTTCTCCCTGTTCAACAGAGCATGTTTTGAATGCCTTCTATATGTCAGGCACAGGGCTGGGCACCCAGATGCCACTTGAGCGCACTTAGGTGTAAGTATCTTAATGTGTATTCTCCTAAAACATTTGGCCACGCCAGTGAGACCTTTATTCTATAAAACACTCAGCTCATAATTGGTAGTCCTCTTTTAAAGTGCTTCTGAATCACTGAATGAATAACTCCATGTCTTCATGTGTTAGTCTCGAAGTAACCAGAGAGTCAGGGAGTAACGGGATTCTGGAATTAGATATCTCAGAGTAGAAGGTCCTGCACACTAGTGAGAGCTTAATTTCTTGGAAACTAGGCACGTTCTCAGGCAGTTGGCATGGAGGCCTGGGTCAGCAGGCATGAGGGTTGGCCTGGGTGAGGCATCTAGGGCTGGCTGATTCACAAAGGCTGGCTCCCCAGAGGAGCTGGAGGACCTGTAGGCCTAACTTCTCCGCTCCCCTCCTCCCTCCCACAGAGTAACCTCTCCCCTTCAGAGGTTGTACAGTGGTCCAACCACAGGGTGATGGAGTGGCTGCGGTCTGTGGACCTGGCGGAGTACGCGCCCAACCTTCGTGGGAGTGGCGTCCACGGAGGTCTCATTGTGAGTGGCTCTTTGAGCTGGTCCACTTGCCTCGGTGCTCCTGGGGTATTCAGGAACTGACGTCTAAGGGCTAGACATGCATCCCAGTAAGAAAGTTGATACTTCATCTGAACTCCTTGCATAAATTGAAATCTCAAAGTAGAATTTGATCCCTTGTGGCTGAGACTTAATGGGCTTCAGGGAAATAAGATGGGCTCTGGAAAGACTTTCCCAGCTACACGCCCAGAGGAGTCCAGGACAAGGGGTCTGCATGAAAACTGCCCATTAACCAGGCAGCTCCACCTGCTGCTAGAGGAACACAGGGCTGGGGAGGGAGAGGGCACCTAGATGTCACTTCCTGCTCGTTACGGGACGATCTGTCTCAGCACTCAGAGCTCTCAAGAGGCAAAGCTAGCAGAGAAATGAGGGGGTGGCTTGGATGTCATCTAGAATGGACCCTGGATGACAAGGGATGAGAAGGGAGACAGCCTTGGCTAAGAGGGCACAGCTCTCCACTGGTCAGTCACAGAGTCAGGCCCTGTGCCAGGGAGCCAGGGGATGGGGACACAGGACAGGTGCCCTGGAGGTTCCCGGGTTGATGGGAGCCTGTTTCTCAATGTCGTCACCTGGAACCACTGGCTGACTGGTCTGATTTCTTCTTAGATTCTAGAGCCACGCTTCACAGGGGACACCCTGGCCATGCTTCTCAACATCCCACCACAAAAAACGCTCCTCAGACGTCACCTGACCACCAAATTCAACGCCTTGATTGGCCCTGAGGCTGAGCAGGAGAAGCGAGAGAGAATGACCTCACCTGCTTACACACCACTGACCACAACAGCCAAAGTCCGGGTGAGTTGCCAGGCCCTTTCTGGGGTGGCCACAGGGACTTGCCTTCTGGCCCTTAACTTGGGCAGCACACAAGCCAGGACCTGGTGCCAAACCCAAGTGGGCTGCCTGGACGAGGAGGCTCTCGTGACTTCTGCTTTGGCTTCTACCTTTGGTTTGATTTTATGTTGCTCTTTGTTAGGCCAGTTCCCGGCCACTCTTGAGTCCAAGGGTGTGCAGGCTTCTTTACACAGAAATGATATGCAGGCACATCCAGTCCTCTTTCCTGATGCTGCCTTGACTCGTTTTGCAAAGCAGACAAGTTCCTGAGTGTGGTGCCCTGTGCCAGTTAGAGCTGTCTTACCAACTCAACGAGTGGCCCTGTGGGCAGCCAGCCCTGGGGGTGGCCAGCACACAGCTATCAGAGGTCCCGAGGTCATGCAAGCACCAGCACCACTCACTGGGGCTCTGAATCTCACACTTCCCCTCTGCCTGAGCTGTCCTGCCAACTCAGCACAGCTCCGGTGCTGGAGCAGGCAGGAAGGGCTCTCTGTGTGGCTGCCCTCGGTGCTGTGAGGAGGCGGGGAGTGCTACCCACGTGGTGCCAAGTCCTGTGAGCTTGGCCTCTCCAGACTGCAGCATCTTCAGGGAGTCCCAAGTCCTCCCGGGGAATGTCAGCATCACAGGGCAAGAGTTTTGGGCATGGAGCCTTGGAGGAGCAGCTCTGCTTGCTCAGGACAGTTGATCTGTTGGCCTCTCCCCAGCAGGCCAGTTGCTTCCAGGAGTGCTATTTTTGTGAAGAGAGTTTTTCTAGAAGCAGTTTGCCTTATTCCTTCCCTCACAGGCCTGCTCTAAAATGTATTGTCAGGGTAGCTGCATACCAGCTCAGTCATCTCTTTCTCATCATCTTGCATCTGCTGTGTTTTAGCCAAGGAAGCTGGGATTTTCACATTTTGGAAACATAAGAAAAAAGAAGTTTGATGAATCGACGGACTACATTTGCCCAATGGAGCCCAGCAACAGTGTCGGTGATGGTCACAGGGCCTACAGTGGCACCCGGGGCCTCAGCACACTTGATGCCCCTGAACTGGACGGGTTGGACCAGGTGGGACCGATTAGCTGATGCCTTTATCACCTGTGCTGTCTGTGCGTCCCGAGAGCTCACAGTAACTCCGTGTGTGTCACCACGTAACTCACCTCACCCCTGCGTATGCGCATGACCCGCAGAGAACATTCCAGCCATTGCGCACCCCTGGGTGTCTTTCTCCGAACCCTGCGGGTGGCCAGGGATGGAGCTGCATCTTTGCTAAGGGGCCAGACTTGGGGACTCAGGAGGAAGGACACTTTAGGATGCTTGTACATTTTTGGTAAGTCCGAATGTCCACCGACAGCACTGGTGGCCACGCCTGAGCTTGGACACAGGTCCTGAGACCGCAGTCAACCCTGAGGGGCTCAGCTCTCAGGCCCCTCAGCTGCTCCCCCGTGGAGGGCAGTCCCAAGTGCCTTGGGCCTGTGGCCAGAGTTTTGGCTGCAGGGACAGAGCAAGGCCTTCTGCTGTGGGACAATGGAACTGTCGTGACTTCATTCAGAGGTGGTCTCTTTCGGTAATAAAACCCGTATTTATGTAGAAAGTGAGCAGCACAGCATATCTCTAAGTGTGTCCAGGGGAGTGAGGTGGGCACATTGACAGCTGGACTGCTGCTGAGAGCCCCCACTGCTGAGCTGGGCTGCAATTTGCGCATGTCCTGGGAAAGGGGGATGGGGCAAGGACTCACCGCCTCCCCCACCAGCCTTCGGAGGAGCCTGTGGCCTCATGTTAGGGTGCACCGGCCAGTGGGAAGCCCAGAGGCATTTTGTGTCTCACATTCTGCTGTCATGCAGACCCCGAAGCTGGTTTCCATTCTGGCGGGGGGAGACCAGCCTGCCTTACTGGCAGGCCTCTGTTCTTGCATGTGTTGTGTGAGTTCCACTGTGACTGCCCTCCCTGGGCCTGGGTAGGGGTTGCTCTGTGTTGGCGGAGCTGGAACAGACCTGTCCTCCCGATTTAGAGGCTGACTGACCAAAAGTGGGTCTTCCAGCTGGGCCTGGTGTGGCCAAGGACAGGGGAGGGACGCACCTGCCAGTCTGGGCTCCTGCTCCTGAAATCCCAGTTGGGCCCAGTGCAGCTTTTGGCTCCACTGGGTCCCCTGGGCCTTGTCTGCAGAATCCCGACAGCAGCATTATAACTGGTGGCCGCAGCATGCCTCATGAGCCCAGTTTGAACACTGGTTCTGTCCCAGATGGAGGCAAGGCAAAGTACCAGCAGCCTGAGGCCGTGGCCTCCTTTGAAGTCCAGTTAGCAAGGAATGTGGGCGCCAGCTTGCAAGTTATTAGCATGGCTGCTGTTTGATCCCAGGGCCAGGACCGCTGATGAGAGGTGCTCCCCGGGGCCGACAGCTGGGCACGGCAGTTTAGCGCTGTAGTCAGGGCCGGCTGTACGCCTTGTTCCTCTCTTATGGTGTCCTGGTGGGAGGTCGCCGCATGTGCCTGCTCTCAAACCCTGCATGGGACTGTGATGTCACTAACTCTCTGTGTGGCCTCAAGCAAGTCCTGCATCTCTTGGCGGGGGCCCAGTTTTCCCACCTGTAAAATGATGGGTTATATGCACTGCCCTCAAAGGGCAAACCTACAATGTCCATAAAGGTTTAGGGGAGGAGGAGCGGATTGGCATTGGCTGAGCAGGGAGGGAGGATCCTGGGATGAGGATACCTGGCTATGCCTACACCGGGGCATCAGTGTCTGAGGTCCTGCTGGGGCCAAAGACTGTCAGTGTGTTCAGCATCAGAAAGGCCTTCACCCCACCTCTCCCTGCTCCTGGGAATAGCTGGAATTCTGCACCTGTGCTGAAGGGTTGCCCTGAATGGGCCCATCTGTGCCCTGCTCCTGTGTCCTCTCAGAGCTGGCACTGAAGTGGGGATGCAGGAGTGTATGTGACGGTGTGGGACAGTGGAAGCTCTGCCTTTGCCCAGGGACAAGCAGTATGTGCTTCACCCATGTGTCGCTCCCCAGGGCCTGGCCCACTCCTTGCCCGCTCTCCCGGGGAGCAGGCCCAGGCCGGATAGGACTCGCAAGCCACCTCTGTGAATCCCAAGCTCAGTCCACAAGCGCTGACCAGGCCACTGCCCGTTTTACAGATGGCACCTTCGGAAGGCACCGTGACGCAGATAGGGCTCCTCTCCCAAGACATTCACCGCCTCACGGTAGGACTCTGACCTTCTCTCTATAGTAGGACCTGTGCTGGGGAGGCCCGGGGAATTTGGTGTGGGGCTGGCTTAGCCCCCTGGCTAATCCAGAGCCTGTAGCACCAGCGCCCCTGCTGGGGGAGAGCAGATGGGACTGGGGGCTGGTGCCGGAGCTGAGCCAGCCCTGAGGCCTTCTCTACTGGCCTGCTGCCAGTCTTGAGCCGAAACCAGCTCAAGTGTCCTCAGTCTCAGGCCCTCTGTCCAAGCCTGAGGCTGGTGAGGAGACCAAGATACTCAGAGTTCTGGGTCACCTGCCTCGTCAGCCCAAAGCCCAGGCCTCACCCCTGGCCTAATGGACAGGGCTCTGCCCTCTCTGCCCATGAGACACACATTTCCTGTCATGCCTCTGACTTTACGGACATCACAGGCATGAGTCCATCCTGGCAGGTCCAGTTGGGACAAACTGTACCATGTGAAGCAGCTCAGACCCAGGGGAGAGGAGCCACTCTGGAGGGGGACTGACTGTCCCTGTCTGCAGCCTTGGGCAAGTCGCTGTCTGTCAAGCAAGGCTGACAACATCCTCCTTGCCAGGCCGGCAGGCAGACCAGAGCTGGCAGAAAAAGGCCAGTCAGAGAATAGAATCACGTTGGTGAGGCCCAGTGCCTCCCAGGGCCTGTCCATTCTGGACTGCCGCAGCATGAGCCCACTAGCCACAGCATCCACTTCGCTGAGGCCTTTGCTGGTTTACTGAGCAGATTATAAAGGCTGAACCCAAGGCAAGACAAGACTGGGGCAGGGGCGGCTCTCCCTGAGTCCAAACAGAATCACTTTTGTCAATTTGTTTTTTCTTGGCTCACACACTGAAATGAACCCACCCAGCCTTGCCTTTCTCACTTCCGATAGACCTTTGGTGGCCGTGAACTAGCACCTTTAAAGGTAGGAGCAATCTACTGTCGATAGTGTTGGCATCCCTGGGACATCATCAACTTACAGGGCGTTGGTGTCAGGGCCAACCCAGGACCCTGCTGCTCCCCATGGAGCAGCCTCAGGGCAGCCGTGACCTGTTGAACGGTGTTGAGCGGGGCCTTCGGCCGTGTCCTTTCAGACGATGCTGAGCCAGGACCAGCTGCTGACCGACTCCCACCTGGCCACTCCCAGATCTGAGGACTGGAGATGACTCTCTTCATGGCTGGCAGCCCAGAGAGGCACGTGTGTGGGTCCCGAGTCTGCTTCGATGGGAAGCTGGCCCATGGCCACCCACAGAGCCCAGACTGGGCCCCAGGGCATCTCCGACGTGGGTGCTGACAGGACAATGCGAGGCTGTGGAACAAATGTCCACGAGGTGGCCCACAGGTTTTCAACTGTGCTGTGCTCTCCACCACAGCTTTTGTACCTTTTGTACTTTATACGTGGACTGTAGAGCGCTTTTGCAGGGAGGGCAGTGAGATGCCCACACACACTCTGACTCACGCCATCCCTAGCGACAGCCGGGAGCTCTTACACCAAAGGGGAAGGGCTGTGAGTCACAAAAGCTTTGCTGTAAAAAAAAAAATTCTGAATGTTCTGAGCTGGCTGAAGTGGTAGGAAGCCCCCTCCCGGGCTGCTTCCATATGGAAGCTTGTAGTGCATTTCCGTTCCCAGGAATCTGGCTGGAGCGCCAGCAGGGAAGGAGTGATGGACTCCCTTGACAAGGCTGCCATTTTCTGCAGTGGTGTCTGAGGTTTTCAGGGCTGCGAGGCCTCCCAGCATCTGAGCAGACATCTCTGCGGCCTTTCCCTCGTCCGCCTCAGAGGCAATTTATCTGATCAAACAGCTTTCCTTGAGTGGAAAGGCCCTTTCCACTGCAAGACATCTCAGGTATGTCCTACCTCAGGGAGAGGCACCTGCTTAGCGGTCACACAGTCACCCTCCCAACCAGCCTTCCCCCTGAGCAATGGCCCCAACTCCTCCCTCTAGCGGCTCTAGCTCTGGCCTCATCTCTCTAACTTCCTCAGGGGAGTCTCCCACTGGGTCCCTCACCCTTCCTTTCCAGTTGGTCCCCTCTGGGTGTTCTCTACACCATCCCTGGAGGGAACTTCCCAAAGCACTATTTTCATCCTACTAAGAACTCAGTTCCACAACCACCAGGGATTAGCATTCAAAAGCCTTAGCACCCAAGACCCCTCTGAGTCTTCAGCGTTCATGAACCCATGCTCTAGCCTTTGCTCCTACCTTTCCCTCACCAGAATGTATTTTTCTCCTACTCCCTGTCACAAGGCTGGCTCCTGTCTGCTGAGGTTCAGGTCAGCCCCAGCCTCTTTCAGGAAGCTTTCACTGAGGGTTGGCGGTCTCCATCCCATGGTGCAGTCTGACCTGAGCACTTCCTGGCTCTCCTTGAAGTAGTGTGTAACCTTTCTCCACCCATACTCAACACAAACTCACTGAGCACCTGTGTGGACAGGTTCCTGTACAGACAAGAGTAAGACCCTTCCCCATCTGCTCATTCCCTCATATGTGCAGGTTAAATACCTTCCATTCTGGGCCAAGGAGCACTGGGCTTACAGGGATGAATGTCAAGGTCTTTCCCTGGGGGTGTGGATGGTCCAGTGTGGGAGTATGCGTCTTCTTCAGACAAAAGCATGTGCTGAATGCTACAGATACTCCAATAGAAGTGTCTACAGCCCCAAAGAGCAAACTGTCATTGTTAACAGAGGGCTGGGGAGGGGGACTGAAAAGGCTCCAAGGAAGAGGTGATACTTGAATTTTGAAAGCTGAATCGGAGTCAAGTATGCCAGAGGGGAAAGGCACTCCAGGCAGATGGACCTGAACCATCCCAGCATGGCCAAGGAAGTACCTGAAGTTGGTATGACAAGAGCAGAGCTTCTTGACCCCTGCATTGCTGTCATTCGGGGCTGGTAAGTCACTGCTGGGGCCATCCTGTGTGCTCTAGGATGTTTAGCAGCATCCTTGGTCTCTCCCTCTAGATGCCAATAGCTCCCCTCTAGTTGAGGACCACTGGGCCAGAGAACTGGGTCAGAGAAGGAGGCCCAAGGAAGGAAGGATCTGGTGAGGTCAGCTGGAGCCCAGATCAAGAAAGGCTTGGTAAGCCAGCCTCCCGGAATTGACCTTGGAGATACATGGTGTCCAGGGAGGGACTACTGAAAGCAATGAGATATTTAAAGCAGGGGACAGGCATGGCATGATTTGTGTTTAAAAGAAACATCTGAAGGGAGGACCTACCTTACTCATCGTGCAGTGCCCATCACTCTGTCTTTCTCTGAGTAGGGGCCTCACTGAGGATGAACTCAACAGGTGGACAGATGAAGGCTAAGCTGCCACAATCTCCCCCAGCCCCCACTGGCCCGCTGAGAGACTGACCTGTGTTACGCTACCTGTGGGTACTGCACCACTGTACTTCAGAGAATTCTCTCGCGCTGTCTTCCTCTATCTCCTGTATCCCTTCACTCTGTCCCGCTACCCACATATACACGTGCATAAGAAATCCAGTGACACCAGGTTCAAACAATGCTGCTACTACGCCGGTTTTTGCAAAAAGCGAACAACCTAGAGTTAAACTCAAGTTTGAAGCCCAGCTCTGCCACCTACTGGCTGAATGATCTAGGGACAACAGCTTCATGTCTAAATTGCCTCATCTGTAACTTGGAGGACAAAATCCCCACACGAGTTCTGGCTCAGCATGGGGGAGAGCAGCCAAGATGGAAGAGTAACAAGACCCAGAACTCACATGCTTTCACGAGCACACCAAAATCACCAGTATCTGCAGAACAACCATCGATTAAAAAGACTGTAGAGATCTTCTCCAGTTAATGACAAAGAAGGAACCACGGTGAAACAGGAAGGATGGACTTGCAATACAGTCAAATCCCATACCACCTCCCCAGGGTAGGTGACCACAGACTAGGGAATAATAATATTAGATTCTCCCACAAAAGCAAGAGTTCTGAGCCCCACGTCAGGCTGCCAAGCCCAGGATTCTGGTCAGATGAGCTCTCCAGAGCAGTTGTTTCTGAAGCCAGTGAGGCTTAACTGCAGAAGCCCCACAAGCCTGGGGCAAAGAGTGACTCCATTCTTAAAGTTAAGTTGCTCAGTTGCATCCAACTCTTTGCAACCGTATGGATTGTAGCCTACCAGGCTTCTCCGCCCATGGGATTTTCCAGGCAAGAGTACTGGAGTGGGTTGCCATTCCCTTCTCCAGGAGATCTTCCCAACCCAGGTGTTGAACCCAGGTCTCCCGCATTGTAGGCAGACGCTTTACCATCTGAGCCACCAGGGAAATTCATTCTTAAAGGCATATACAAAACTCCATGTATACCAGGACACAGAGCAAAAGAAGTAATTTGTTAAGAGCCTGGGCCAGACCTACCTGCTGGCCTTGGAGAGTCTCATGGAGAGGAAGGGGGCGGGTGTGGCTCACCCTGGGGACAGAGCCACTAGTGGCAGCCATACCCGGGAGCATTCGGGAGCCTGAAAATGGTTGATGGTGGCAGCTGACAGCTTGGCTTAGTAGCTCAAGGACCACACCCTGCCCCGTGGCCTACAGGCAAGAGCACTGGGCCACCTCAGGCCAAGCAACTGGGCGGGGACACAGCCTCACCCATCAGCACACTGGCTGATCTAAAGACTAAAGAGCCCACACGTGCCTCTGGGTTCACCCCTCAACATAGCCCAACTCCCCGGAGGGCTAAGACCTGGCTCGTAAGGCAAAAAAACAATTCCCCAACGCAGGCCAGACTGTACCCTGGGGCCAGGTGGGCTCTGAACACTAACAGGCCAACATAACCTTTCAGGATACCCCAGGTCCCATGCCCAACAGTGTTAGGAACCAATGATCTCAAGCTCCCTACAGTCAGACTTCAGGAACTGGTTTCATCTGTCAGCAGGTGGGCAACAGCCCCAGAATCTTTGTGACCCTGATTCTGCCCACCAGTGAGCCAGCACTAGCCCTGGGCCTCCTTGGGTTACCACAGCATAAAGACCCATGCTGCCCTCTCAGGGGGAACCCTAGAACATACAGCTTGGGTAAGGAGAGGAATACACTGCTAGGATGCTTTCTACACAAGGCCACTTCTCCAAGGTCAAGAAATGTCACTAACCTACCACTTACATACAAATAGTAATTCAGACAAAATGAGGTGGCAGAGGAAACCACCACTGCCGAAAAGAAAACAAGGGAAAAGAATGAAAAGAAATTAGGTGAGTTTAAGAGAACTCTAGGACAACATCTAGCACACTAATATTTGCATTACTGGGGTCCCAAAAAGAGAAGAGAGAAAGGGTTTGAGAAAATATTTGAAGAGATAATAGCTGAAAACCTCCCTAACCTGGGAAAAGAAATAGTCACCCAAGTCCAGGAAATGCAGAGAGCCCCAAAGAGAAACATACCAACACATTGTAATCAAAATGACAAAAATTAAAGCTAAAGAGAATACTAAAAGCAGCAAATAACATTAAAGAAGGGAACTCCCATAAAACTATTAGCTAATTTTTCAGCAGAAATGCTGCAGGTCAGAAGGGAGCGGCATGATATATTTAAAGTGTGAAATGGAAAAACACAACCAAGAATATTCTATCCTCTAAGGCTGTCATTCAGATTTGAAGGAGAAGTCAAAAACTTTAAAGACAAGCAAAAGCTAAAAGAATTCATCACCAAACTAGCTTTACAACAAATGTTAAAGGAACATCTCTGGTGGAAAAAGAAAAGGCTGCCAGTGTAAATAAAATTATGGAATAAAAAACTCACCAGTAAAGGCAAACATACAGTAAAGGTATGAAATCAGCCTCCCGCAAAGTTAGTAGAGACGATAAAAAACTAAAAGTAGTAAAGTCATCTCTATCCACAATAAGCAGTTACGGGATATACCAAACAACTAGATGCAAAATATCAAGAAGAGTAATTGTGAGGGTGGGAAAGTACAAATGCAGGGCATTTAAAATGCAGTTGAAAGAGATCAGCAGCTTAATCATATACATACAGACTGCTGTACAAAAACCTCGAGGTAACTGCAAACCAAAGATCTATAATATAAATACACACAGAGGACTCCAAACGTAACACTTAAGATAGTCATCAAGTCACAAGAGAACAAAAGAACAGGGAAAAAAGACCTTCAAAAACAAATCCAAAACAACACAATGGCAGTAAGAAAATATATATTGATTAAGTAAATGGTATAAAGGAAAGACACAGGCTGGCTGAATGGACACAAAAAGATGATCCATGTATTTGCTGCCTACAAGAGGTTCCTTTCAAATATACAGACACTTTACAGACTGAAAGCGAGGGGAGGGGAAAAGACATTCCATGCAGATAGAAATCAAAAGAAAGCTGGAGTAGCAATATTATAGACGAAATAGACTTAAAGATGGTTAAAAGAGACAAGCAACCAACGGATCGCTGAAGAAATCAAAGAGGAAATAAATACCTAGAGACAAATATGAAAGCACAATGTTCCAAAACCTATGAGATGCAGCAAAAGCAGTTTTAAGAGGGAAGTTTATAGTGATACAGCTTACCTCAGGAAACAAAGTTCTCAAACAACCTAAACTTACACCTAAAGCAACTAAAGAAAGAAGAATGAACAAAACACAAAGTTAGCAGAAGGAAAGAAATCAAAAGATCAGAGCAGAAATAAATGAAATAGAGACTACAAAAACATAGAAAATATCAATGAAACTAAAAGCTGGTTCTTTGAAAAGACACACAAAAATTGCTAAACCTTTACCAAGGCTCATCAAGAAAAAAAAAAAGGGAGAGGCCTAAATCAGTAAAATCGGAAATGAAAAAATGTGAAGGATTATAAGTGGCTGCTTCAAGCAACCACGTGCCAACAAAATGGACAATCTGGAAGGAATGAACAAAGAAAGGTACGCTCTCTCAAGACTGAACCAGGAAGAAAGAAAATATGAACAGACTAATTACCAGGACTGAAATTTGAATCAGTAATTTTAAATCTCCCCCAGCAAACAAAAAGTCAAGGACCAGATGGCTTCACACATGAAACATTAGAGACGAGATAACACTTACCCTTCTGAAACTATTCCAAAAAATTGGAGAGAAAGGAACACATCTGAACTCTTCCTATGAGGCAACCATTATCCTAATAACAAAAATCAGACAAAATTACCACAAAAAAGAAAATTAAAAACAGTTATCACTGATGAGCATAGATGCAAAAGTCCTCAGCAAAATACTAGCAAACCTACTCCAACAATACATTAAAAGGATTGTACACCATGATCAAGTGGGAACTATTCAAGGGCTGCAGAGATTTTTTTCAGTATCTACAAATCAATCAGTGTGATACACCGCATTCACAAACTGAAGAATAAAAACCACAGGATCATCTCAATAGATGCACAAAAAGCTTTTGATAAAATTGAACATCCATTTGATAAAAATTCTCCAGAAAGTGGGCACAGAAGGAATATACATCAACATAATAAAGGCTATACATAGCTTTTCATGACTAGGTACAGCTAACATCATACTCAACAGTGAAAAGCTGACAGCATTCTCTCTAAGATCAGGAACAAAACAAAGAGATCCATTCTCACCTCTTTTATCCAACTGTTTTGGAAGTCCCAGCTGCAGCAATCAAAGAAAAAGGAAATAAAAGGGATCCAAATTGAAAAAGAAGTAAAACTGTCACTGTTGCAGATGACTATATATAGAAAGTACTAAAGGCATGACCAGGAAGTTACTGGGGGTCATCACTGAATTCAGTAAAGTTGCAGGATACAAAGTTAATATACAGGGATTTGTAATAACCACCCCTAACCCACCCACCACTTCAGAATAGGACTTGGCATTTAGAGGATGCTAACAAAGACACACCTCTTACCTCCCTTTGTTGTGCCAAGTACAAGGAATCTAGGATTCCTGGGGCCCACCTCGACTACTTCCCTGATGGGTATTTTTAACACCATTTGCATTTCAAGAGTCTCCTACAAGAGAAGGAAGAGTGCACATGGAGAGTGCCTGAGCACTCCAGTGGGTCTGACCTTAGAAACCTTTTGCACTCTAGAAAGAAGGGGGTCAAGAGAAATTATCAGAAGTTGACATGACCCCACTTGGATTCTCCTGGAGTTCTGCCCCAGCATCTTTGACAGTTCTGACCTCCCAAGGATACAAGATGCCAGTTCACATGTGGAGCAAGCCAAGGCCTTCTACCTGTCTAGCGGGTCACCCTCAGACCCACACTCATGGGCTATCTGCCTTGCACTCAATTTTATCTCACTAAACTATGGGAAAAGATACTGAAAGGGAGTCCCTTCAAACCTCACCAGGCAAGGAAGCCCCAGAAGTCCCTTCACCTCCTGCCTCTAGAACCTTTTTCTTAGGCCCACACCAAAAGAGGGGGGTGCCAGCGTACCTGAGGGTACATGAGAAGGGTCTTTGGATACTTCCCAGTTTAACGTGGTGAAGCTGAGCTCACTGTGAACCATGAACACGACCAGGCAAATTTGGAAAGAGCAAGAGAGGCTTTAGTAGGTGAAAATCATGTCCTTGGTATAACCCAGTTTCTTCAGGTTAGGGTGCGCAGCTGTCTGGATCAGGGGTGGTGGGCCACACACCAGGATGAGCGTGGACTTCCCAGGGGGAGGGAGGTGCTCCTTGATCATGTCCTCGGTAATGAAGCCGGAGCTGTACTTCCAGTCTGAGGTTAGGCATAAAAAAGCCGTTTGCATCCTTGACCCCAGGCCTCCTGCCCAGAGTCCCTCCCTTAAGCCTGGGAGCTTTGTGGGCCAAAGCTTAGACATCTGTGCTACTGTTTTCTGCAGAAACCTGAGAGCAGAGGATGTGGGTGGGTCCAGGCAGCCCTCTTAAGTAGCTACCCCAGATCCCAGGCTCACTGCTGGGAATTGGAGTCCCTGGCTGGTGTCTGCCGGCTGTAAGCACTGAACACCACAGTGAGATAGATGCGCCTATGTGAGTGTGAATCCAGGCAGAGAGCGGGAACTGTGCCCGGCAGAGGGCGCTGTGGTGTTTGGGGGCCGGCTCCGTTGGGTGGCGCCCTCTGCTGGCCAGTGAGCTCTATGACAAGGCAGGCATAACAGTGCTGCGTGGGAGAGGCAGCCAGCCAGCAGTGTGCGGGCTCTGTGGGGTGCGGCGTGCACTGCGATGACCGGGTGCTGGCTGGGGCTGCAGCCAGTCTGCGGTTCAACTTGTGAGGACTGCTGTCTTAGGTGGGGTGACCGGTGCCAGGTGAAGGGGTAAGTGGCCGTACTGGATGCAGTGAGTGCTGTGGGATGCTGTGTGGAGTGGGTGTTCAGCGTGATCCAGGGATCCCTCTGATGTCACAGGGCAGTGTGTGGAGAGCCGCTGAGACGCTGGACACCTACCCTCTCCTGCCCTTACAAACAAGGCAGCCCAAATCGTCTCTCCCTCAAATTCCTGCATTTCCCAGTAGGGACATAGCCCAAGGCCTCAGCCACCTAGCTCACAAGCAACCAACCAGCCCAGGGACTGGTTCCCGGCTGGGTCCAAGGCTGGAGCTGACCCATGGTGGGGACAAACGGGCCCATACCAGCAGGAGGCCTGTCCAGTGTGTACCACAGGCCGAACTGCGTTGGATGAGTTCTAGCAACTTCTTCAAGCTCCCTTCTCATCAAGATATCCTCCTCTGTCTAGGAAAAAAAAAAAAAAAAAAGCAGCATGAGCCATGCTCCTCCAGGGCATCCTACTTGTTCCCCACACTGAGCACGTGGGTCCGCACATTCCTGCGCCAGTCATCCAGTTCTAGCTTGAGCCCTACCTGCAGACTCTGGGGCAACAAGTTCTGCTGAGGCTCCGGCACAACAAACACCCTCTGGTGGAGGGAAGCGGTGGGTGAATGCCCTCCACCGGGAAGGCTGTGTCTGAGCACTGGGCATCCAGCCCAGCTCCTGCATCCACCCTGAGTGCCAGGCAAGGCAAACTTGAATGGCCCAGGATTTCTCTACAGGGAATGTGAGGGGCTAAGGCAGTGATATATGACACTATATGTAATCTACAGCACTGGAGAACTACAGCAGAGGAAGACAGAGGCTGTAACCTCCACTGGGGAAAGTGAGCAAAGCCAAAAGATCTGTTGTAGGCTCAGAGATTTGCTGCACACAAGTCCTGGACCTTAAAACTCATCACAATCCTTGTCCTAACAATTTCAAGTCTAGGATTCTGTATAAGAAAATAATCTAACTGTGATCAAGCCTAGGCACAGTTATTCATCACTGTATCATTTATAACTGTGAAAACAGAATAGTCTGGAGAAGGAGATTTAGTAAATGATGGTACAACTTGATATAGACTGATAAAAATATTTACAAAGAGTAATAATGAGAAGAAAATGCCTGTGAGGTAATGTTGAGTGGAAGAAAATGAAAAACTTTGTGACTATACAGCACATACAGGACAAAGACAAAAAACTTAAGGAAATTGTTTATATGCTTCTGTATTTCCTGAAATTTCCACTAAAGGCATCTATGATTTTATATTGGGGAAAAGCACAGAACTATGTATTAAAGAAGGAAAGCTTAGTGCTTATGGTTGGTTGGGGAGACAGAATTAAAAAAGCAAACAAAAAAAAATGGAAAAACAGGCCTAGACTTAGTTTCTCTGGCTGCCAGCGGCCCTGCTTGTAAGCCCTTCCACAGCCGCAGGCACAGAGCAGCATGAGCTCGCTGAGTGCGGAGGGGCCACAAACCGTGGAACGTTATTTTCCTTCTCAGGGCTGACTCAGCAGAACTGACCTGGTTGGCGAAGATGAGGGACATCATGGTCTTGTCACTGGGCTTCCTGGTGATGCAGCGGATGAGCTGCAGCATGGGTGTGATCCCTGGAACACAGTTAGCAGGCAGGCTGGCTTCCCCTCCCCTCTGAGGCTCACAGTCCCTGCTCTGCAGTAGCTTCACAGGTTTCCTTGATCTCGATGACTTTTCCCACTTCTGTGCCCAGAACTCAAAGTGCAGAGCTACCCTTCATTTTGGTTTTCGCTTCTAAAGCAATAGTCCATCAAAAGCCCTTCTCATTTTCACATGGCAGCATCGGCTTTGAAACTGGACTGCATTTTACGTCCAGCTCCCTCACTGTCTGAGATTTTTACTGTCCTCGTTTATAAAACAGAACCAATGACAAGTAAATGTGAGTCTTTCTTTTAAATGCCCATTATGGTGCCTGGCACATAGTGGTTCACATTACATGATTGTTCTCATCTTTCAGGCATTCATTTTCAAGGGATAGGGAACATCAGGCTTGAATAGGATCCAGGAGCCCTTGGGAGCTCATGTGTGGGCTGGCTCAGCCTTCCCCCCAAACTCACCTTAGAAGCTCCAGGGGCTCCTAGTGTAGCCACCATGTTGGTTAAGGGGAGCAGGGCATCCAGGGTCAGAGTCAAGAACTGTCATTGACTGCATCCCCATTTCAAACAGCCAGGGGAAGAATCTCTTACATCGCCTCTTCCAGACTGACTCCAAAGTGAGAAAGGTCTCAGGGCTCACCCTGTGGATGAAGCCCCAGCAGCCTCTTACCTGTGCCCCCAGCAATCATTCCCAGGTGATGCACCAGTTTAGTTTCAGACTCACTCGTTTTGTATGGTTTGAATACAAACTTCCCTGAAATCACAAGAGGGTACTTCTGATGTCTACAACTCTTGATGTGCACAAACATCATCTTGGGCCCCCTCAGTCAGCCCTGGTCCACCAGGGCCCAAAGCGGGAATAGAGCTGGGGCATTCTTAGGGAATAACTGTATCTTTTCTCCTGAGGAAGGAGGAAGGCATATATTGAAGTTAACATGGACCCTCATACAGCACTCTCACCCATGCTAGTGAATGAGTAAGTGATGAGTGTGTGAGTAAATGGATGAGTGTGCATTCCTTCCATCCATCAACCCATTATCCATTTTTCAGTAATAGCCAAGTGCCTTTTGTGTATCAGGCATTGTGCTGGAGATACAGTGATGAGGAAATACCAAATCACCCCCTTACCTTCATGAACCTTATAATCTCATAAAGTGGGTATGTGAATGAATGTATGAAGACTTCAAGGACAAGTCCATGTGACTCAAATCTTAGGAGTTTTCTAGAGTGATGTACCAAGAGTGGGGATATTCCTCCCAGCTGGAAGCCTAGTGTGAAGCTCCCAGTACCTGACCCATGATAGAACAGGCACCCAGATGGCCCTTGAAAAAGGATGGTGTCCCCAATTTTCATGTTCTCCAAGTACTGAGTCATCTTCCCCCCTTCTGGGTGATTAGGATGTACATTTTTGAAGTAGATCTGAAAAATAAAGCAGCATAGTTTTCACACCTTTAGACCCGAGACTGCAGCCACATACAACTCAGGAATATATTTGCTACCAGAAACTGTGAGGAACACATCCACTGTGCTCATGGTTGCTCTCAGCAACCCCTGAAGACTTCACTAGGACAACAGCCTCACGGTTAAATGACACTGCCAGGAAGCCCTGTCCAGGGCATGCACCCCTTCTCCACCCACTACCCTGAACAGGCTTGTGACAGTGAGGCAGCTGGACGCGGCAGGCATCCTTTACCTTGATGATTAAGTCCACAAAGCCTAGGTCATCATCACTGGACACAGGCGTGTAAGCCCTGACCACCACAACACCGTCAATTTTGGCCAAGAGATGAACATAGTTACCTACAGAAAAGACAGCAAATGTTAAGACTGAGCGGGGCCAGCCTAAACAGGACCAAGGATTTCTCTAAAGCAGGAGTCCTCACAGTTTTTGGCACCAGGGACCGGTTTTGTGGAAGACAAATTTTCCACAGACCGGGGCAGCAGAGTGGTTTGCGGATGATTCAAGCACGTTACATTTATTGTGCACTTTATTTCCATTTTGTGGCAATCTCAGAATATTCCACCTTGACTTTAGGGTTAGGATTGGGGCTCCTATGGGAATCTAATGCCGCTGCTGATCTGACAGGAGGCGGAGCTCAGGCAGTAATGTGAGCGATGGGGAGCAGCTGTAAATACAGACAAAGCTCCACTCGCTGGCCTACCACTCACCTCCTGCTGTGCAGCCTGGGTCCTAACACACCATGGACCAGTGCCTGACCATGGCTGGGGACTCCTGCTCTAAAGCACCCCTCCTGCTTCGAGGGGTGGGGCGGGGTGGGGGTGGTGCATAGTGTGGCAGGGTGCATGGGAGGAGGACCAAGAAGGGAAGGAGTCCAAGTCCAGGATGCCTGGATCCTAGGCCTGCCTCATCACCACATATGCAACGCTGAACAAGTCACTTCACCCATACACCTGCCCTGACTCCGCATAGTGTAGTTGTGAGTTTCAGTTACCAGAAACCTACTGTTGTTGTGTGCTTACTCTGCCCAAGTACTCTGTGGAGCAGGAAGAGCTAACTAAAGTTGGAGGCTGAGTATTAAAAATTATAGAAGAGTGTTTCCTTTTTAAAGCAAAACATGCTGCCTTCATAAAGTCATTCCTTCCTAAACTGGATGTTTCACTGGGGTCTATGAATGAATCACAGCCCCCTCATCTGTACCCTGCTGCCTGGCATGGAGCAGGCCTGGGCTCACAGGTATGTGGAGCCTCAGGATTTAGATATCCATAGACCATGCGTTCCAGCAGAAGCACTGCATCTCCCTGGCCCATGGCTCTGCTGAAGGGCAGAGTGAAGCTTTGAACCATGTAATTCTGCCTCTCCAGGGTAGACATGCGCGGACCACAGTGGCCAGAGTCCTATGGATCCAGCATCACATGATGAGCTGGGCCACTCAGGTTTCTGTTGGATCCAACTTGGGAGACTTAAGTGACTAAGGCAATTAGTGGTTAGGGCAAAAGCTGCAATCAAGAAATGGCAAGAGGCAAAGGAAGGAAGTTCTGTGCCAGAGTATCTGAGGGAGGAGAAGCTGTGTGCGCACAGGACAGATGGACAGCATATGCAGACAGAAGCAGAGATCCAGGGGGAAGGAGGAAAAGGATGGAGGGGCCCTGAAGCCTGACTGTGGGTTAAGAAAGAACAGGCTTGGGATGGACAAACAAAAAGGTCTTACTGTATAGCACAGCAAACTATATTTAATATCCTGTAATAAACCATCATGGGAAAGCATATGAAGAAGAAGATATCTATATCTCTATATATTTATATAACTGTGTCACTTTGAAATTAACAGAACATTGTAAATCAATTTTACTTCGATAAAATTTTAAAAAGTACAGGCTCAGTGTCTCTGGCTATGGCCTGGTTGGACACCAGGGATACCCAGGAATAAATACCTGCAGCAGCTTCCTGCTGAGAACTCATTTGATGCTGGAAACCTCAGAAAGGCTCTTTCAGATGCAGACAACCTGGGCCTGCTGTGGCAGAAACCTCAAAGAAAATGGGTCCGCACAGCTGGTCCCGAGCCCCCATCTCTAACCAGCTTCCTTTCAGCAGAGCTGAGAAGCATGAATCCTCCCTGAGTCTTCACAGCCGACTCTCCCAGAAGCCTCTAAACTACTTTTTCCACTAACTGTGCACTACCCACCCCAGGACTGAGGAGAGTGGGGCATGACAGTTTCTAAGAAATTCTACTTCTCAAAGGTTTTCATTCTTGCCAATAGGACGGGCCTCAGAGGCCAGGCAGAGGGCTGGAAAGCAAGCTGACACTCAGCTCTCAGGGCTGAAGAAGAAGGGAGGAAGCAGCAAGGAGGCCCAGGGGCTAGGCTGGCTGCCTGGAGGGTCATGTCCTCACTTGAAGAGGTGACGTCAAGGTTTTGTCCCCTGCACACAGGACAAGCAGGCTCTGGATGAGGATCTCCACCAGGAAGGCAAAGAGCACTAGCAGTCTGTACAAAGTTGCAGGCTCTGGGCCTAGCAGAGACTAAGGCTGACTCAGCCGTCTGGTGGTGGTACAGATTGTTTGCTCGGTCATGTCCGATTCTGTGTGACTCTATGGACTGCAGCCCGCCAAGCTCCTCTGTCCATGGAATTTTCCAGGCAAGAATGCTGGAGTGGGTTGCCATTTCCTACTCCAAGGGATCTTCCTGACCCAGGGGTCAAACCTGCATCTCCTGCATTGGAAGGTGGCTTCTTTACCGCTATGCCACCTGGGAAGCCTGGTGGTACAGTTTAGAAATGGTATTAACGTGGAACTCTAGGACTGTGCAGGCTCCTACCCACAATGGGTGCCTCTTTCTGTGCATAGGTTTGAAGCCCCCGCTGAGAATCCATGTACTGGGGTGAGGGGGGGACACCAATTTCCTTCTGCCTCTCCAAACATTCAGGGCCTTTCTCCCTACAGTAGGGGAACATCAATTCCTCCCATCCCTCCCAAGTGCACAGTACTTTACAGTTTGAATTTCACATCCATCTGTCACTTCTCACAATACCACCAGTAGCAGACAGGCCTAGGAAACCCCATTTTATAGACAGAGGCTCAGAGAGGTGAGGGACTTGCCTACAGTTGCCCAGCAAGGAGCTGACAATGGGATCTTAGACATTCTGACTATAGAGTCACTTCTTTTCATTACAGTATCAGTTTTGCGTCAGCCCAAATGGAACAATGAGAAAGGGAATGGACTGTCCCCCAGCCCATCTCCCCACCTCTCTGAGCTTATGTGGCTCAAGAAAGGTAGCAGGGTAACGTCTCCACCTCAGCTGAGTTTCTGATAGGAGCAGAGTGCCCGCAACACCCAGGTCCTGGTGATGACAAAAGCCCGCTCACCTACAGGAAGCCCTAAGGCATGGTCCAGGGAGGGCAGTCCAAAGCGAAACCTCCGAGTGTTGTGGCTGATTTGCTGATAAAGTAAAGACAGGCTCTGTCAGCTTTCTGGAAGTCTTGCTGGGCAGCTCAGATGCCTGGGAAAGGAGCTCTCCACACACATACACAGACATGTATATGCTCTGGGGAGCAAACCAGAGGCCACGAATGCTCACCCCACTGCCCTGGCCTCCCCAGCCACCACATGCCCCCCCCCCCAACAGCAGAGGGGGAGGGCTGCCCATCACCTCTTTCTCAATCAAAGGCAGCGGGTACTTGGTATCAGAGTTCTGTAAGGTGATGTGACGACTCTTCACCACGTTCTTGCTCTTCAGGGCAAGCAGGAGCACAGTGATCCCAATAACAGTGACAGCAAAGACCAGGGACGGGTCCTACCAGACAATGTGAGCCAGGCCCTCAGGTCCTGCCTGCCCTGGGCAGGACAGCCCTCAGGCACAGTGGAACCCTCTCTACACCAAAGGCATGTGTGAAGCTGGACTGCGCCTGAAAGAAACTAAGCAGAAGTAAAGGTACCAGAATGGAAGGCAGGTGGACCTGGGGTGTGGGGAGGAGCCAGCTGCCACTCAGACTAGCTGGGAGGTTTTGAGCTCCCAGACAGATGGCCCAGGAGTGCTAATGTCACCAGACCTTTCAAGCCCATCTGTCTCTATTTGGCTACAGTCAAGGGTGCAAGCCCTGGAAGTCTCTCCCTTGAGGTGGAGGGGGTGCTTCTAATACATGATTTGGAATGAAGGCCTCAATCCTCAGGGACAGAGCTAAAGAGGGGGGGATTAGCTGTTGACATCTAAGAGGTATAGGGCTCCTCTCCCCTCCTCCCTCCTTCCAGGTCCGGCTAAGGCAGAGGTAGGGGTGGGGTGAGTACCTCCGGTGCCAGAGCTGCTCCAGGTCTTTGCTCAGAATCCACCAACTCCCACCTTTAGCAAGAGTGTCCTTGCTCACAACCTGCCAACTCCCACCCCACCCACCCTTAGCAGGAGTGGACATAAATCTTTAAGTTGAAGGGTTCAGAGATAAAGGAAGTTATATGCACACACAAAAGGAAAAAAGAAAAAAATCTAGGAAACCCCATTTTATAGACAGAGGCTCAGAGAGGTGAGGGACTTGCCTACAGTTGCCCAGCAAGGAGCTGATAATGGGATCTTAGACATTCTGACTATAGAGTCACTTCTTTTCATTACAGTATCAGTTTTGCGTCAGCCCAAATGGAACAATGAGAAAGGGAATGGACTGTCCCCCAGCCCATCTCCCCACCTCTCTGAGCTTATGTGGCTCAAGAAAGGTAGCAGGGTAACGTCTCCACCTCAGCTGAGTTTCTGATAGGAGCAGAGTGCCCGCAACACCCAGGTCCTGGTGATGACAAAAGCCCGCTCACCTACAGGAAGCCCTAAGGCATGGTCCAGGGAGGGCAGTCCAAAGCGAAACCTCCGAGTGTTGTGGCTGATTTGCTGATAAAGTAAAGACAGGCTCTGTCAGCTTTCTGGAAGTCTTGCTGGGCAGCTCAGATGCCTGGGAAAGGAGCTCTCCACACACATACACAGACATGTATATGCTCTGGGGAGCAAACCAGAGGCCACGAATGCTCACCCCACTGCCCTGGCCTCCCCAGCCACCACATGCCCCCCCCCCCAACAGCAGAGGGGGAGGGCTGCCCATCACCTCTTTCTCAATCAAAGGCAGCGGGTACTTGGTATCAGAGTTCTGTAAGGTGATGTGACGACTCTTCACCACGTTCTTGCTCTTCAGGGCAAGCAGGAGCACAGTGATCCCAATAACAGTGACAGCAAAGACCAGGGACGGGTCCTACCAGACAATGTGAGCCAGGCCCTCAGGTCCTGCCTGCCCTGGGCAGGACAGCCCTCAGGCACAGTGGAACCCTCTCTACACCAAAGGCATGTGTGAAGCTGGACTGCGCCTGAAAGAAACTAAGCAGAAGTAAAGGTACCAGAATGGAAGGCAGGTGGACCTGGGGTGTGGGGAGGAGCCAGCTGCCACTCAGACTAGCTGGGAGGTTTTGAGCTCCCAGACAGATGGCCCAGGAGTGCTAATGTCACCAGACCTTTCAAGCCCATCTGTCTCTATTTGGCTACAGTCAAGGGTGCAAGCCCTGGAAGTCTCTCCCTTGAGGTGGAGGGGGTGCTTCTAATACATGATTTGGAATGAAGGCCTCAATCCTCAGGGACAGAGCTAAAGAGGGGGGGATTAGCTGTTGACATCTAAGAGGTATAGGGCTCCTCTCCCCTCCTCCCTCCTTCCAGGTCCGGCTAAGGCAGAGGTAGGGGTGGGGTGAGTACCTCCGGTGCCAGAGCTGCTCCAGGTCTTTGCTCAGAATCCACCAACTCCCACCTTTAGCAAGAGTGTCCTTGCTCACAACCTGCCAACTCCCACCCCACCCACCCTTAGCAGGAGTGGACATAAATCTTTAAGTTGAAGGGTTCAGAGATAAAGGAAGTTATATGCACACACAAAAGGAAAAAAGAAAAAAAACAGATGGAACCAGTTGAGACCATGATGGCAATGAATCTGACCTCCAACAGGCCCTGAGTCCTCATTTTACCATATGAGCATACTAAACGACACACGGATTAGTAGCTGGGCTTTCCTGGTAGCTCAGCTTGTAAAGAATCCACCTGCGATGCTGGAGACCACTGTTTGATTCCTCGGCCAGGAAGATCCCCTGGAGAAGGGATAGGCTACCCACTCCAGTATTCTTGGGCTTCCCTGGTGGCTCAGACAGTAAAGAATCTGCCTGCAATGCAGGAGACTGGGTTTGATCCCTGGGTTGGAAAGTTCCCTCGGAGGAGGGCATGGCAGCCCTCTCCAGTATTCTTGCCTGGAGAATCGCCATGGACAGAGCCTAGTGGACTATAGTCCATGGGGTCGTAAAGAGTTGGACATGACTGAGCGACTAAGCACAGCACAGCATTGGTAGCCAGGACCAGACATTAAGGACCAAAAATGGATTAAAAGGGGGTAGCACCCCACTCCCTCATAAAAAGCCCCGCCCCTTCCCCATAGACTAATGCATTTTATCGCTGTTACTCTTTAAATACATACTGCCCGGTGGGCAAGGAGTTGGTCTGTGAACTCAGTTCCCTCTTCTCCATTCTTTGGCCACTGATTCAAGCTTGTGCCTTATACTCACCTACTCAAACCCGAGTGGGAAAGGCACTCTCCCTGCCGCCAAGCAAGGGCCCCAGCTGATTTGGGATACTGCATTACCTTAGTACCTGGGATACCACCCACACCCCTCGAGGCAGGCCAGTGAGGCCTTGGCACTCACCTGCCAGGGACTCCGCGGGGCTCCCGCATCCGCCCCCCACCCCACCACCCCTCCAGCGAGACGCCCGCCGGCCCGGGAGGGTTTGGGAAAGGTCCTCCCGGCCGTCTTCTTACGCCCGGAGATCCCCGCCCCACGCTGGGCCTTCTCAGGCTCCGCCCCGCCCTGTCCCAGCCCCTCCCCGGCCGGAGGGGTGACACCGTTCCCAGGCCTGTGGAGGCCTGCGGGATCCGGCGGACTCTGCCCGGCTCCCGCCCTGGCTTCTCTGGCCGCTTCCCGCCAGGCCCCCCGTGCTGGGAACCCACCCGGAACCAGCAGCCGAACATGTCGAAGGGGCGCTGTCTGGGAGGCGGAGAGGACCCCGGGGACCGGAGCTAGGCCGGGAAACGGGCACCCAGGACGGGCGGTGGGCCCCTCCGTCGCCCCCACCCTGAGGGCCAGGGTTCCGAAGCTTCTTTCTCGCGGGATTCCGGCTCTGCTCCAGCCCTGTCCCCTGTCCCCTGTCCCCGCTGAGGCCCGCGCTGGGAGCTGGGGGCTGCCTCCCTCCCAGTTTAACATCCCTTGTTTATTACGTGGCTGCCTCTGCATCCTGGTCCTCTCTCCGGCATTCTGAGCACCTCTGGTGGAGAACTTCCTCTACTTGCTTGTTGACACTTGTGGCAAGGCTGGAGGAAGGCTCTGCTGGTCAAAGAAATGGGAATCCACTCCAAGTCAGACAGCACAGAAATATATACAGCAGACATTCACAGTGAGCTCCCACTCTGAGCCTAGTCCTTGACCAGGTGTTTCCGGGGCACGGGGGGGGGTGGGCAGGGGGGCGGTGATTGAGTTAAAGAGGACAAAGCATTCATTCATTCTCTGTTGGGAAAGACGATAGGTACCCAACACAAGCCCAAAAAGGGTGCAGAATGGCAGGCATAGATAGCTCTGGGGGGACTTCACAGCAAATTTCAGAACCTTGGTGATCCCCTCCCCCATCAATTCTCCCATCGCCAGTGGCAAGGGTAAATCCCTGCCTCCTGGGCCTGAGTAAGACAGAGAAGCCAAGAAATGGACTCCACTCCCAGCCCCACACACCACCACAGGCAGTTGCATAATAGAAGCCCCCCACCCCAACACCTGCACATGCCAGCGTATCATTGTCAGACACTTTAACTTTTGGCAATCTATTAATTGTAAAATGATGGCTTATGAGCTAATTTCGTTACCTAATTACTAAGGAGGTTGAACATCTTAAGTTTTTTTTTTCCTCATGGAGTTTCTTTCTTTGAAAAAAAAAAAAAGACTGCTTATGACTTTTGCCCATCTTTGTATTGAGTTGTCTTTTTCTCACTGATTTTTAGGGGTCATATATATTTTAGAGATTGCTTCTTTGCTAATTATATCAGCTACAAATGTTTCCTCCTGGTCGGCAACTACTCTTCCTTCTTTTCTTCCATAGCGTTTTTTCTTTCTGCCTCCATCTTTGGATAGAAGTTTGTAATCATAATGTGGTCAAATGTATCAATCTTCAGTCTTTTCCCTTTATGGTTAGTGCTTTTTGTGACTTAATCTATTCCTACCCAAGGTCAAGATATTCTGTATTTTCTCTGGCAAGACATGAAGTTTTTTCATTTTAAGTTTTTCAGTCACTCAGAATTGATTTCTGTGTACGATGTGAAGTAGGGATCCAGTTTAATTTTTTCTGTATGGATTATGCATTGTCTTGGTAACATTTATTGTATTGCTCACAGCTGATCACTAACCTGCAATGCCACCACCGTCATATATCAGTTGTTACATATTTATGAGTCCGGTTCTGGCCTCCCTGTCCTCTTTCATTGATCTAGTTGCCCATCTCCTGTGACAATGCCATAGTTCTCTAATTTCAATAGTTTATAACAACTGTTTATATCTTTTACTCTTATTTGGGTCTCAGTTCAAATATTACTTCCTTAGAGATGCCTGTTCTAATGCCCCAGTTTAAGGAGATGTACATATTACATTCTATTCATAGCTGTTACTTTGGTTTGTAGCTGCTATTTCTGAGTATTTAATTGTTAAATGTCTGACTCTCACATTAGCCTGGAAATCCCACTATGGCAGAGATTTTGTGTCCCCAGGGCTTAGCACAGTGACTGTCACGTAGATAACATTTAATAAATATTTAGCAAAGGAGTGAATGCCTTCATCTCTGCCCCGTAGCATTTAGCACACTGTCGGACACAGATACTTATAAATACAATTCATGGTAGATGCTCCAGAGATACTGAAGGAAGAACCAATCCTTTCCAAAAGTACTCTGTATGCCTTGCTTGCTTAATTTGTCTGTGTAAGATGTATCACCAGATGATAAATTACGTATCTTACCTACTAGCCTACTGTCTTTCTCTTCCTGCCAGGATATAAGCTCCATGAGGACAGGATTTACTTTGTCTGCTTTAACTCCTAGGCCTAGAACAGAGCCTAGGATTTATTGCATGAATGAATGAATGAACTTCATTTTTTTCCTTTGATTCAATTAAAAGCCTTTATTGACTTTGGAATCTAAAGATGCCTCACTTTGTTCTATGGCTTTCTTAGTATTTTGCCTTTACCCTCTATTCTCTCTTCTCATGTTCCCTGCATAGCATGGTCCCTCTGTGTGACTAGAGGGGCAGATGGCACATCTTGCTTTCCTTAATCTTGGGGTAGGATGAAAGTGAAAGTGTTAGTCACTCAGTTGTGTCTGACTCTTTGCAACCCTATGGACTACAGCCCTCCAAGCTCCTCTCCAGGCAAGAATACTCCAGTTGGTAGCTATTCCCTTCTCTAGGGGATCTTCCAGACCCAGGGATTGAACCTGGGTCTCCTGCATTGCAGGCAAATTCTTTACTGTCTGAGCCACAAAGGCAGGCATTTATCTGGGCTCCCAGTAATTTTAAGAGGGTGATGATTTCCCTATCTCCTCAGCTCTTCTACACACTTTATACGTGTCCCTGAGATGCTCGTGTGTGGTCAGATTTGGTTCATCTTCTACTCATTTCCTGAAACAGACCATGAGCACATGTCTCACTCCCCACATCCCCAGCTTAGTAAGAGATCCCAGCAAAGAGAAGCCCCTCAGAGAGTGTTTGCTGAAAAAAAAAGAATGAACATCTGTTGTCACTATTTGAGCCTATATAACAGTGCTGAGCCTCTCTCACTGCTGAGAATCCCCTGGGGTAAACTGGTGCTCTGAGTTGATGTTTGGAGTATGTGCTTCTTAAATCACCAGCTTGTTGTGGGCTTTTCATTAGCTTTTAACTTTAAAAATGATTTATTTCTATTTTATCCTTTGAACAAATGAGCAGCTCTGCATTTTAAGCTTAAATTGTGGTAGGCTCAGTAAGAGTCACCCAAATGTACCACATCCCAATCCTGCCCAATACTGCCTTGCAGCTGGTGGAACTGTGGTAAAGAATCCACCTGCCAAACAGGAGGCCTGGGTTTGATCACTGGGTGGGGAAGATCACCTGGCAAAGGAAATGGCAACCCACTCCAGCATTCTTGCCTGGGAAATCCCATGGACAGAGGAGTCTGGTGGGCTATAGTCCATGGAGTCACCAAAGAGTTGGACATGACTGAACAACCAAACGGCAACAATATTTATGCTACCTGATCAGAATTCAACACTGGGCACTTCAAATGGACATAAAGCAATGGTAATGCTTTGCTTCCTGGAATGTTTCAACGTGGACTTGTAGAACAGAAATGTGTCATGAAAAACTTGGCAAGCTCCTGGCAATTTGGGGCTGACACAGACCTGATGGGATAAGGCTTTATAAAGACAAAAGGCTTGAGACCTTGGGAGTGACCAGGATTTGCCAAAAATAGTATCTTTGGGAGGAATCAAAAGAATAGCTTGAGGCAGTGTCATGAAATAGAAACAATCATGGACTTAGAGAACAGATATGTGGTTGCCAAGGGGGAGGGGGTTGGAGGGTAGGGTGGAGTGGGAGGTTGGGGTTAGCAGATGTAAGCTTTTATACGTAAGATGGATAAACAACAAAGTCTTACTATATAGCACAGAAAACTATATTCAATATCCTATGATAAACCATAATGGAAAATAATATAAAAAAGAATGTATGCATATATGTAAAACTGAATCACTTTGCTGTACAACAGAGATTACCACAACATTGTATATCAACTATACTTCAGTTAAAATATATATATAGAGAGAGAGAAAATAAAAACATTTCAAAAAAGGAGACTAGCTTGAGGAGTCCTGTTCCCGTTGTCCCTCCCACACCCAGAAGAATCCTCCCTGAGGAGCTCTGTGGGCAGCTTCACCAATGATGCTAGTCAATTTCCCCCCAATGTTTATAGCAGTTGCTTCAACTCTTCCCAAACAGCATCTGTTGTGGCAGGGCTGGGGTAGAGCCTCCAGAAGGTAGTGTGTGATTGTGACTTCACCGCTTGGGCTGTGGAGACAATAGGGAGTAACTAGGACAGCAAATGCAGCTTCCAGGGGTGGAGTTCCACCTGCATAGACAGGTGTGGCTGCCTGCCTGGGCTGGGAGCCTCAGGCCTATATTAGGAGAAAGGCTGGTCTCCAGCAAGGGAGAAGGGGAAGATGTCCCAAAGAAAGAAGGCATTCCTGTCTCCTAGTTGAATACAATCAGCAATTTCTGTTTTTTTCTTTTTTTGAAAGCAATAACAAGGGAAGATGGAAGAAACCAGGCTAAAGCTTCCACTCTGAGAATCATGATAAAACACGCTTTCTCATGGAACTGTAGCGTTTACAAAGCATTTCCCAGAGTGGAAGATATCCCTCTGAGATTATTGTGATCCTTTTACGACCACTTTAGTTTGGAAAAAAAGAACCTCCAAGAGATTCCATGTCTTGTGCAAAGTCACAAAGCTAAGACACAAGGCCATGTTCCTGATTGTAGGTCTTTCCTCTATACCACAGCAACCTATGATACAGTCAATGCATAAAAAGCATTTTGTTCGTGAGCCATACAAACTTAAACTCAATTTCTGGACTTCAAATTTCAAGAAACCTTCCATTTTTCAGCTGCCAAACTGAAGCTCAGAAATGTCAAATGATGCTTTTGGAGAAAGGACTGTAATTGGGTCATTTATACTGAGATTTCAGTCTTTCAGAGCCTGCAGTGTGATTAAGAGCAAATGTAAGTTTCTTCCATTGTGGAAGAGAACTCAGATGGTATAGAAATGTAGAAAGCATCTTTTTTCTCTGCCTTCTCTCCTGTTACTGTGTTTCACCTGCCATGTTCCCATCTAAGTTCTCTTCCCCTCTGATCTTCTAAGGAACATTGCCCCAGTAATTCTTCCATCTTTTCCTTTCAATGTTGGTTCCTTCTCTCTGCTTGACAATTCCTGGCAGAGTATACGTGTTCTGTAATTTTTCTCATGTTAAAAAAATTGGTGGTCCAGTGGTTGAGAACCCACCTGCCAATGTGGGGGATACACTTCTAGCGCCCTCAAGCTACAAATACTATGTTTGCATGCTGCAATTGCTGAAGCCCATGCCTCGAGCCCATGCTCAGCAACAAAAGAACCACGCAACGAGAACCCTGTGCACCCCAGCAAAGAGTAGCTCCCACTCTCTGAAACTAGAGAAAACCCATAGCCATCAAAAAGACCCAACATAGCCAAAAATAAACAAATAAATTTTTTAAAAAGTCATAAAACCTTCTCTTGACTTCCATACCTACATTGAGATGCTATTCCATTTCTGAGTTTCCAGTTAGAATAAAATTTCTTGAGGGAGTTACCTGTACATGTCATCTTCAAATCTGTCTATCCAATTCTCTCTGGAGTCTACTCCAAAAAAGCTTTCACTCTCGCCACCATTGTTGAGATTTCAATATGCCAGTGGTGTAAAACCTAGTGATCAGTTCTCCATCAATTCTTTCTCGTTTCTACTCCCTGTAAACATCGAAGTGCTCCAGAACTCAAATCTCAACTTTCTTGGTGATCTTGTCCTGTGACAGTTTAAATATCAACAATATGCTTATTCTACATATGTAGGCTGGATCTTTTCCCCTGAACTCCATGTTCATATATTCAACTGTCCACTTGATATCTCCTCTTGAATGGCAATTGACAATTCAGACTTAATGTGATCAGATACAAAGTCATAATCCTCCCCCAGAATCCTGTGCCTTATAGCCATCTAAGGAAGTCATCTCAGGAGGAGAATACCTGAGATCAATATAGTCATATGTAAATAGTTCAGATCCTTTCTTTGCCATGTTGGTTAGTGTACATTGTTCAAAACATCTCACTTCAGGAAATGGCAGCATTGTACTTCCAGTTGCTTAGGCCAAAACCACTGGGGTCATTTTTTACTTCTCTTTTCATATCTTAATTCAATCTCTCTGGAAGTCGTGTCGGCTCTTAGTTCAATGTCTATCTACTTCTCACCCACGTCCACTGCTTCCACTCAGATGTCAGTTTTTTACCCTGGTCATTGCAATCGTCTCCCAACTGATCTCCTTGCTTTGTCCCATGCCTTCTCCCAGCAGTCTAGTTTCAACATAGGAACAAGAGTGAACTTGTTTAAATGGGTTGAGGCCCTGCTTCTCCACTTGATGTCTTTTCACTTGGAGGAAAACCCACTGTCTTTTCACTTGGAGTCTCTTTTCACCTGGAGGAAAACCCAGTGTCTCTACACTAGCCCATAAGGTCCCACACAAGCTGCCTTTCCCCCCAACTTCCCTGATCTCCCTGTGTTCATGTCTCTCCTGGCATACTGACCTTCTGGCGGGTTTCTGGATGTCTCAGACATGCTCCCACTCAGGTCTTTAGCACTCGCCATTCTCTGTGGCTAGAATGCTTTAGTCTCCAGATATCGGCCTAGCCTTCACCCTCACCACCTCAGGTCTTTTCTCAGATGTCTCCTTATCAGTTTTCCCTGGACCATAGATTTATTTAATTGCAAACATCCTTCTATTTGGCATTCACTATCACTCATCCCTGGTTTATTTCACTCTATCATTTATTACCAACTGCTACATATATATTTTTTACTACTTTATTATCTGCCTCCCCATCTCCACTAGGTTTTTGTCCATTTTGCTCACTGAAGTATCCCTTATAACTAGATACCTGATGCAGATAGAGCCATTTACAAATGTTTGTTGATTAAATGAAGAGAGAAATCTAAGAAGAGCCTAAAGAGCACCCATATCTAATCAAAAAGAAAAGCCCTACTAGCTCCTTGCAATATATCATTTCAGAGTTCTTATTCTGGATATTTATATTATGAGCTGGGCAGGAATTAGTGGCATAAAAGCAAGTCAGCCTCCCCCCGCCTTAAGTTATGAAAAAAAGACAAAAACTTTTTCAAGGTGTGAAAAGATACATAAAATACTTCAGAGTGTATCAAAATTATTATAAACAGCAGTGGTTCAAAATACTTATTTTTGAGCAACTTATTATTTCAACTACATTGTCATGATCATAATCTTGTTTCAAGTCAATTTGATTTCATTCAAAACAATTTGGAATCACGGTCTTGTTGGAATGGGTTTTCCAGATGCAAACACCTGAGAACAATACAGTTGTGTAACAGTAGTTCAAATCTTCCCTATTCTACTTTTGTTAATGTATATTGTTCAAATCAAATATTATTCTAAGAAAACTAGAATGCCTACTGTGTGTGTTGATTGTCTACAGGGGCAAACTCTTGTGGCCCTAGAACTCCCAAGGAGGACCTGAATTGATGCATAATGAGCAAGGCTAGCTTTCTGTAACAGGTGGCACTTTATTAACCATCATTGAATGTCTACTATCTGCAGGCACTGGGCTAGTCTCATTACAATCCAGGACACCGTTTATAAATAGATGATTGTGGATATTAGGGAATACCCGAATCTGATCACATTGTTTAGGGTGCAGTATATTGTGTGTAGCACCACTATGTGTCTATGGTTAAGAAATCTGTGTTCTGAGTCATTGTATTACACTCTGTCCTGAAGACAGACTGTTAACATGAGACAGTATTCATGAGGCCTGAGAGGAGGGAAGTCAGAGAGCAGGGCTCAGCTCTGGGGTTTGCCACCCTGCTTGGCATCAGAGCTTCTGCTTACTGGGAGGGTGACGGGGCTGCCCCTGAGGGCGACGCCTGGTCCCTGTTGTCCTTCAAAAAAGTTTGGCAGCAGATGTACATGTCCCATATTACATATTCCATTCACTAGAAGTGAACTGCCCCAGCCCTGCATTAAAACACCCACCTTTGTGTTTATATATCCTTCCATTGATCCTGGGACTTGTTTCCAGGAGCCTCCTGAGAAAATCTTGACACAGTTGAGTTTCTGGTCTGACAGGGCTGAGGACCTGGACTCGTTGGGCACCTCCAGGATTTTGTTTGAGGAGCCAGACACCCTCCCTGAAACAGCAACATTTCTTTCATTGGCTCTTAAATCAAGCTTCAACAGGCATTAAGAGCTTTTTTCTTGCTTCTTCCTTCTTATTTTTTGATCTTGTGCCCAGAATCTTATGTGTAACACAAAAATTAACCCCAGTAATTATGGTGTATGGAGTACCTATAGGACATAGTTAATTTTCTTATGTAGGATTGGGTTTCAGCTTGAGTCCAAGTGGTTTCAGACTCTTCCAGGGATGTTTGAACAGTGATGGGATGGAATTAGCAGATGTCTATTTGCTTAGGGATGAAGAGATTCCTGAGAAAGAATTTATATAGAGGGAGAATGATCCAGGTATAAAAAGTCTGAGGAGATGACAAAAACTTAATCATTTTAAGGGGTCAATTCTGAGAACATCATGGTGTCTTCCGTTCTTTTTTTTCCAATTAAAAATAGTAGTAAAATACACATAACATAAAACTTACCATCCTAACCATTTCAAGTGTATAGTTCAGTGGTATTAAATACATTATTATTGTGCAACCAACATCACCATCCTTCTCCATGACTTTTTTTCATCTTGCAAAACTGATACTGTATAATTTTTAAACAATAACTCCCCATCCCGCCCTCCCTGCTCCCAGCTCCAGTAAGCTGACCCAGGGATAGAATCTGCATCTCTTGCATCTCCTGCATTGGAAGGTATATTCTTTTACCACTGCACCACCTGGGAAACCTCAGTTATTAACATACAAGTTTTACATATGTTAATAATAAGTCTGGTGAGCATTGAGGAGGAATAATGAATGCATGGTTTATTGACTATAGTCTACCTCTCCAAATAGGATGAAATAGATCTTTTGACACCATAGAGTTGCCTGCCCTACTCTATGCTGCAATCAGTAGTGATCTGATTCTGGAAAGGAAACTGAAACCCTGAAAATATAAAAGGAAGATCCTTTTCCTTATTTCCTATTTGGAGTGGGATGCTTCTGAAAATCCAAAATAAGTGCTTCTCAAAAGAAGATCCTTAAAACTGTCTATAGAGGGTCCCTGGGCATCCTGAAGATTCTAACCTCACATTGTTCCAGCAGCTCCACCAGAGGCCCCCTTACCAAGCCACCAGGTGACAACCAGAATCTTTCCCACAGGCTGCCAGCCCCCCAGTCCCCCATGAGCCTTGAGAGAGAGGAGGGGGATAGTGGGTGGGGAGCGTACCGCAGGAACCCTGCCTCCCGAGAAGGGAAGCCAGCCACAGCGCTCTCCACAGCATCCGTGGAGAGAGGGATGTGCAAACCCTGGCAGGCTTCAGAAGCAAGGATGATGATGCCAAGCTGCAGTAACTTGTTGGACTTCTCTCCACCTTGAAGGCAAGAAATCTCTTTGTTAAGATCAATTAATGTCTAGAAAAAAAATGGTAGAATATATTTTTAGGGGATATTTGGGCATTTTATTTGTAAAGACGAAGGGAAAGAGGATTCTACTGTGTGAATTGAAAGGTGTGTGATGTTTCTTGGCAAGCTGTCAAAGAAAATTATATTACTCAACATTTATAAGAGGTGATGGCGGTGAGAATAAGAAAGAGGGCCTACTACATGGTTTTAATACAGTCCCTTCAAAGATTGAGGCTGAGAAAAAAGTGGCTATTAGGATCATGCTAGTGTACTAGTCCACATCCATGAATCCAGAAGCCAGGAGCATCAGCAGCCCAGAGACTAGCCACTGTACTTGGAGACCATTCTTCCAAAAGGGAAGTTTATCTCTCTTGTGGCTTCTTTGTCAGCTCCTGTTTATTCTCCTTCTTGAACCATCAGACCATGGAATCTTGACTTACTGAGATCACCCACAAGCTGCCAATGGCCAAATCAAAAGACCTCTTTCCCCATTCTTAGAGGACTAGGTTTCATCCAGCATTTTACATTATTGACCATCCTTCTTGAAACCTAGGCTCTCTCCCCAGCTTCCATGCTCTGTCCTGCTTCTCCCCCTCCCCTTCTGCTCACTCCTTCAGCCTTTCCTCAGCTTCTCCTCTCTCCCGTTGCTCCTTTTCCTCTGAAAATAGCCTTTTCAAGGCTGCAACCCTCACCCTCACCCATATCTGCGACCTCTCAAATCACATAACCCCTGGCTGTTTTCCTAATCCCTAGACATCTGTAGCTGGACATCCCACAAGTATCTCTAAAGTTACCTGATACATACTTAATTCATCTGTACCCCTCACACCCTCCCCACATCTGCTTCTGCTATGATATTTCTTTTTTGGGCCAAGAGTACATGCAGAGGCAGTATAGTATAGTGGTTAGGAGCACCAAGTTCTGACTTCAGACAGTCCTGGCTTGGAATCCCTATTAGGCCACTTACTGGAGCAAAGAAATTGATCACTGAGCTTCGGTCTCTTCATCTGTAAATTTAGGGTTAAGGATAGTACCAATTTCTCAGGTTTACTGAGAGGATTATATGCACATAAAGGGTCTGGCCCAGAGTAAGGAATGAAATGCCAACTATTATTATGGTTTGAGCTTCCTGGGTGGCACTAGTGGTAAAATACTATTATGGTTAGCTTTTATCTACACAATCACTTGAGTCAGGTACCTGGAAGTTATTTGAGTATGTGTGAGACTTTTTCTTTCCTCCATTTTAAGCATTATTGGTCATCAAATCTTATTGAATCTACGGACACAATGTTTTTTGAAACTGCTTTTTCCTTTTTGTCACCCTTGTATTCCTCAGCATATTTTATTTGGGTTTTTACATCTATGCATCTTCTCAACTGCCAGAGTAGTATTTCTTTAGTACAGGTCTTTTTTTCCTCCTGTGCTAGAAGGGCAATAGTTCCCATCTCTTGACTACAAGATAGAGTCTAACATTTTTAGCACCAACATAAGACCCTTTACAACTGAACTCAGGCTGTAATTTAAGGTAATCTCCACTCAATTCCCCCTGTCAAAGCACCAGATTCATAGGACTGCCCCCTTTGCCCTGATGCCTGCCTCTGTGTAGCCTTTCTGATCCCTTGTTCATGCCAATCCCTCTGAATGGAAAGCCTTCCCTTCTGTTTCCCTAAATATCTTCTGATTCTTTTAAGACCCAGCCTAAGTGTCTAATCATAGTTAAGCCTTCCCTGACAGTTCTAGGAAGTCACTCCCTTCTCTTTGTTCCCTCTGAACACAGTTCTCACATATGTCACAGTGGTTATCACCTTGTACTGAGGACAGATGCACACGCTTTGGAAACCCTATGCTAGAAATTACACGTTGTTTTATTTGCTTTTCATCCCCAGAGCCTAACTGAGAGTCTGGCAAAAAGATGGCGCTCAGAGAAGACTTGCACACAACCATGGAAAATAATGAATGAAGAAGGGATCAATTGGGGGGCGGGAAGGGTGGCACCACGCCAGAGCAGTGTGGAATTAGTCCGAAAGCGGGGCCGTGCCAGGATGACTGGGCTTGAGCTGAGGGTGCAGGCTCTGTCTCAGCAGTTGTCTGACTCTGTCACTTCACCTTTATAAGCCTCAGTTTCTTTTCGTGAACACAGGGTAAGGGTCCTCACCTGTTCTCACATCAGGGGCAATGTGAGAAACGCTGAGAGCAGGTGTGCAAGTCAGGAGTCTGTGAAGGGCGCTGGGGATGGGAGGTTCCCGGGACACTCGTGTGAGGCTGATTGCAGACCTGGATGAGGGCCCCCATCCTGTGGCTGTGCCCCGCCCTGGAAGCAGCTGCCCATCGCCTCTCACAGGCACTCGGGCTGGAAGAAGGTGGTGATTCAAGTGAGGCAAGTCTACCGGCTGCGGTGGTGCCAAGTCATAGTCCCCAGGTGTGCTGCAGGAGGCAGGGTAGCTTGCGAGTTATGTGACAGACCTTTTCTAATAAGACAAAAGGAGTGTTAAATAAACCCATGGAAGAAGGGAGACTCACAGAGCTTGGGTGCTTGAATTCCCCCTGAAGAGGAACGGCATGAAGTGAGGGTACCTGGTCACCCTGTGAGATGGGGTCAGACGGCCCCTTGTAAGTGCCCGCAAGGCTCCAGGCAGACGGGGCTTCAGGGAGGGATTCCTAAATGACCGTAGCTTGTTCTACAGCCTTACGGAGTGGGAAACAGGGAAGGGCCTGTGGGCAGAAGAGGGTTCCCAGGAGAGGAAGAAGGCCTCGACTGTGAAGCTAGACACAATTGACAAACCTGGAATTGGCTCTTAAATCCTGTTTCTCTCTTTATAAAGAGAAGAAAGACTCAGCCCAAATCCTGTACTCTGTGCCAGAAACACCTATGAATGACCAACCTCTGGTCAATGCTGTGGGAGGCCCGTGATCTGTGGGGCTGCGGCAGACACAGTGATGCTGGTGGCCAGGCAGGCTGGAGAGAAGGGGGTCTCTTACCTGAGGGGAGCCATTGGCCAAATCATGTATGCTTGCTTTCACCACCCAGGTAACTAGAAAGTGAGAAGAAAAGAAATCACAGATATGGGGCTTGCTTCGGCAGCACATATACTAAAATTGGAACGATACAGAGAAGATTAGCTTGGCTTCTGTGCAAGGCGGACACACAAATTTGTGAAGCATTCCAATATTTTTATGTAAAATAGATGGCCAGTGCAAGTTCGATACATGAAGCGGGGCACCCAAAGCCAATGCTCTGGGACAGCCCAGAGGGACAGGGTGGAAAGGAGGTGGGAGGGGGTTCAGACGGGGGGACACAAGTATACCCGTGGCTGACTCATGTTGATGCATGGAAAAAACCATCACAGTATTGTAAAGTCATGATCCTCCAATTAAAATAATAATAAGAAAATCACAGATATGGCCTCATTAAGAAAATATGGGGTTAGGGGACTTCCCTGGTGGTGCAGTGGCTCAGAAACCATGCTCCGGGCTTATTCCCTGGTCAAGGAACTAGATCTCACGTGCCACAGCTGAGTTCATGTGCCACAACTAAGACCCAGCACAGTGAAATAAATATATACAGATTAAAAAAATCTGGGGTTAGGAGGTGGCTCTCCAAGGAGCCCTAGAATCAGAGGGAAAGCAAGGCCACCACCTTGACCACTGCAATACAGGCAGCAGTCAGTACTTCCAGAAGCCCAGTGAGGCTCTAGAGATTGCTCTCTTTTCTATGTACATAGATGATCCTAGGGCTCAGGAACATGAAGCAGTCTGTTTGACATCACTTGATGAGTTAAGAGCTCTAACAGGAGCATAATCAAGACTTGCAGCTTCATTCTAGTGGGTTATAGCTATGCATGCCCATCATCTGTAGGAAGTAACTCAGAGCCACGGTCTCAAGGCCCTGGTTAGCCGGCATGTGGGGGTCAGCTGGAGAGACTCAGTAGGGTGCAGCCAGAGGGAATAGGTTCATTACCAATAGGTTTCTGAAATAAAAATAAAGTTTCTATAAAGTGACAAGATACTAGGCTAGTCTAATTTTTTCAAAAAGGTTTTGAAAATATCCAAAATTTGGAAAGTAGAAAATATTACAAGGTATTATGGGGAAATATTTTGTACAACACAAAGCAATTAGTAGGGAAATCTGAGTGTTATATAGCTGTTACTGCTGCTAAGTCGCTTCAGTCGTGTCCGACTCTGTGCGACCCCATGGACTGCAGCCTACCAGGCTCCTCCATCCATGGGATTTTCCAGCCAAGAGTACTGGAGTGGGGTGCCATTGCCTTCTCTGATAGCTGTTACTAAGAGATGATAAATGATCAAAATTGAGTGAAGTTGAAAATTTTAAACCTGAAAACTAGTAACAAGGAAGGAAATTGAGAAAGTTACTGTTAGTTATGTCTTCAAGGAGTAGATGGCTAGTATATTTAATCACATGACATCATTATTTATTATTCTCCAGTTGTAAGTTTTTGCAAAGCATAGAGCAAGAAGGAAAGCCCTAAGAGAAACTTGCTAAAAGAGTAGATCTTAAAAGTTTTCATCACAAGGAAAAACAACTGTAACTATGCGGGGTGGTGGAAGTTGACTATACTTACTGCAGTGATCATTTTGCAAAAATACAAATATCAAACCATTATATTGTATACCTGAAACTAATATGTTACATGTCAATTATACTTCAGTTAAATTAAAGGTGTGTTCTCCAGTTCTTTTCATGAAGAATGATGATACCAAAGTCTGGCAAAGGCAGATGATAGAAAACTATAGCCAATGGTTCTCAAACTTTTAGGTCTCAGGTCACCTTTACACGTTGAAAAATATCACTGAAAATCCTAAAGAGCTTTTGTTTATGGAAGTAATATTCATCAATAGTTAACATGCCAGAAATTAAAGCAGAAATTGTTTAGATTATGCATTTTTAAGATAACCACAATTAGAATTATTAAGTGAAAGTGAAGTCGCTCAGTCGTGTCCAACTCTTTGCGACCCCATGGACTGTAGCCTACCAGACTCCTCGCTCCATGGGATTCTCCAGGCAAGAGTACTGGAGTGGGGTGCCATTTCCTTCTCCAGGGGATCTTCCCAACTCAGGGATCGAACCCGGGTCTCCCGCATTGCAGGCAGACGCTTTAACCTCTGAGCCACCAGGGAAGCCCAAACAAATAACATGTATTCAAATAACCAAATCTTCTAAAACAAAAAAAAAAATTTACATTAAACTGGCATTGTTTCCCATTTCTCCAAAACTGTTTAATGTCTGGCTAAACAGAAGACAGATGGAATTTCCTATCTGCTTTTTACATGCAGTCTGTTGAGATATCACATGTTATGTTGTCTCTGGAAAACTCTATGACACATCCCTGAGAGAGTGGGAGTGAAAGAGGATAATATGTGTTAGTATTACTATGAAAGTGTTAGTCCCTCAGTCATGTCTGACTGTGAAGTCATAGACTGTAGCCTGCCAGGCTCCTCTGTCCATGAAATTCTCCAGGCAAAAATACTGGAGTGGGTAGCCATTCCCTTCTCCAGGGGATCTTCCCAACCCAGGGACTGAACATGGGTCTCCTGCATAGAAGGCAGGTTATTTACCATCTGAGCCCACAGGGAATGCTGGGAAACACTGAGGGCAGGAAAAGGGGGTGACAGAGGATGAGATGGTTGGATGGCATTACCGACTCAGTGGACATAAGTTTGAGCAAACTCCAGGAGATAGTGAATTACAGGGAAGCCTGGCATGCTGCAGTTTATAGGGTGGCAAAGAGTTGGACACAACTTAGCAACTGAACAGCAATTACTATGAAAAGCATTTTGACCTTGCAGACCCCCTATAAGGATCTTGGAGATCCCCATCGGTCTCCAGACCACATTTTGAGAACCTCCACTGTAAGTCAATTTCAATTATGAATGTTGATGCAAAAACCTGAATGAAACATTAGTAACAGAGCCCAGCAGTACATTGAAAGATGAACGTATCATGTTCAAGTGGGATTCAGAACCGTAGGAATGTTAAGTCTGCCAGGCTCCTCCATCCATGGGATTCTCCAGGCAAGAATACTGGAGTGGGTTGCCATTTCCTTCTCCAGGAGAACTTCCTGATCCAGGGATGGAACCCAAGTCTCCTGCTTTGCAGGCCAGCTCTTTACCATCTGAGCTACCAGGGAAGCCCTTAGGAAATCTATTAACATAGATTTAATATAGTAATAAGTCAAAGGAGAGAATCACTTAGTCATTATAATAGATGCTGAAAATATTTCACAAAATTCAATCTTCATTTTTTTTCAATATTCATTTCTGATTTAAATATCTTAGGAAGAGAGATATAATAAAATATGTCTCTGTCCAACCAGCCTCCAGTTTAATTAAAATATACTAGAAGCATATTTTAGTGTGAAATAGTGTGAAGGGGCAGAAATTTCCCAAGCACTCGGGAACTCAAGTTCTGCTGGGGAAGCAGATTGCCTGTGATGGTGGTGAATGGGGAAGCAGCAGAAGACCCTAGTGGTCTGAGATGGTAGCTGAAAAATTAATGATCAATCAAGTTAAACCACGAGCTTCCACCATGCTCCTTTCCCCAGGTGTACTTATGTATTGGTGAAGCAACGAGCAAGGGTGACTTTCTGGTCTTCCCAGCAATGCTTGGTGGCAATCTGCACACTGACCTGCTATGGCCAAGAACTGACCACGGCCTCCTGCCTCCCACAGTCTGGCTGGGAAGGGACCTGGAAAGGGGGAGAGAGAGAGACTCTGCAAAGCCCACCTGGGAGGGGGCCAATGAGATACAACTTAGCTACCCATGAAGCCTCCTCACCATCAAGTCCAGGTCTGAGCATCTCCCTTGGACTGGAAACTCTAATGATACCTGGAAATAATGAGAAATGCTTATTGAATTCTAGAAATTATACATATATATATAAACACACACACACACACACACACACAAACATATATATAACTTATATATAACTAGAAATGTTTTACCCAAGAGTTAAATATCAAGATCACTTTTGACTTTTTTTTGGTACCACTTATTGAGTCTCCAAACACTTTAGATCCTATATTCACAATATATCTTGAATCTATTTTTTTTCTTTGGGCTTGGATCTTCAGCATTGCTCACCTGGACTACTCTCCCTGGGGTTAATCTTTCCCTGTCCTCTCACTCCCAAATTAACCATCGAAGAATGTTTGTTTTGATTACATCACTCGCCTGATTACAACCATCCAAGTGTTCCCCACAGTGTATGGAATAAAGTTGACATCCTATTTTTCTTCATCAAACAGCCCCAGTCAAACAGCAGTGTCCTAATCATCTCAGAAGTTATTTATTGTATTTTCTGGTATTCATGGTTTTCTTGCATTGTGGTTTTTGGTGCACATTTCTCCATTTGTTGTCAACTTTATGGCAACCCACTCCAGTACTCTTGCCTGGAAAATCCCATAGACGGAGAAGCCTGGTAGGCTACCGTCCATGGGGTCGCAAAGAGACATGACCGAGCGACTTCACTGTCTTTCACTTTGTCAACTTTATTAAAGTAACATCCACACAGAAAAACACTCAAGTAATAAAACACTTTAAATGAATTTCTAAGAAGTACAGCTGGAACCCAGATCAAGATTTAGACTATTAGAATCTCTGAAGACACTCCAGTCACTGTGCCTCCAAAGCATAACTGCTATCCTGACACCTAACGCCATCTATTAGTTTTGAATGCTTTTAGTTTTACATAAGTCTATTCTATTCCCTGGCGTAGGAAATGGCAACCCACTCCAGTGTGCTTGCTGGAAAATTCCGTGGACAGAGGAACCTGGTGGACTACAGTCCATGGGGTTGCAAAGAGTCGGATATGAATGAGCACACATGCCCTCTTTCTCTGTACATGTTACTTTCATTATTAGGATGTAAATCCCTTTAAGATATCTAGGTTAGTACCTATGTAGTTCTCTATATCCATCTCCCCCACGCTCCGGGCTCTGGTACAGAGATTTACCCAAAGAGAACACCAAATCAGGACACCGTATCAAGACAATGTGACAATGTCAACAGTTGAGGGATATATACAGGAGTTCATTGTATTATTCTTCCATCTGTTCTGTAGATTTGAAAATTTTCAAAAAAAAAAGTGAAAGACAAAATAGCTTATTGGACGACTTATGCAATCCAGTTTAGGTGTGCTATTTAAAACAGGACACATGTAAACTCTTTATCTTATCCTTTGTAAGCTTTTGTGTATTTGTATAAGGGAAGAAACCCCCAAAAGTATGTGGGAGTTCAGTGAGAGGGAACCAGGAAAGCCTTCCTTCCTGGAGCTAGTTGTGGATTATTTACTTTTATTCATCAAATATTTATTTGGCATTTCCTATGTCCTGGGCCCTGTGATAGGTGCTGGGAATAAAATGATGAATAAAATCTAGCAGAGAATAGTGATGAGACTCCTTGGCAGATATCCTGTGTGGTTCAGGCTGAGAAGACTTTGTTGAATATATCTCCTCCTGGTGGCCGAGAGCAGGAACCACGGCAGACACATCACAAAGAGGTTCCACCTGGGGTTTCTACGACTCATGCCGTCCAAGAAGCCAAAAAACAACAAAAACCCCACAAAAAACAAAACCCAGAAAATTCAGACTGCTTCTATCTCTCCTAATTAAAAGGAATACTCGTCCATCACACTCTGTTTTTCTGTGCTCCATGTGTCAGATAATTTATAAAGTTAAAAAAATTTTAGTTAAAAATAAGGTGATTTTTCTTTTGACAAAATATCAGAACGGAAATCTGAAAGTTCCCTTACCCTCAGCCTCTACTGACCCCCCACCACGTTTCCCACGGGGACCTGGATGTCACACTTGGATATCTGTGATGTTACAGAGGAAACAGGGAAAGGAGAAAGCCCAGCTTCTCCAAGCTCACCTGCATACAGACGTAGCAGTTCACTCACACTGTTTCCAGCGGATGGACCTTGTAAGTCAGATCAGATCTGGCAAACTATTTACCCAACCCTACTGAATGAATCACTTGAATTGGGAATTTGATTCTGTGACTGAAAGTATTTCAGTGCTGCTTTGAGCAAAGGAACATTGACCACATCCCATCCAGCTCTATGTGATGGCTTTTTTGATGTGGCAACTTGGCCAGGCTACAGCCTCCAGTTATTCAATAAAACATTAGTCTCGATGTTGCTATGAAAGGATTTTGCAGATGTAATTAAAGTCCCTAATCAGTTGACTTTAGGTAAGGAAGACTGTTTTGGATTGTCTGAGTGGGCCTGATATCATTAGTTGGAAAGGCCTTAACACAGAAGCCTCCCCAGAAGAGAGAAGAAACTCAGCTTGTGGAGAATGGCCTCAGCCCACATCTGTGAAATTCCAGAGTCCTATGATCTTCCCTTTCTGCCTGTGTGCCTTGTAGATAGACTTGCTTAGTCAGCCCCCAAATCCTGTAAGCCAGTTCCTGGAGAATTAGCTTGCTAGATCTACCATAATAAAATATCACAGACAGGGTGACTTAGACAAAAATTTATTGCGTCACAGTTCTGGAGCCTAGGGTCTGAGATGAAGGTGTTGGGAAGGTTGAGTCCTTCTGAGGATGAAGATGATAATGATGGACCACCTGCTCCAGGACTCTCCTCGAGCTTCTGGTGTTTTGCTGGCCATCTTCAGCATCCTTTGGTTCGTAAAAGATACATCACTCCAGTCTCTGCCTTCATGTCCACATGGTGTTCTCCATATGCTCATGTCTCTCTCTCTAAACTCCCCCTTTTATAAGAACATGAGTCATATTGGATTAGGGCCAATACTAATGATATAATTTTAACTTGATTGCCTCTGTAAACACACTGTCTCCAAATTAGGCCACAAAACATGCCCTTAGGTACTGGACATTAGAACTCCAATATTATCTTTTGGGGGTTCTTGGTTGAACCCTGGACTAATACACTATATGTGCTTCTCATGGTCATGTTCTCCAAAGCAGCTTACCAGAATCCTTGGATTCTTCAGGTGGTACATTCCATGTCTCCAGAAACACGGATTCATTCTCTAATCCAGAGATGTTAAAATCTGGGTATAAGCATAATACAATTGCTCAGATCATGCAAACAAGGTCAGTGTTTAGGATTCATCAGAAAATTATTATTGTTAGAATTCTGGGGCATCTCGTCAGGTGGATTCTATGGGTATTTGAACTATAAAGTGGGGGTGTTTTAACTATAACCTGGGTTTGCTATAAGCAGCTATTTATCGCTTAAAAAGAATGACCAACTTGAGAAGCCAATAACTAGCTTTCCAGGGTTTGGACGGAGTGCTCATGGGTGAGAGAGCTCGGAAGGAAGCTGAATCTTCTGGTGTCTAGGGACCAGGGGTTGGTGACAATACTTCATGTCTCTGAGCCTCCCTCCTGTGTCACATACCCTGGCTCCTGGCCAACCAGATCTCATCTGATTTAATCCTTATTACGTTCTTACTGTGGGTTTATTATTCTTCCCTAATAAGACTGAGGAGGATGAATCTTAGAGGACACTTAGATCACACATCTAGTAAGGAAACGCCAACATTCAGACATACAATTGATCTTCATTCTTTGTGGATTCTGAATTTTCAAATTCACCTACTCACTGACATTTATTTGTTAATTCAAAACCAATCCTCCTGGTACTTTCACAGTCATTCATGGACATGTGCAGAGCATGAAAAATTTGAGTCACTTGAAGCATGTGTCCTGGCTGAGGTCTCGGCCACACTCTGCTGTCTGTTTCAGCTCTCACACTGTAAACAAGTGGCCTTGCATTGGTCTGCTAGCACCACTTTCTGTTTTGTCCTGCTTTTTGTATTTTGTACTTTTATTTTTTAATTTTCAGGCATGCTGGTGTTTTTATCACCTTAATTACTTTTTTAAAATGTCTTACTTATTTTTAAATGAATTTTTATTGCATTATAGTTGCTTTACAATGTTTTACTAGCTTCTGCTGTACAGCAAAATGATCAGCTATCTGTATCTGTCTGTCTATAATATATATACATACACCTTTATGTGAGAGTCAGATTATTGAGAAAGCTCAGCACCAAAGAATTGATGCTTTTGAACTGTGGTGTTGGAGAAGGCTTGAGAGTCCCTTGGACTGCAAGGAGATCCAACCAGTCTATCCTAAAGGAGATCAGTCCTGAATGTTCATTGGAAGGACTGATGCTGAAGCTGAAATGCCAATACTTCGACCACCTGATGCGAAGAGCTGACCCATTTGAAAAGACCCTGATGCTGGGAAAGATTGAAGGCAGGAAGAAAGAGAAAGGGATGACAGAGGATGAGATGGTTGGATGGTATCACCAACTCCATGCACATGAGTTTGAGTCAACTCCGGGAGTTGGTGATGGACAGGGAGGCCTGGTGAGCTGCAGTTCATGGGATCACAAAGAGTTGGACACGACTGAGCGACTGAACTGAGCTGAACACATATATATTCCTTCTCTTTTGGATTTCCTTTCTATTTAGGCCATCACAGAGCATTGAGTAGAGGTCCCTGTGCTCTGCAGTAGGTTCCCGGTTAGTTATCTATTTTATACGTGTATCAACAGTGTGTACATGTCAGTCCCGATCTCCCAATTCATCCCACCCCGTCCTCCTTTCCCTCTTGGTATTCATACACTTGTTTTCTCCATCTATGTCACTATTTCTGCTCTGCAAATAAGATAATCTGTACCATTCTCTAGATTCCACTTAATATGCATTAATATTTGATATTTGTTTTTCTCTTTCTGACCTACTTCACTCTGTGATAGTCTCTAGTCCACGTCTCTGCATTTTTGTGCTTTTTTTGGTGGTTGAAATGGCCCTAAACATAGTGATTCAGTGCCATCTAGTGTTCCTAAGTACACAAAGGCTGGGTTGTCAGATCTGAAAGAGACACATGCACCCCAGTGTTCATCACAGCACTGTTTATCATAGCCAGGACATGGAAGCAACCTAGATGCCCATCAGCAGATGAATGGATAAGGAAGCTGTGGTACATATACACCATGGAATATTACTCAGCTGGGATGGGGAATACATGTAAATCTATGGCTAATTCATTTCAATGTATGACAAAAACCACTGCAATGTTGTAAAGTAATTAGCCTCCAACTAATACAAAAAAATAAATTAAAAAAAAAAAGGGCTGGGTTGTGCCCTATGTAATGGATAAACTGTTCAGGCACAAGTTACAGTGGTATTGGCTGTGAGTGAGTTCAGTGTTAATGAGTCAACAATGTATACTAAATAAGGTGACCTGAAACAGAAATACACATAAAACCAGAGGCTGATAGGAACCTAGCTCCGCATTACCCCAGGAGCAGTGGTTCAGGGTTCACAGAGTCAGTGAATAGAGAGTTGACTGTACCAACGCTGAGCTCTAAAAGTTGCTCTATTTACCACATCAGGAGGATGAGACTCAGAGTTGGTACCTCAGTCCTCTTACCTGTTTCATGAATGAAGGAAACTGTAGCCTGGAAGCCTCTGAAGGTCGTGTTTTCATTGGACTGGAAGCTGATGGACATTACCCCAGTGATGCTCACCACGGGGGTGGGGACAGCAAAGCCACACAGCCGAGCTGGTTCAAGCCCAGCCCAAGCACCACAGGATCCAGGGCCCAGCACATAGACATGGCAGTGGATAGAAGCAAAAAGATTGTCCTTCAGGTAACTGTTAAGAAATAAACTTTTCCAGTGGGTGTCACAATTCATTTTCAAAATGGAAAAGGCAGACTGCATCTTTGTACTACATATTTAACCCTGCTAACATTTCAATTCTGTTTATCTCCCAAATACTCCCACTGGGAATGCCACTAAGAGAACTGATTCCAGCCACAGGGCTTGTTTCAATGGCACTTTCCCCTCTGACCCCTAGTCTATGTGGGCCTTCCTAATGAAATGGTTCTTTGATTTTCCCTGAAGCTCTCCCCACCCTCGCTCCATGCCTCCCCCCACAACTGGGGAGAAGGAGGAGAGGTGATGGGAGCACAGGGGAGGATGGAGATGATGCAGGGAAAGGAACACTGAGCCACCACTTCCCTATTATTCCCTAAAAGGATTCCCAAGAAGGACCAGACCCAGATGCAAACTAGGGAAGCCGAGGCTCCCGGGGAACACAAACCTATTTCTTTGTTTGTTTTTTAAAATTTATTAATTTTTTAATTGAAGGATAATTGCTTTACAGAATTTTGTTGTTTTATGTCGAACCTCAACATGAATCAGCCACAGGTATGCATGTGTCCCCTCCCTTTTGAACCTCCCTCCCATCTCCACCCCCCATCCCACCCCTCTGGATTGATACAGAGCCCCTGCACAAACCTATTTCTTTTTTCCTTTCTACATCCCTGTGTATGCTCACATAGTCAGAAGTGCAGTCTCCATTTTCTTCTATTTTTAGGTCCTGAAATGAAAGCTGAGAAGGCTCCATGTTACATTCAGAGTTGACAATATGAATACATTAACTAATTTTGATCAAGCAGAAGAATTTCAATTGTTCAGCTTGCTCTGGAGCAAGATGAGAAAAATAATGGGGCACTTGTGAATGAGTTATATTACTTAGGAAAAGATGCTAAACCATAGGCTCCCAAACCTCTCGAAACATGTAAGCACCCGATTATGGGCCCAATATAAGGGTGGGAAAACGTGCAAATATTTGAGCTCCCGAGCTGCCTCCTTAGAGGAGCAAAGAAACTTCAAAGAACAATGTTCAAGTAATCTGATATCCTTAACCAATTGAGTTTAAAGAGAGGAGCAGTGGGAGATAGAAATGATGAGGTAGCAGTCTAGATTTTATACATGCGGATGATGGGGATTCAATGGATCCTAAACACTCAGCAAAAGACACAGAGGCCTGTATGTCTGGGACAAAAGTGGAGCCAAATGATGATTCATGCTAACAAGACATGGGGTCAAGGAGACATGTCAGAAATAGGATTCATTCAAACATTTCTTATATCCTTCCTGGAATTCTTTCTGGAAACAGATACTTTCAGTTATTCTGACCATTCTGTGTTATGGAAAGAGGTTTTAAAAAAGGAGCAAAATTACATAAATCTTTTTTAAACCAGAAATTTCCCACACAGGGGATCTATAATCCCTATAAAAAATAACTTAAAGAAAATTCAAAATATTTCTAGAAGTGAGGGGGTTGCAGAGGCTGAGATGGTTAGATAGCATCACTGACTCAATGAACACGAGGCTGAGCAAACTCCAGGAGATCATGAAGGACAGGGAAGACTGCTGTGTTGCAGTCCATGGGGCGGCAAAAAGTTGGACATGACTTAGCGACTGAACAATAACAACAAACCTATTTTGTGTAATATAATATTTAAAACTTAGAATTTAAAATGTTCAAAGTTGGTGAACAGAACATGCAGAGCAATAAAACTTATGATGAATAATAGACTTTTTTCTCTTTGAGTCAGATGGTCTGCACATAGTCATGACCTGTCATATCAACTTACAAATGACTGTCTCAAATGGGCCCTGCAGGGTGATGCTGCCGCTGGCTGATGTGAGTGCATCTTTTTATTGATGCACAGCACTCAGTGTAATTGGTTGCACAGGTGTTTTTGAATCACTTCAAGCTCTTCCATGTTTAGACTTTCAACTAAATTTTGTCTTCTTCCTCTTTTTGGAAGTATGCTCATACTTAATCTTTTCTTCTCTATCACTATATGGTGGTGGTGGTTTAGTCACTAAGTCCTGTCTGACTTTTGTGATCTCATTAACTCTAGCCTGCCAGGCTCCTCTGTCCATGGGATTCTCCAGGCAAGAATACTAGAGTGGGTTGCCACGCCCTTCTCCACAGGATCTTCCCAACCCAGGGATTGAACCCGGGTCTCCTGCATTGTAGGCATATTCTTTACCAACTGAACTATGAGGGAAGCCCTACATACTTCCCTTAATCCCACTACATAGCTTCCCTTAATCCCACTTTGTTTTGAACCCTCTGCCTGACTCTGCTTGGGTTTCAGGAACTTTTAGGACGAAAACAGCTACATTTGCTTTACTTCCTCTGTGTCTTCTCACATTTAAAACCTGTGTGATCTTGTTCTACCTCCGACATCTGACCTAACTTGACCTTGCAGATGCCACCACCTCCACCTCCTTTCAATTGTCCATCTCAATTATTCTACCTTCTTTATGAGGGGTTGAGGTGGGGACTGGATAACAGGCACTCAGTCCTCCTAATTTTTTTTTTTTAAGTTCTGTCTTTTTACTTTGTTAACATTTAAAAGCATGTTTGAAAAGAACAAAAGGTTTCAGAGCTACACAATGGTTTCTCTGTGGAAGGGAGAGAGAAAACAGGAAAGGAGATCAAGATCTATCAAGAGGAGAGGTGGTGGAGGGAGGGATGGAGAGGAAGGCAAGTCAAGAAGGGAGGAGTCCTCCTTCTCTTCAAATTCTAACTTTGTGTGGGAAATTCAAGCTGTTGGCCATAACTTTTTGTTTGTTTTGGTTTTTGTTTTAAAAGCTCTCTTCTCTGGACTGTCATAACACTGCACCAATTTGGTTCTTCTCCTAGGTCAGATCTTTTTTTTTTTTTTGGCCTCAAATATACGAGAACTTTGAGGTCTCGTTCACCCTTGCTCCTTCCCCATTGTTTTATAATCTACTTTGTCTTCTTCATATACTTTCTTGCTTTCAATAATGAAAGAGAAAATGTTCTAAATAAATGCTTAATTCCAACCTTACCCTGACTGCAGTACCATCTACCTGAAGGCATGTCTGCCGACAGCACACTAGTGTTAAGTGAACAAGCATATGAACAGATGACCCAAACACCGCAGTCGAAGGCTCTATATATTCTGCATCCTGACATTTAAAGCCCTCCATACTTTGATCTCAGCCTTGCCTTCTATCACCCCTCCTGCTACACGTTATGCTAGTCCCTGAACCTGTTCTGCACTGCACTTTTGTTATCTATGTCTCACAACGTGTTTTGGTAACAGTTTAATTAATAAGGAAGAAATGCTTATTTCTTGAAAGGACTAGATATGGATGGAGCAAGTTAACCTGGTATATAGGTAAAGGCAGCTTTTCAACAAAAAGTAAAGTGCACAGTTGCCTCTGCAACTCAAAAAGACAAAAAGTAAAGTGCACAGTTGGACAAAGTGGCAAAAAGTAAAGACACAGTTGCCTCTGATCTCAAAAATGAAAGAATGATCTGTTTGTTTCCAAGGCAAACCATTCAATATCACAGTAATCCAAGTCTATGCCCCAACCAGTAATGCTGAAGAAGCTGCAAGTTGAATGGTTCTATGAAGACCTACAAGACCTTCTAGAACTAACACTCAAAAAAAGTATCCTTCTTATAATAGGGTACTGGAATGCAAAATTAGGAAGTCAAGAGATACCTGGAGTAACAGGCAAATTTGGCCTTGGAGTACAAAATGAAGCAGGGCAAAGGCTAACAGGGTTTTGCCAAGAGAACACACTGGTCATAGCAAACACCCTCTTCCAAAAATGCAAGAGAAGACTCTACACATGGACATCACCAGATGGTCAACACCAAAATTAGATTGTTTATATTTTTTGCAGTCAAAGATGGAGAAGCTCTAGACAGTCAGCAAAAACAAGACCAGGAGCTGACTGTGGCTCAGATCATGAACTCCTTATTGCAAAACTCAGATTTAAATTGAAGAAAGTGGGGAAAACCACTAGACCATTCAGGTATGACCTAAATCAAATCCCCTTTGATTATCCAGTGGAAGTGACAAATAGATTCAAGGAATTAGATCTTATAGAGTGCCTGAAGAACTATGGATGGAGGTTCGTGACATTGTACAGGAGACAGGGATCAAGACCGTCCCCCCAAAAAAGAAAAGGAAAAAGGCAAAACTGTTGTCTTGAGGAGGCCTTACAAATAGTTGTGAAAAGAAGAGAAGTGAAAGGCAAAGGAGAAAAGGAAAGATATTCCCATTTGAATGCAGAGTTCCAAAGAAGAGCAAGGAGAGATAAGAAAGCCTTCCTCAGTGATCAATGCAAAGAAATAGAGGTAAACAATAGAATGGGAAAGACTAGACATCTCTTCAAGAAAATTAGAGATACCAAGGGAATATTTCATGCACAGATGGGCACAATAAAGAACAGAAATGGTATGAACCTAACAGAAGCAGAAGATATTGAGAAGAGGTGGCAAGAATACACAGAAGAACTATACAAAAAAGATCTTTATGATCCAGATAACCACGATGGTGTGATCACTCACCTAGAGCCAGACATCCTGGAATATGAATTCAAGTGGGCCTTAGGAAGCATCACTAAGAACAAAGCTAGTGGAGGTGGTAGAATTCCAGTTGAGCTATTTCAAATCTAAAAGATAATGCTGTGAAAGTGCTGCACTCAATAAGCCAGGAAAATTTNAAGAGCCTCTTGATGCAAGTGAAAGAGGAGAGTGAAAAAGTTGGCTTAAAGCTCAACATTCAGAAAACTAAGATCATGGCATCCGGTCCCATCACTTCATGGCAAATAGATGGGGAAACAATGGAAACAGTGAGAAACTATTTTTTGGGGCTCCAAAATCACTGCAGATGGTGACTGCAGCCATGAAATTGAAAGACGCTTGCTCGTTGGAAGAAAAGCTATGACCAATCTAGATAGCATATTAAAAAGGGGAGACATAACTTTGCCAACAAAGGTCCATCTAGTCAAAGCTATGGTTTATCCAGTGGTCATATATGGATGTGAGAGTTGGACTATAATGAAAGTTGAGCGCCGAAGAAGTGATGTTTTTGAACTGTGGTGTTGGAGAAGACCCTTGAGGGTCCCTTGGACTGCAAGGAGATACAACTAGTCAATTCTAATGGAAATCAGTCTGAATATTCTTTGGAAGGACTGATGCTGAAGCTGAAACTTCAATACTCTGGTCACCTGATGTGAGGAACTGACTCATTTGAAAAGCCCCTGGTGTTGGGAAAGACTGAAGGCAGGAGGAGAAGGGGGTGACAGAGGACGAGATGATTGGATGGCATCACCGACTGTCTGGATCAGAGTCTGAGTCAGCTCTGGGAGTTGGTGATGGACAGGGCAGCAGTTGTGCTGCAGCTTATAGGGTCGCCAAGAGTCAGAGACGACTGAGCAACTGAACTGAACTGAAAGCGCACAGTTGCCATCTAGTGGCAAGTGCGGGTAGTTGCAGGACAGAATACTCCGGTCTGATATCAAGTATTTATCAAGAGATTTGTGTGCCAGGTGCTAGGTTCTAGGTACAAGGGATACAGCGGCAAATGCATCAGGTAAAAACCTCTGCCCTCATGGTGTCCATGTGAGCGATTCTGTGGAGATTCAGAGCCAAATAAGGGTACCTTAACTAGGTAATGTTTGGGGGCTTGAAAGACCCAATTGCAGCTGGCCATGTCGCTGTAGTCTTCAGGATAGTGAAGACTCTGTATGAGGCCTTCTTCAAACAGGATGGTTAAGGAGTCACAGCCAGAATCTACAATACAAAGGAGAAGGTCCAAGCAGCGGCATCACCATGGACAGAGGGGCCCTCTTTGTTCTCACCCTTGTGTCCCACATGAGAGATGCCTGAACTGACTCTTCAGGCAGAGCCATCTAGACGGGGGAGGTCTGTGCCCTGGTTCGGGAGAAGTCGTCAAGCTCTCTTGGCTCACGTGGGTGGGCAACAAGCATGCATTTGCAAGACTGCACGAGGAGCCTCTGTATCCCTGTCTCGCTGACCTTGGGCTAGTCTTTGCTGTGGAGCCCAGGGGGCCTTGGGTGGTCTCCCTACCCATCATCTAATTCCTATGGGGCCCCAACTTCTGCAAAAGGTCAGCACAGTGTATGATAAGAGTTAACAGTTTTACCAGGAAGGTAGTTTGGTTTAAGAGCTTTATAGGTGAGATTGAACCCAACGGCATAATCTGTGTTATCAGAGATGAAGCTCAGCCTCATAGCGTTGGAACCAATAAGAACTGATGAAGCCAGTCTCTCTCCACAGAATTTCGCTGCAACATAAGAAAGAAGAGTCTTTGCTCAGAGCCTAGAAAACAGCACCCGTTAAAAGACTTACAGGGACCTGAACATTCATGATAGTGCAGGCTTGTCTGAACCAGGGCTTCTCAACCTTGGCACTACTGATGTTCTGAGCTGGAACGTTCTGTGTGTTCAGGCTGTTCTGCACATTGTAGGATGTTTTGCAGCATCGCTGGCTGCAAAAGTGTTTTGCAACATTCTCTCTAGTTGTGACAGCCAAAATTGCTCCTGAGACATTGTTAAAGGTCTCCTGGGGGAAGTGAGGACAGGCCATATCCATCTCCAGTTTAGAACCACAGGAATGCACCTCCATTTCTGTTTCTTACATAAGTAACTTTTGTCTCCTAGTTGTGGTTATCTGTTGCTGTCTTCCTTTTGAGCTGGATGAGGCAGGTAAAGGTTATTTTCATGCTCAAGAGAGCAGGATTCTGCCTGAGAGGCCCTGAAAGGCACAACTGTAGGTCTGCATTTTACTCCCAATGGGCTCCAGGTCTGGCAAATGAGTCTAGGAAGCCTGGTTCCATGGGAAGCAAAGGCAGTAAGTGAAATGCACTGGGGCCTTCCAGTCCTCACACAGGCTCAGATTTCGTTCCTTTCCACCATCAATTCAAAGTCTCAACAGTGGAGACAGGAAGTGTGCTGTTTATAAATGCCTTGGGGCTTGACATATTATAACCAGGCCCCATTAAGTCCTCCTAGCATAGGGTCCATTTGATAGTGTGAACATCCACTCACCAATAAGTGTGTCTTCTAAAGAATATATCGACAGGTAATTATGGTCACAAGACTCTGCATCAAAGTGGGAAAAACTGAGGAGCACGTGCATTCCCTCTGGTGCCAACAGGGTCCAGGCACACTGTCTGCAGGTAGACACATTGAGAGGGTGTTATTTTCAGATAGAAAGTGGCTGTCACTGTCGAATGAGTGGGGCAGAGTCAAACTGGAGGTGGGACAAAGGAATGGATAAAGAAGATATGGTACATATTTATGATGGAATATTACTCAGCCATTGAAAAGAATGAAATAATGCCATAGGCAGCAACATGAATGGACCCAGAGACTGTCATACTCAGTGAAGTCAGAGAAGAAGAATATTGTATGACATCCATTATGTGGAATCTAAAAAGAAATGATACAAATGAACTTATTTACAAAACAGATTCACAGACTTAGAGAACAAACTTATGGTTGCTGGGTGGTGGGGGGAGAATGGAGGAGAGAGATAGTTAGGGAGTTTGGGATGGACATGTACACACTGCTATGTTTAAAATGAATAACGAACAAGGTCTTACCATATAGGCACAGGGAACTCTGTTCAATGTTATGTGGCAGCCTAGATGAGAAGGGAGTTTGGGGGAGAAGGGATACATGTATACACATGGCTGAGTCCCTTTGCTGTCCACCTTAAATGATCACGACATTAGTAATCGGCTGTATTCCGATATGCTGCTGCTGCTAAGTCGCTTCAGTCGTGTCAGACTCTGTGTGACCCCATAGGTGGCTGCCTACTGGGCTCCCCCATCCCTGGGATTCTCCCGGCAAGAACACTGGAGTGGGTTGCCATTTCCTTCTCCAATGCAGGAAAGTGAAAAGTGAAAGTGAAGTCTCTCAGTCGTGTCCCACTCTTAGCGACCCCATGGACTGCAGCTCACCAGGCTCCTCCGTCCATGGGATTTTCCAGGCAAGAGTACTGGAGTGGGTTGCCATTGCCGTCTCTGAGATATTTTGATATAAAACAAGTTAAAAAAAAAAAAGAAAAAACTGGAGGTGGGAGTTGGGGCAGAGGTGGCAGCAGGGGCTACTCACTGTTTGCTCTCATAATATAGGAAGGGGCTTTCTGGGAAGTGCAGCTCCCCCTCTGATGCTCTGACCACGCGATCCTGCTCACTGCATGTGGCTGGGAGGAAAAGCCATGAGAATTAGGACTAACACTGATGGCTAGCCGCAGCAGCCCTCTCCCTCCAAAATGCACGCAGACACTGGGACCTCTCGGCTCTTCTTCATGCACCCGTCTCTTCTCTATGAAATCTTTTCCTGTCTTGGTTTCTGTGATGCTTTATTCTTTTTTGTTCCTTGTATATCTTGCTTAACTTTGAGATTCTATGATTTCTTCTCCTTTACTCCTCTTTCTCTGACCCCATAAATCCACTCTACAGATGCAGGTATTTCCTAGGTTCTATTCTTAGTTTCCATTTCTTTCTACATGAGCCTTCTGACCTCGTTCACACTCTCAGTTTTAATTATTATCTCTACCTGAAATTCTGATTTTCAACCATCTCCTAGGTCTCTTCACCTTAAACTTAACATGCTACAAATGGAATTCCTTTGTGTCTGCAAAACTGCTTCCACTTCTGATTTGAATACTTTTTGTATTCTATTAGCTTTTCATGCTCAGAGATTTGGTGTCATCCTCCACTCCTTTTTTCTCACCACCCTTAACTTTAGTGACTATCCAGTCCTAGTTCATCCTATTTCTATGCTCTCCTTTTCATTCTCTGGCCATTGCCCTAAATCAAGCCTTATTTTCTTATCTCTTGAACTAATGCATAATCTCATAATTCCACTATGCATTATTTCTCCTCCAGTCTATTCCCTATGTACAGTTCTTACAGCACTTCAGTATAGCTCTAATCTATTTATCTAGTTAGTTAACTCTTATTACTCAATAAAGTCTAAATTTTTTTGACTGGTGTTCAAAGTTTCCATAATTTGGTCTCAAGTTATATGTTTAATCTTCTTTCCCATAAAACCGCTCACATAGCCTATACTTTAGCTGCTTTGACTCGCTGGGTCTCTATTACACCCTAAATTTTCCTATCTTAATCTTTTAGTATCCATCTTCTGATAAGAATAATTCCTTGAGCTGGACTATTTTTCTTTACTTGTATCCCATCCTCACCTGACAAAATTCTATTCATCCTTTGTTCTCTAAGGTTCAGGTTAAAAGATGTTTGTGCTCCAAAGCCTCCCTTGTCTTTTTGTCTTTTTTTTTTTTTTTTTTTTTTCCAGCTAGAAGCAGCCATTCTCTCCACTGAGCTTTCAGGGTACTCTTTTCCCACTTTGCTCTTTGGAGTTAGTTCCACAAACTCACAGAACTGCTGAGGCTAAAGGTGCCTTTGAGACCATCTGGTCCAAACTGCTTCCTTTTTGGATAAGGAGACTCAGGTTCAGAGGTAGAAAGGAGCTTGCCCAAAATCACAGAGTGAATTCACTGCAGACTTGCAATGTAACCCTGGGGTGGGTTCCCTGTGCTTTCTGAACAAGCTGAGCTCAGAAACCTGACCACATCTGCACCACTTCACCTCCTCCCTCATGTCTGAGATCCAAACTGAGAATTTGACAACTGTTTGTTGAATTGAGCTAGAGCTGTGGATTGACAAGAAGTGAATTGGGAGGGAATGTGGGGCTCCTGCTGGTGAGGGTGTGCCCTCACTGGCTGGGGATGAATGACCAAGTGCTTCAAGTGATGTTTTTATACATAGTGAGTATGGAGAATTCTTGCAGAGGAAGACTTTTGATTATAATGGGAACCGATATTCAGAAATAGTAGAGATTAATTCATGCTCCCAGAAGAGCAGATGAAAAATACCCACCTCTGGAGCTTTTTCTCTGCTTCCCTGGGAAAGAAAAAGAAAGATGGGATTCAAGGTTTGTGGCATCTTGAACAATATTTCAAGAAGTTAGCATCTCCCTGGCCCAAAAGTGCAGAGGTTTTTAAGTCAGTTTGCAACTAATGAAAATATAATCTGTGGAAAGAACAGAAGGGATAAATTGACAAAGCAGCAGAGGGGCCTTTGTGTTTTAAGAAGATGATTCACTGTTTATTAGGTGGGTTCATTGGCTTGGAGATTACACAAAGCAAGAAGAGGTTGTCTGGGCTACCCTTCTAATTTTTCATGAAAAGAGAGGCTGGAGATGGAAATAACATACCCACAACCACAAAAGAGTTGCTGAGATAGCTACAACTTGAGCTGAGGACTCAAATACCTGCCAGTGTTCCATATACTTGAACACAATCACAAGTTTTCCCTGAACTAGTTTGAATTAACCCCTTTGGGAAGAAACAGAAGTCCTATTGAGGTTGGAAGCCACCAGTTAAGTTGGATTTGGAGGCAAAAAATGAAGTTTCAATTAACTCATTGGTCAGTCTAGAAGAAGGATGTATATAGATCTTGGCCTTTTCAGATTTACAATACCTGGCTCTATGTCAGGCATTTTCAGCCACAGCATTTTTAACATTTGGGGCTGAATCCTTCTTTGCTGGGTGGGAATGTGGGTGCTGTCCTGTGCATTGTAGGACGTTTAGCAGCATCCATGGCCCCCTACCCACTTCATGCCAGTGGTTCTTTTCTCTCCTGTTGTGACAACAACAAATGTCTCCAGTCCCTGTCACCTGAAGGGGCAAAATTCCCCTTGGTTGATAACACTGACCTATGCTATAGCTTGCTGAATCTTGCTAGCACAGTAAGTGAGAAGTAAGTGGTGTAAACATATTACTAGCTGAGACAGTTTCAATTAAATGCAAATTTGACAAAGTCTAGGATGGATGTATTCATGTTTCATTGAATAGTTGTATGCTGTGCAAATCATAGTTTGTCCTATTTTTAGACTCAGCAAATACCACAATCCTTATGGGAGACACTAAGATGGAAGCAGAGTCTGTCTGCTCAGTGGTCTTGACTTGCCTAGACTCTGCTGATGTTCTCTTTTTCCCTAGCTTCTTGACCTTATGTTTTGGCTTGATTACCAATTCGGATGTGTTTGTGGATCCAAGAAAGCACTTTAGTAAGATCTGTGAAGATCCCAGGGGAGCCTTGATCATCTTTCTGCAGATTGTTCTTCCAGCCTCGACCACAGCCCAAACCCCAGGAAGTCACACCAGCCAGAGTCCAAGTCCCTTTCTTATTCCGGCACATGAGGGAACCTCCTGAGTCTCCCTGTAGGGAGAAAAGATCTCTGTTACCATCATTGTCAGTGTCTGTGCCCCTCAAAGATGCTAGACAAGGATCAATGAATTGATCAGTGAATTTCTTCACTTCTAATACTCTGGACTCAAGGACCTGAGAGAACAGGCAAGTACAATTCACATTCATTCCTGAAATACCACTGCTGCTGCTGCTAAGTCACGTCAGTCGTGTCCGACTCTGTGCGACCCCATAGACGGCAGCCCACCAGGCTCCCCTGTCCCTGGGATTCTCCAGGCAGACTGGAGTGGGTTGCCATTTCCTTCTCCAATGTATAAAAGTGAAAAGTGAAAGTGAAGTTGCTCAGTCGTGAAATGCCACTGGAGTCCACCAAATCCACCTCCTTCTTCCCCATCTGGGGCTTTCATCAGACAGATTGTTTCCTTCTCCTGTCTCATCCTACAGACTCAGAGAAGTCTTGTCCAGTAGTCATATTGACCTTAGTTCTTGGTCAGCAGGAGGGATGGAGAGAAAGAAAAGCTCCCATTATACACAAACTGGAAATCTCTAAGTAGGAAGGAGCCACCTATCCTTCAGGCTGGAGAACTCTGAGTTCATTGGTCTTTTCAAATCAGTTATTTATTGGTAGTAAATAACCAAGAGATATCACTGACAATCATCAAAAAGTTTAGAAACTAGGTATTTGATAACATATACACATTGAAAATATCATTTTGATGTGTCACTAATAATTATGAATACTTTTGATATTTTAAACAAGGGGCTTTTCCTTTTTTTTTTTAATTTTTTATCTTGTATTGAGGTATGAAAGTGAAAGTCACTCAGTCATGTCCAGCTCTTTGGACCCCATGGACTATACACTCCATGCAATTCTCCAGGCCAGAATACTGGAGTGGGTAGCCTTTCCCTTCTCCTGGGAATCTTCCCAACCCAGGGATCAAACCCAGGTCACTGATTAAAAATGCTGTGATAATTTCAGGTGAACAGTGAAGGAAACTGTCCCTTTATTTTGACTTGACCTCCCTTCTCTTTCCTGATCCTTCTTCCCAGATTCTAATCTTTCCTGTAGCCTTATTTCAGCCTCTCTCATCTGATGACAAAGCTGAGGGAAGCTCTGTCTGGGACCTGTCAGCCTGACCACTCCCACTTACCTGACATGCATCTCGACCTCCATCTGGGAAGCCTGTGCAGAGAAAGGTCCGCCCACTGATGGGTTTCTCTAGGGTCAACAGAGCTGTAATACACTCATCCTGGGTCAAAATGGGCAGGTTCACTTCCTGCAAGACTTGCGGAGCAACGCCATCTAGAAAACACAGACACGAGAACCCCAGCAAGGTGCTCCTTCACCTCCCTGCATTGAAGATGCCCCATTCAGGCTTGTGGTTTTTTGGAAAGATTTGAATTTTTAAGTACAACGTGGCATTCTCTATTTTTAAAAATGTTTACACACTGCCTTTTACAAATAGATTAAAAATTCTGTTTCCTGATTACCTACCAGAAAGTTCTGATATCAGATTAAGAGCAGAGCATGGAAGTTCTTACTTTCATTCAAGCGGCCCCAGCCTGCGGTTGTACAAATAAATCCAGGCTTAAATTGTTCCCCTGGTTCTGGAAGACACATGGGCCCCACAAACTGATCTGAAGAAAAAGAGCAAGGCAGGGCTCGTTTAATTCATGGAGGAGAGACACCACAAGCCACTCACCAACGGGCATCTAGGTGGATCCCCAAAGGCCTTGTGATGTCTCTGGCACCTCTAGGGGTCTCTTGTCAAACAAAGAAAGACCCTTTCCTGACTCCACTTAATTGTATCTCTAAAGTCACAAGCAAAATGAGTTTCAGGTAGGGGAACCCCACCTCGAATTTCTGTCTCAAAGTCCATGATCCAGAAATCTTGGGCACATGCTACATAATTTATACTTTAGGAACTGTGCTATGGAACAGGAGTTCTGGAGAACATGGGGTTGACAATTCAGAGTAAACTTCAAATGTTTACCAAAATGGAAAGCTCCAGCCATCTTCAAAAGAGCGATATCATAATCCATTGGTTTCTTGGTAGAGAAGTGTGGGTGTATGATGATGGTTTCAATGGTGAGGGTTTGCTCTCCTGGCTCCACATATCTCAAGTCATATTCACCAGCAGTAACATTGAAAGTTGATACAGTATTTCTATGTGGAGGAAAGAGTAAAAGGGATGGGTTTCATTGAAGCTGAGTAGAGTTGTAATGGTTGACAATCCGACCTCTTCAAAATGAGATAGATGGAGAATGCATGTGTGCAGCTACTGAAGAGAGAAAGTAAGAATGATTCCAAATGTAGAGGTTCCCAGTGTGAGTGGGGGATTAGTGAAAGTGGCCTCATGTGGAACTAATAATAAGATAAACTGAATAGTTTGCAATGTTATTTGTTAAGTGTCCAAGGGTTTGTGTATACACTGTAATTCAGAGATCTAAAGCTACCCCGGATGGTTGACTTGGTCTCAATATCACTGATATTCTTTGGGAATATTTGGTGGTTCTCATCAAGTAGGCTGCTTTAATGTCCGAGATCTAATACATAATGCATACCATGAAAGACATAATAGCATCATAACTCTGATATCCCAGAGAGTATGCAAATCAGAGCTTTGGGACTGATTACAGCAATGGGAAGAGAGGATCTTCCCCTACTTCCTTCGTGTTTGTATTTTAGAGATCTAACATGACATGGGAAAGACTGAAGAGCTATACTACTTCTACCTGCTGCAAAGTTATCTGAAAGGAACTTGATAGCATGCATTGAGGTGGATTAAGACCTTTGGGATCTAGAAGGGGATCTCTGGGGATCCAGAAGAGATGATTTAATACAACATTAGAAAAGGCATCATTTTCTCTTGGTATACTTCCCTGGCTCTTGGCTATATTAGCTACCAAACCCAATGCAAAGCATCTCTCTAGCCTAACCACATGCCATACTGCAGTGAAATTATCAGTTGACTCTTCCATAAACTATCAACTCTTGGAGGGCAGGATTCACCTCTGAGTCATCTTTGTATCTTTGGTAGCTATTAGTGTACAGCCTTAAGGAAATATCCAGAAGATGTTTGCAGACATGAAATGAAAGTGGGAAAATAGGGGGACATGATCTTGACTGCTGCTTTATGAGTATCAAGAACATTGGCAGCAAAAGAACATTTGGAGCACACAAGAAAATGGATAAAAGATGGAAATTGTTAAAGTTCAGAGAGCCAGGGTCAATAGGAAGGAAGACACAGAAGCCTTCTTCATGTTTTATTGGCCTTCTTTTGTTTTCATTTATTAAGATGCATAATGAGCGGGATGATTTTTTTCATCAGAATTTAAGAAAACAAGGGGAGAACTTTCACAAATCTATCTTTGTGATGCTTTTTTTCTCACTTGGATATTATTTTTGATCAATACAATCATTTTAAATATCAAAGTCTTCACTCCTATAAGGAATGCATGTTTTCTATCAAGTTTAGCACCCTTGACAATGTCTTTGAGCCCTATTTATATTATGCAACCAGCATATTTTCCCCTAAAGCATACATTGCACCATCCCATATTTTAATAGAGTTATTCCTGGTGATTCCCAGGAAGAAGAAAGGTAATCTGACCTTTATCAATTGGCTGGACTTTCCTTACCTGTTTGCAACGCAGTGAGCAGCCGTGATCACCCACTGTGGGGAGATGATGGTCCCACCACAGACATGCTTCTGCCTTCGTTTCAGAGACACCTGAGTTGCAAAGACCTTAAATGGGAGCAAGTTAATGCCCTGGGATCCCCCCAAACCTGGAGACTGAGCATATTCTGAAAAAGAGACCCAGATATCTTACTCATAAATATCAGAAATCTGAAATGTGAAGTGGTAGACCAATCACACTATATTTTACAAAGAAGAGCAAAGCTGGGCTCAGAATATTCCCACCCCTGGTCCACAAGAGAGGTAGTTAACTTGAGGCTTTAGCAAGTTGGTAACAAAAATTGTGGGTATTTATTTATATGATAATGCTCAGCCAGTATGTTACTCTAACAATATGAATGATATCTGTGAATGGGGGGAGAGAGAGAGAGAGAGAGAGAGAGAGAGAAACATAAGATATAGCATAGACTAGATGAAAAAGTTTGAGATAAAGACAAGGTGAGGGCTAAGGGAGTCTTCCAAAGTCTGTTCCAATTCTTCTAGGCATCCTAGAGAAATAGTTTGGATTTACTGCTTTCTTAACAGTCTTTAACTATTTAACCATTACAACTTCTTCAATCTTATTTTTTAATCTATCTCTACAGTATATTTTCTATCATGTCTTATCCTGCTCATGATACTTGGCTTGACTCCAACATGACTTAGAGGGTACAATAAATACTTTTACTTCCATTGTTGAAATTAGAAAAAAGCAATTTTTTAGAATTGTCTCCTTGTTGATAAAAAATTTTTCTATGAGCAATTAAAAAAAATAATACAGAGAAAAGGCTAAGAATAGAATAAAGCACAAGTAAGTAAAAGTCAGTGAATCATCCCTGACTATGATTTAAATGTGAACTTCTGAATTGACTGGCCAATTAATTGACCAAATAAGAAATGATAAACCAATTCTTCAACCAAATAATTAACTCATCGATTAATCAAATAACAATGATTCAGCCGTTTAATCAACCCACTGAACAAAAATTCAATCAACCAATTGTTGCTAAATATCTAAAATAACTGATCTAAAAGTTAATTTGACTGACTCAAGAGAAGTGAAAATAAAAAACTATCACTCTACTTACAAAATGAAGAGACAGATGGGTCCCAGGGTAAAGAAAATTAGGAGACTTTCAAAGATGATAAATGAGAAAACCATAGTCTAGGGGCAGAAGCACAAACTCATTTCTATAGGCACAGAAGGACCAGGAAATTACACTGACACAGAATTCTTAGGACAATAACTGTATACTAAGGAGACTAACTATATACTATAAACTCTTGATTGTTTCCTGAAGGGCCCTATGGTGTAGGTATGAACCTTACATCCCAAACATAAAGTAGAGCCATGGATATGACACCTTTGACTTTGCTCATCACCTTTAACTATAACAAGATTGATATATTTTAAATATGTTTATTGAATCAGAAAATTATTTTTTAAATTATAAATTTGAAGTGGGATTTTTGTCTTAGGGACTGAAAGTTTGGGATGGCATTTCTAAATTTTGGAGTAAGCCAATAGTGCTTGTGACTATTCTGAACACATCTTTTCTAGAAGTCAACTAATGAACATCAGGAGGGGCTTGGATCCTTGCACACCCTCATGAGATCTCTGGTGAAAAAGCAGAATGGAGCATACTAATGAGTAGCATTGGATTCTGAGAGATCCAATCTTGAGGCAGCTCATAATCCCATCAGAGAAGGTTTCCTGAGACTTACCTGCCAAGGGTAGGAACCCTTTGCCACTTGCCTTCCCCCAACGATGCGACTGAAAATGTTCAGGTAGTTCAAAGGCTGTGGCTTCACTGGACTCTGCCCACAAGTAGGAACTGGGGAGGGGAAAGACAAACATTTAGAGATTAGATAGCTCTTAGTTCTGAGGTATACAGGAAAGTCTTCTGAGCAAGAAATACTGTAAGACATAGATCATGTAGAAATAGGACAAAATGGCTTTAAATTAATTGTGGGATTTACTGTGATTTGCAGTATAAGCAATTGTTGAGCTTTTTCACATAGAACCTGCATATCGTGAAGATCTACTTTTCTGATATGAAGATTTAGGGCCTCAGAGGTAGCTCTCCACTGGGTTAGCACAAATACAGTCCCCTTTTGACTCTAAGCCATCTGGCCCCTTAGAGGCTCCTCAGAGTGCTCTGTGCTTCTGTGTCATTTATTACATTCCATTGTGGCTATTCTTTCAAACCCACTAGACTGATGCCCAGACGGTGCTCAATTAATTGGTTGAATGAGTGATACTATAATTTGCCTTAAACTTAAAAAAAAAGTATTATTGATTTATTTACATATTTCTTTGGCTGTGCTGGGTCTTTGTTGCTCTGTGGGCTTTTCTCTAGTTGCATCAAGCAGGGGCACAGTATCTCCGGTTGCAGTGCACAGACTTCTCATTGCAAAGGCTTCTCTTGTGGAGCATGGGCTCTAGGGCATGCAGGCTTCAGTAGTTGGGGCACATGGGCTCAGTGGTTGTGTCTTCCAGAATCTAGAGCAGAGGCTCAGTAGTTGTGGCACATGGGCTTAGTTGCTCCGTGGCACGTGGGATCTTCCTGGATCAGGGATCAAATCCATGTCTCCTGTATTGGCAGGCAGATTCTTTACCACTGAGCCACTAGAGAAGCCCCTGTAGTCTACCTTTGATTGTATTTGTGTTAGCATCTTTCCCTCTGCTTGACCCAGGAGATGAAGTCTCTGATCATGGTCAGTAGTGCCTGGCACAGTCAAATGTTAGCTTTCTCTAAGAGTGGAAAGTAACAGATTGTTTAATGATAGTGGACTAGAAAGGAGACAGTGTCCTAATTCACATACCAGAATGGTGTTAGGATAGAAGGGTTGCTAGGTAATGGGAAAAAGAACTCTTTCCTTTTTATGGAAAAAAATTTTATCCTTGAAAAAGCTACATTTACTTAGTTACCCTCAATGTTTGTTCTGCATTTTTTTTTTTTGCTTTATTTTGGACTCCTTAGCTAAGAGATGGGCTAGGTTAAAATGCTTAAAACACATTGTTAATTTTTAGTTTGCCTAATTATCAGTGACATCAAATTTTTCAAATTTATTTACTAGTAACTAGTGTTTATTTTTCCATGTATTGAAGTTTTGTATCCTTTTCTCATATTTCTACTTGGTTGCTTATGCTTTTACCTTTTCGTGATGGAAAACTTAAAATCTCTACAAAAGTAGAGAGTACAGTATAAATGAACCTCCATGTACTTATCATCCTGCTTGATAATCAGGGAAGATCCATCTTCTGTCCCTACTGCAGGTCATTCTTTTCTACATGTTCTCTAGGAAGGCCTAGAATGCCCTGCCTCATAATTGCCCCACTTCTTTACCTAGCTGAATCCTCTAATCCCTATTCTTCAGCTTGGAGATCACTTCAATTGAGACGTCTTCCTTGATTTCCTCAAACTGTGTTAAGTGTCTCTCCCGTGTAAAACCCTTTCCTCTCCCTTTTTATAGTTTTCACCAAGAAATAGTGGGATAGAAAATTCTTTGCCTGGATCCCTCATTTACTATGAACTATTTGAGGGAAAAATGTCTGTTTTATTCATCTCTGTATTTCCAAGGTTTAGCACATTCCTAGCATACAGTAGACACTTAGAAAAGTTGGAAGGATAGACAAATGACTTTTCTTGAGAAAATATCCGTAAAAGCATAGCTATTTAGATCAATATGTTAAAATATACAAAACTTTTTCAAATAGCTTCTCATTTCATTTCCATTCTCTGCCTATAAATCAAGCACTATTATCCCCACATTACAGATGGGAAAATGAAGAATCAAAGAGATGTACTGTTAATTAATGACAAAGCACAGATGTAACACTGTCTTTTGATTCTGAATCCAGAATCAGAATCTGAATTCTGAATCCAGAAGCTTATCTTCTAGCTGTTTCAGTTAACTGAATCATAAATACCTTTGTATACACAAAATTTAGTATTTCCTGAACTCGTTGAAGGAAAGATAGAAAATATGATTCTTGAGGTACAAATCTGACTATGAAGAAGATTGCCAAGAACTGTTCTCAGCTTATGTTACTTGAAGAAAAAAAAAATCATTTATATGCAAAATATACTGCAGTAAACAGGCTTCACATCTACCATTTATAGCAGTATACTGTATACAGTAAACTACAGTAAGTGAAGTTGCTCAGTCGTGCCCGACTCTTTGTTACCCCATGGACTATACAGTCCATGGAGTTCTCCAGGCCAGAATACTGGAGTGGGTAGCCTTTCCCTTCTCCAAGGGATCTTCCCAACCCAGGGATTGAATCCAGGTCTCCCGCATTGCAGGTGGATTCTTTACCAGCTGAACCACCAGGGAAGATCAAACTACAGTAAAAAGCAGTATAATTTTTTAAAAGATTACAAATTCTTCCAAATTTATGCTGATTTCTCTAATTTGTTCCTTTAAAGGAATTGGGATTGTGGAATGTGTTCAAATAAATGAATAATTCCAGTTTTTTCCAGATCAGTGCAACTTATCCATGTTGTATTTTATATTCCATAAATTTTCTATTCAGTTTAATATGATGACTGCAGGACAGAAGTCCAAATTAATTACATGAAATCTAATTAGATCTCCAGAATATATTTGCTTCTCCTGTTTTCCCAAAGGAATATGGAGTGAAACTGTGATATCCACTGCCAGCAAAGGTTATTTCTTCAAAGATAGTGATAGACTTCTGAGAACTTACCTTTGGGGAGAGAGAGAGTTGCAGATTCACTCTGTTCCAAAAAGACTATTCCAAATAATAAAATGAGCTTCTTCTTGCTTATATGCATTTTGAAACTCAGAATTTTTCCATGAAATTTTAGAGAGACTGAAGAGAACCAAAATAGAAAGCCTTGTGAGAGCAGAAATATACCAACTTAAAAGAAGGTTACTCATTAACCAAGACATGAGGCATTCAACCATGTCCAAATGTTTCTGAATGTGGCTTCTTTCAAAGATCTTTGAAAGATGTGGGGAGTCAACCACAGAAGCATAGTCTTGATCAAGCAATAGTACATGTCTATTTACACCCACATCCCTTTACACTCATTGCTTCCCCCAGAGTTTATCTGGTAAGCCAAGAGGTTGGTGACTTAAGGCATCCATTTGCAAACAGTACTTACTTCTTGGGACAGGTTACCATGTTCTACAAGAGGACTGAATATCAAAGTTGTCCTCATTTGCAATGATAGACTCTCCTACATGCTTGCAAATAACCTATCAACCTGAAACATGTGTCTTTCTCTTGTTTTCCAAATGTAAATGGATGGTTATAGTCACGTGTTAGAGGAGAGATAATTTGGTAGCACACTCAGGAAGTCAATTTAGGATACTATTCATTGAGGTATTTGTGAACCGCATTCTTTCACCATTTTTTGTATTTGTGGAAGGCAAAGTTAAATTACCTTGGTTTCTATACCTGGTAGATGATGTGGCACAGGGAGGCAGCTCTGATTATATCTGTCTTCCTTTTCCTTGGCTGAGTTTTTGGGATGCAGTTACTGTGTAAGAGGTACCCGTGGATTGGCCAATGCCCTATATGACCACATAGCAATATGAAAATTTTTCTACCAACTCTTACAAATTACCTGCCCAAAACAGCAATGTCAAACTAGAAGTCTCTTTCATGCGGCAACTTATACCCGTCTACAAAATAAGTCTATAAAAATATAACACAGACAACTAATACACATGCAAAAAAAGACATTTTGAAACCTAAAATTTGTGAGAACTGCAAATTTAGGGAAAAGTCAAGACTTCCTTATGAAAAAAAGGACACTAGAACATCATTTAAGGCTTTATCCACAAACAGTAAAAAAATAATATTTTCAAAGAGCTGAGGAAAATGACTATTAACCTAGAGTTTTATGCCCAACTAAGATTAAGAGTAAAATAAAGATTTTTTTTTGGGAAAAAAAACACAAGAGGATTTAATATCAGCAATCATTGATAAGAGAGCTAATAAATGAAGAAAGTACATCAGAAGAAACTAAGTCCAGAAGGAAGGAGAGGGATGTAAGAGGCCATGATGAATAAAGAAAAAAAGTGGTAAAATACATATAAAGACACCAAGCATAAAGTAACAATAGTAATGACTAATCTGAAATTATAAGGTGAAATTTTCTGGTTATATATCCAATGTATACTCACCCCTTTTTTTCTTGGTAACAGAACCCTGATTTTGTTGGGTTCTTCAAAGTGCCTGATTTAAACACAAAACAAATGACATTTTCCAGATTCCTCTGTATATGGACAGGCCTTGTTACTGAGTTTATTTTGTTGATTTAGGGCTCAAGGACTCTAAAAAAGTTTAGATGGACTCAGCTGACATAAATCTTTTGGGGATTTTCCCCCTTCCTCCTTCCTGAAAAATGAACAAAATGGTCAAAGCTGGAGCAATCATTTTATGGCCCCAAACAAAGCAAGGTAAAGATCACTGAGTGGGAAGATAGAAGTCTAGGTACCTAATTCATTGTAGAGCTGATGTATCAACTTTCTCATTACGTGCAAAGATATAACCAGTACCATAAGTCACTAGTGGTAATTAGTATTTATTTTTCCAATTATTGTAGTTTTATATCCCTTGCTCATAATTCTACTTGGTTGTTTATCCTTTTAACTTTTTATGGTGGTAAATTCACCAATACAGTATACTAAGCATATATATGGAATTTAGAAAGATGGTAACAATAACCCTATATGCAAGACGGAAAAAGAGACACAGATGTATAGAACAGACTTTTGGACTCTATGGGAGAAGGCGAGGGTGGGATGATCTGAGAGAACAGCATTGAAACACGTATGTTATCAAGTGTGAAACAGATCGCCAGTCCAGGTTGGATGCATGAGACAAGTGCTCAGGGCTGGTGCACTGGGATGACCCAGAGGGATGGGGTGGGGAGGGAGGTGGGAGGGGGGTTCAGGATGGGAACACATGTAAATCCATGGCTGATTCATGTCAATGTATGGCAAAAACCACTACAATATTGTAAAGTAAATAGCCTGCAACTAACAAAAATAAATGAAAAAGAAATCTCTTTAAAAGAAGAGAGAATAAAGGGAAACTTTTTGTCCATGGCCATGAGCTCAAAATGTATATAAAATAAAGCTGATGATTTAACAAAAAAAATAAAAATAAAAAAATAAAAGAAGAGAGAATAGTGTAATAAACCTCCATGTACCTATCACTCTTCTTCAACAACAACTTATATTTGGCCCATTTTATATCTTTTACAACTCTATAATCTTATATATATATTTTGAAGTATAGTTGACTCACTATATTAGTTTCAGATGTACAACAACGTGATTCAAAATTTGTATAGATTATAATCCATTTAAAGTTACTATACAATATGGGTTATATTACTTGTGCTGCACAGTATATCCTTCTAGTTTATTTATTTTATACATAGTAGCGGTATCCCTAAATTCCCTATCATGCCCCTTCTATTTTCCCTTTCCCCACTAGTAACCACTAGTTTATTTTTCATATCTGTGGGTCTGTTTCTGTTTTGTGATTTTCATTTGTTTTATTTTTTAGATTCCACATATAAGTGATAACACACAGTATTTGTCTTTCTCTGGCTTATTTCACTAAGCATAATATCCTCTAAGTCCACTCATATTGTTGCAAATGGCAAAATTTACTTTTCTTATGGCTGAGTAATATTTCATGGTATATATATACACCATTTCTTCTTTATCCATTCACCTATTGATGAACACTTAGATTGCTTCCATATCTTGGCTGTTGTAAATACTGCTGCTGTGAACACTGGGATTCATGTACCTTTGTGAGTTAGAATTTTCATTTTCTTCAGATATATACCCAGGAGTGGAAATGTTGGATCATAGAGTAGTTCTATTTTTAGTTTTTAAAGAAACCTCCAAACTGTTTCCACTGTAAATTGGCTGCACCAATTTACATTCCCTCCAACAGTGTACAAAGGCTTCCTTTCTCCACATCCTTGCCACAACTTGTTAAGTGTGGTCTTTTTGACTATATCCATTCTGACAGATGTGAGGGCTTGATTTGCATTTATCTGATGAGTAGCAAAGTTGAACATCTTTTTATGTGCCTTTGGGTAACCTGGATACATTTGGAAAAATGTTTACCCAGGTCTTCTGCTCATTTTTTAGTTAGTTTTTTTTTTTTTTTATGTTGAGCTGTATCAGTTGCTTACATATTTTGGATATTAACCCCTATCAGTCATATATTTCCCACCATTCAGTAGGTTGTCTTTTAATTTTGTTGATGGTTTCCTTTGCTGTGCAAAAGCTTTTCAGTTTACTTAGGTCCCCTTTGTTTAATTTTACTTTTGTTTCCTTTGCCTTAGGAGATAGACCCCCCCCAAAAAAAATTATGGTATAATTTATGTCAAAGTGTTGTGCCTATGTTTTCTTCTATTAACTTTATGGTTTTCAGTCTTCATTCAGTTCTTTAGTCCATCTGAGTTTACTCTTATATATAGCGTGAGAGAATGTTTTAATTCTCTCGTATGCAACTATCCAGTTTTTCCAGCATCATTTATTGAAGAGACTGTCTCTTCCTCATTGTATTGTCTTGCCTCCTTTGTTGTAGATTAAATGACCATAAGTGAGTGGGTTTGTTTCTGAACTGTTTATACTGTTCTGTCAATCTATGTGTCTGTTTTTGTGCCAATATCATACTGTTTTGATGACTGTAGACTGTGTACAGTTTGAAATCAAGGAGTATTTATATCTCCACCTCAGTTCTTCTTTCTCAAGATTGTTTTCTCTGCTTGGGGTCTTTTTGTTTCCATACAAATTTTAGAATTATTTATTCTCAGTTCAGTTCAGTTCAGTCGCTCAGTCATGGCCAACTCTTTGCAACCCCATGGACTGCAGCTCGCCAGGCCTCCCTGTCCATTACTAACTCCGGGAATTTACTCAAACTCATGTCCATTGAGTCGGTGATGCCATCCAACCATCTCATCCTCTGTGTCCCCTTCTTCTCCTGCCTTCCCAGCATCAGGGTCTTTTCAAATGCCACTGGCATTTTTATAGGGATTGAATTCAATCTATATATTGCTTTGGGTAGTATGATCATTTTAAAATATTAATTCTTCTAACATATGAACAAGGTATATCTTCCATATGTTTGTATTGTCTTCAGTTTTTTTGTCAGTGTACTATCGTTTTTGGAGTATAGGTCTTTAAATTCCACAGAGATTTATTCCAAGTTATTTTATTCTTCTTGATACAATGGTCAATGGGATTATTTTCTTAATTTCTCTAATAGTTCATAGTTATCATATAGAACTGCAACAGATTTCTATATATTAATTTGGTATTGTGCAACTTTACCAAATTCATTGATGAGTACTAGTAGCATTTTGGTGTGTCTTAAGCATTTCTATCTACAATCTTAATTTGAAACAAATCCCAGGAATTATTTTATCTACAAACAATTCAGTATACACCTTATAAGGACTCATAAAAACATGATCACAATAGCACTGGTGGTGGTGGTTTCATTACTCAGTTGTGTCCAGCTCTTTGTGACATCATGGGCTGTAGTCCACCAGGCTCCTCTGTCCATGGAATTTTCCAGGCAAGAATACTGGAGTGAGTTGCCATTTCCTCCTCCAGGAGATCTTTACAACCCAGGGATCAAACCCGCATCTCCTGCATTGATGAGCAGATTCTTTACCACTGAGACCCTGGGAAACCAATATCATTAATAACCCCCAAACTGATAATTCTTTAATATCAAATATCTGGTGTTTGAGGGACTTCCCTGTGGTCCAGTGGTTAAGAATCCACTGTCAATGCAAGGGACACGGGTTTGATCCCTGGTCTGGGAACATCCCACATGCTGTGGAGCAACTAAGCCTGTGTGCAACAACTGCTGAGCCCACAGTCTAGAGCCCATGCTCTGAAAGAAGAGAAGCCAATGCAATGAGAAGACCAGATACTACAACGTAGTCCCTGCTTGCTGCAACTAGAGAAAGCCTGTGCACAGCAATGAAGACCCAGTGCAGCCATAAATAAATAAGTAAATGCTGTTTTAAAAATGTGTTGTTTGAGTTTCCCCAATTGTCTTACAATTTTTTTTTACAATTGTGTTATTAAAATCTAAAAAAGCCCTACTCATTTCATTTAGTTGTTGTATATCATGTCTTTTAAAGCTATAACTTGCTTTTCTCTTGTTCATACAATTATTTTTGTTGAAGAAATTGGCTCTTTAGTCCTCTAGAATTTTCTACATTATGTGTTTCACTGATTATATAACTATGTCCTCTAATGTGCTCCTATGACCTCTGTGTGACCTGTGAACTGATAGGCACATCCAGATAGAGTCTTAATCAGATTGAGGTTAGATTTTTTTGGCAAGAAATTTTATAGTAAGGTTGTATACTTCCTATTGCATCATGTCATGAGACACATAATGTCTGGTTGTCCTTTCTATGACATTAAAATTAGTAAGTGGGTTCAGACTCATTCAGTATAAAGTTCCTCATATTTTTTCATTTAATGATTTTTAAATAGCCCTTGATAATGATTGCCTAGATCCACTGTTTAATTAATGGTTATAAAATGATGATGTTCTAATTTTATTATTTCTTCTGTGTTTCTCAACCAGAACTATTTTATAAAGATTTTTCTTTCATCAACTATCTAAGTACTTCACAGAATATTGGATATAGGAAAGTTAAGACAAAATACTTGTTTC